ACTTGTTCTTCTATTCATGAAAGCTGTGCATAGTGATGAGAGTTTAGATGTGAAGTGTTTAGCTTGTCCAATGCTGAGCACTAATATTTACACAATCACCATACATTGCTTTCATTGGCAGGTAATGGGTTTTAGGAGGAATGTTTTTCTGCCTTGTGAAACGACGACTATGCACTGCTTTTGGTGCTGCGCCGCCCACCCTGATGACGGTCGTAGCTGTAATGCGACCAAACTCGTAATAATGGACAGGAGGAAGAATGTCCACAGTGACTACACTTCAGTTCATCCATCTATACCAATCTGTTGTGCCCTCCCCCCCCACAAAAGCATTACAAATTCACATCAATATTGAGTTTTCTTTTAAAGCTTGACATTCACATTAATATGCAGGTTTCCAACAGTAAATTATTAACATGATCATGCACCTTCACCTCTGAGGCATCAAATTAATTCAACACATACTAAAATTAAATACTATGTTATTCTGTGGTGGTTTCTTATGCCCTTCTTTCATGAGTGATACAGCTTGGAAGGAACCTGCAACACAAAATTTTTTTATAATTACTATAAAAATATTGAATTAGAAGTTAAAGGAGTTTTCTTGCATTTGGGGGCTTTTAAATATTAATGCATAAGTACTACATAAGAGACACCAGTATATAGAGTGAGCAAGAAATAACAAACACATTTAAAATTGTCATTATTGGTATATTATATACTGAACAGTAGATACTCGCAAAATCCATCTTAAGACATTACACAAAATATAAACCAACACTGCTGTGTTGGTTATTTTTCGTTCACCCCCCTATAAGACGCTCCAGGTGAGAACGAGACAAGTAACAAAGCAGCCGAGAAGTATTTATTATACCATTATACTGGATGTGTTTCTAAAATGATATTTAACCATATTTTTTCTTTTCGTCTGTTTCTTGTCTACTTCTCATCCAGCCATTAGTGTTAGAAACCCGATGAGAGAGACTACAAGAGGCCAAGCAGCGTAGAAAATAGCATAAAGTGATGGTGTTGAATTCCATAGTGATTCTACCAAAATGTCAGTTTTTTCTGCTATGTTCTTAAGATGTCTGCGTATTTGTGACCCATTGCCATGGCAATGGGTAATCCACTCTCACCTGTATTAAGCAACCTATATATGGAATTCTTTGAAAAAAAACTATTAAGTAATATTTTACCACCCTCAGCAGTCTGGTTTAGATATGTTGAAGATGTATTATGTCTCTGGCCATGTAATGAGGACCTAAAAGCTTTCCTGCCACAACTTAACAACTTAGCCCCCTCGATCAAATTCACTGTGGAATTAGAGCAAGACTGTAAATTGCCATTCCTAGACTGTCTGATACACAGAATAGGTAACACTTTTAAGTTCAGTATTTATAGAAACCCAACTAATGTGTGTTCATACATTCATTATTATTCTGCCCACCATAATAAAGTCAAACAGTCAGTATTTTCAACAATGTTTTTACGTGCCTTGAGAATTTGTAGTCCGGAATTCATCGATGAGGAATACAAATATATATATAATATTGGCTCAAACCTTAAATACCCTAGATCTTTCATAGACAAATGCCTAAACATTACTAAGAAAACTTTTTATAGAACTGATCCCAAGCCCACCCATGACCATAAGAATATCTTAATATTACCATTTCACAAAAATTTCTCACACATTCCTTCAAAACTAAAAACCTGGAACATCAATGTGGCATTTAAAAACTCATGCACTGCTAAACAAATGTTAATCAAGAACTCCCCCAATAACATATATATATACACACTGGCAGAATCGCTATAGAATTCAACACCATCACTTTATGCTATTTTCTATGCTGCTTGGCCTCTTGTAGCCTCTCTTATTGGGTTTCAAACACTAATGGCATTTCTTACATCTTCTCCCTGTCATTCTTGGCCTGCCCCTGGTTTACCTCCCCTCCAAATTTTAACTCCTCCACCTCTTGATCCAGTTGGTTTCATCCATTCTTGCTACTTAACCAAATTATCCCTGTCTGTCTCTATGCAGGACTTCACCAATGCTCTCAATACCCAGCCACCATCTTTGCTCTGAACAGTGTCACATTACACATCCACCTCACCAATCTTGTTACAACTCACTCAACTCGACTTGTCATCCTGTTTAACTGCCACACATCATCACACTTCTCACACCAGTCACATACATTCTTGCTTTCACTAGGAGGGAAGGTTCTCTTGCTATCAATAAAGGTAGTAGTTCTCTAAACTTCCTCCAGCCACTTCTGACTCTTGCAACTGAGTAGGGTTCAGCACCCTCACCAGCACTCATATCAACAAAGTGTCTCCAACTTTGCTGTGGACACATGGTTACCTGCACATACGCAACACTCAACAATATCCCACAATCTACTTCATTACACCTCTTCTGAACCCACCTTCCACACTTGTTGCCAATACCTTCCTTACAAACAGCACATGACCACTTTCCACCACAGGTCCCTCACCCACATCACTAATCAATACTTTAGTTTTCACCACATTCACTCTCTCATTTCTATCAGCACTAAGTCATCAGCATACAATAGCTCCCAGGGGAGGCCAGTCCTAAAGTTCTGTATTATTGCCTCCAGCACCACAAAGGAGGCTCACAACACTTTTGATTGACTCCTACTTTTACCTAAAATTCCTTACTCTTTACTCTCACAGGTTTTTGAGCCTTCATATAATGCCTTAACCACTTAAAAAGGGTACTCCTTGACTTGTAGCTTCCTCATTGCCCACTTTACTATGTCACATGATACCATTAAGTATCATGTCGTACAATTTTACCTCTTTCCCAAGATATATTTTTGTAGTTGGCTAGCCATAAATATTGTCTCTGTAGTCCCCTTACCTGGCATAAACCCAAAGTACCCTCTCCCTTATCAATTACTCAATCACACTTTCTAAAAATCTTCATAATCTGATCTAGCAGCTTCAGGCCCCTGTAGTCTCCACATTCAATTACATCACATTTACCCTTATAATTATTCATACAGGTAATCACACTCTTTCTCCAGTCATCTGGAACAGTACATTCCTTCATGATTGCATTAATCAATTTGGTCACCATTGATACACCGACACTGCCTGTGCTTACAGCCACCTTTCCATTCTTCATATTTTCAATAGCTTTCTCCACACTGCCATCACTCAAAACTACCTGGTATTCACTTCTGCCCTGCAACAATATGCACAAGGAAGCCAGACCATGTGCTTACCTGCTTTCAGTCTACATTAATATATAGTATCTCCCACACAAGAACTGTTTGCCTATATTGTAATGTACCGGATATTTCTCATACAACAAGCTGCACATACTTGATTCTGCATTATTATATGAACTTGTATGTACCTTACGTTTAATCTAAGACATCTTGCGTTGTACCTTGATTGTGATGGTCTTCGTCTCTAGGTATTCATCCAGGCCCTCCTTGCCCCTGTGGGAGACAAGAGATTAGTTTTATATCTCACACACCAAAAAAAATTTACCTTTCTTGCGGTAAGATGATTATATTATAATATTATATAGTGATCCCTCGGTTAACGAATTACCTTCCATAAGAATCTTCAATTTGGTTAACGAAATTCTTACGAAATCATGTCAACATATTTTCGCTTGCTCACCAGCTGGAATATTAGTCCGCCAATACAGTACAGTAATCAGTTCTAGGGCTTAAATTCGTTCCCATTTGAGTAAATATCAAGAAGGTTGTACTATTCAATAATTTTCCAAGTTTTATATTCATTTTTTTTAGTACAGTAATTTTAACACTTATTTATCATAATTGCACTACAGGAAACTAGTTTTTGGTGCGCCAATGAGCCACTTGACTCACCCAAAAAGGCGTCAGTTTGTATCTGGTCAGTGGAGGTAACATCTTGCTTGTGGCTCTCTTGAACATAGACTATTTTTACGTTTTTACAGTACAGTGACCCCTCGGTTAACGAAATTTCGGTTAACGAACTGCCTTCCATAAGGATCTTAAATTCGGTTAAAGAAAAAAAATTCGGTTAACGAATTTCTTACGAACCGACCTCAACATGTTTTCGCTTGCACTGACCGGGCAACCAGCTTTAGTATCAGTCTGCCAATACATTAATCGGTTCTAGGGCTTAAATTCCTTACTATTTTAGTAAATATCAAGAAGTTTATACTATTCAATAATTTTAAAAGTTTAATATTCAATTTTTTAGTCATTTTAACAATTATTGAACATAATTGAAGGTAAAGTGACTAGTTTAATGAGCGGCATCCAGCCTCTTAACACAGCAAACAGGCGTTAGTCTCTCTCTGTTTTCACTGGAGGTAACATCTTGCTTGAGACTCTCTTCAACTAAACACTTTTTTTTTGCAAATTATTGGTCATTTTGAAATATATTTTACATATTGACAATATATAATGCAGTGCAGTGTTGATTTAAAGAAAATAATCTTGAAATACACCAAGAGAACTAAAATTTTATGGGTGAAATGGTGCCATGGGGTGACTTCTCTTCCACCCCAATTCCTTCTCTTCTTCCTTCTCCTCCACCCCCATTCTAATTCCCATCATCATCATCATCATCCAGGAGCCTTCTACATACACACCTCAAAGTAAGTGAACTTTTCTACCATTTTTGTTGAATTTAGGCAATTTTCGGTGAGCTGGAACCAATTACCCAAAAACCCATTGAAACAATGGTTTTGGTTAATGAACTTTTCGGTTAACGAACGACCTTCTGGAACGGATTGAGTTCGTTAACCGAGGGGTCACTGTACAATTATTGGTCATTCTGAAATTTATTTTACATATTCAAAATATATAGTGCCGTGCAGTGTTGATTTAAAGAAAATAATTTTGAATTACACCGAGTGAACCTAAAATTTTATGGGTGAAATGAGGGCATGAAGCATGGGGTGATTTCTCTTCCACCCCCACTTCCTTCTCTTCTTCCTTCTCCCGCACCCCTACTTCTAATTAGCTTTGTCACAACGAAGACGAGTTCCTCGAACTCAAATAAATGCAAATCTTACCCCTACTAATTTTGCATAAAAGGACCTCCACCTAAAAACAATAATGTAAATAATGCACTTATAAATAAAATTCTAGCATACTGTACTCGGCTATAAAAATCAACGCAAAACCACCTCTTCTGTACTCGGTGTTAAATCCTGACACCAACTTGATTCGCTTTCTGCAAAATCAAAGGGAGTTCGACTTGTTTCAGCTAAACAAGAAGCAAACCAAACTAAAGCTAATGGTAATGTGACCCATAAAAATCACACTCTCCTGGTATAAATTAAAACCGCCAAAAAAATAAATAAAAGAAGTAAAATTAAAGCAAGACTTACTTCTTAAGAAATTGTCTGAGCAATGGCACAGTCTTCCTAACAAAGAATATTTACAATTAGAAGCTCAACCAGCCCTTATAGTTGAATAAACTCCTAATCTTAAACAACACAAGAAAAAAAAGAACTCCTATATTTAAATTTATTATACCAATTTCATAAGGAATTAATGATCACACAATTAATGCAGTAAACAGGTGAAGCATTAAATGGAAGAAAATTAGATTTAACAGGTACTGTTTGCCCTTTGGTAAATAACTTAACAGCATCTAACAAACTGAAAATTAAAATTTATTCTTAATTTTATATCACTAAAAATTTTCACAAAAATCTTTATTAGGGGATTTATTGGAAATGCCAACTAATTTCCTAACTTCATTTTTTAAATATAAACAATAGAACTAATTTGCCACAAAAAAAATAGTTAGGGAGGCCGATGAGAAAATCATGTTTCTCATATAACTTAGAAATTTTTTTTCAAATATAATATCCAAGACCGTACATGGATTTTTTGTCCAAAAATAAAAGTGCTGGTCTTAAAGTTGAATAGAAGATTTCCCATACGGAAGTAAAATTTTGTACATTCTTAAAATTATACTATTTTTTCAATTATATACAGTATACATTTAAATATATGTAAGGAGAGAGCTAGAAACTTTGTCTTTCAACTAAAATAATACACAATAGTAAAAAATATATTTCTAAGGCTAATCTAAAATGAAAACTTATATAATTGCATTGAAATATTTTTTTAATTGAAAAGCCAACAATTTAATCGTATAAATCAACTAAAGATCTATAATGAAATCTAAGCTCTTCAAAATGGTCCCTTTCTCCTGAGGGGAGGTCCCATTTCCCAACGCTCAAACTATATTATGTAATTTTCGGTGAGCTGGAACCAATTACCCAAAATCCCATTGAAACAACGGTTTCGGTTAACGAAATTTTCTGTTAACGAATGACCTTTTGGAACGAATTGTGTTCGTTAACCGAGGGACCGCTGTATTACAAAACAATAAATACAGTATCAGATAACGCACAATTTTTGGTGCTGATTATAAACCAAAATTTCCCAGATAAGCCAAAAGTATAGTCCTCAAGTGTTTTTAATCAAGAAAGAGCAAGTACTGTACACGACTGTAATTCACTATACTCACAGTTCCCGTCCATGACCAGATTGTTTGTATCCTCCAAATGGTGTTTGTGGGAGACACACATCATAGCAGTTGACCCTGAAACAACATCATGGTAATTATAACACTGTCCCTCTCTCATTCCTTCTAGCAACTATGACAGCTCTTGTAACATGGTAGAAGATCATGTTGATAAAGAATGTTTGTGAGCAATAATTAAAAAAAATTGAGAGGCGAGATAATGGCAGGTTGTGTGTAGCATAATTTTGAATTTCTGTAATCTGTAATAGTTTATAGGAGAGGTCAAATGGACATGAGCCTAATGCACTATGGAAAATCAAGTAGACATTGACAATAGAATATTTATATAATATACTGTAACCATAAACAAAATAATAATCTTACCAAACTGATCCAGCCTGAACAGCTTGGGCATACATTATGGCCTTGTTAATGTTGGTGGTGATAATACCAGAAGCCAGGCCATACTCTGTGTTGTTGGAGCGTTTGATCACCTCATCCATGCTGCTGAACTTGAGGATCACTTGTACAGGCCCAAAGATCTGGAATTACCAGGGTAAATAAAAAAAATTGCCCATTACATCGTCTCTCAAAGCCGGAAAAAATCCCTCGTTCCCGGAATTTTCCGGATAACGTAAAATGTTCTCAGAATTTCCAAAAAATGTGCCCGATTTTCATCTCTCAAACCAGGAACAAAAAAATCTCCTAATCCCAAAATTTTCTGGGTATTGGGAAAATCGTTCCAAAAGCTGGAAATTTCCGGCTTTGGAAACGAATTTTCCCAAGAAAATTTCAATTCCGGCTATCTGAGAGTTCCAAGATTGAGGGATTCCAGCTAACAGAGATATTACTGTATCACCTAAGGGCAGTGGTTCCCAAGCCGTGTGCCGCAAGATGTAATTAGGTGCGCCACGAAAGAGCAAGATTATATTTCAAAATGTGAAAAATACAAACTGAAATTCGTAATAAAGTTCACATATAACTGTCAAAGTGGCAAACAACTAAACTAAGAATGAGAGGTGGTTTGTGTCATTCAATTCATTTAGGCTAATTATGGTACGACAGTGTTATTAAAGTTTGAGTCTTAAATTTCATAAGGATAAGAACTAAATTCACATCAATTTATCCTCGTAATTTACGTCTTAGAGACACATTCAATGCATAACTATGTTTCAGTTTATTTCAGTCGTAGCAGAAGTTTTCATTTCAATAATGGATTTTGAAAAAAACTATTGAGCGAAAATATACGGTGTTGAAAAATTTTTTTTAACACATCCTCACGTATTGCAGCGGATCAGGACCATAACTATACAGTATTTTAATTTGTTTCATTCGTAGTAGTAGAAATTTTCATCTTTTCAATTGATTTTGAAAGGCTCTCGAGCTAAAATAAATGAAACTGAACAAAAGATTCCGAAAATATCTTCACGTTTGCGGACCGTTAAGTTATTAAATGTCACTTGTCTCAGTTTGATACTTGGCTTTGTTAGCAAGCTGTGCTCTTTGTGCGATTCAATTCATATTGACTAAATTACCCATAAAATGGATAAGTTTATTAAGAGGAAACATAACAGTGACGATTGTGAATCTGAAAGAGAACGTTCAACAAAAGCAACTAAGCCTAGCGATAATAAGGCGAAAGCTCGACCCAATCGTCGATACTGGGATAGCTATTTAAAGTTCGGGTTTCATTGGACTGGTAACGAGGATCAACCTCTCCCACTGTGTGTTGTTTGTGGTGAAAGGATGTTTAATGAAGGCATGGTACCCAGCAAGTTAGAGAGACATTTTATAACTAAACACTCACATCTTCAAGATAAAGATCTGAATTATTTCCAAAGACTGTTAGAACAGCAATCCGAGCAAAGAAAGTATTTTCAGAAAAAGTTTACAGTTTCTGAGAAGGCTCTAAGTCACTTCTATTGAGATAGCCGAAATGATTGCACTACAAACAAAATCACACACTTTAGCGGAGTCGGTTATCTTGCCCGCCCGTAGAAAGATGGTTAAAACCATGTTAGGTGATGAAGCCGAACAAGAAATAAGCAAAATTCTGCTCCCAATTAATACAAGCCATAGGAGAATAATGTATTTATCTGCTGATATAGAGGAAAATGTACAGAATGAACTCAGAATTTGCTTTAAAAGTTGATGAATCTACTGACATTAGCAATAAAGCACAATTACTTACATTTATTCACTTTATTGATGGAAACCAAATAATAAATCAGTTCTTTTGTTGCAAAGAAATGTCACTCACTACAAGAGGTCAAGATATCTTTGACATTTTATCTGCCTACCTCGAAAAATGGAATTGATTATGTGTTGGAATATGTACTGGTGGGGCACCATCTATGGTAGGCTGTATTTAAGGTTTTGTATCGCTCGTACAACAGCAAAATACTAATGTTATACGTACTCATTGTTTCCTACATAGGGAGGTACTAGTTTCAAAAACAATACAAGTTGAATTAAAGCAAGTATTAAACCAAGTTGTTGAAATGGTTAATTATATTAAAAGTAGACCATTGAAGTCTCACTTATTTGAACAAATTTGTGTTGATATGGATTCCCAGCACAAGCGCTTAATTTTACACACACAAGTCAGATGGCTCTCAAGAGGTAAAGTGCTATGTCGCATACATGAACTCCAGAAAAAATTACTTGTATTTTTTGAAGAAGAAAAACATGAATGCTTCTGTGAATATCTTCAATGCTAATTTTGGATTTCCAAGCTGGAACATTTAACAGAGATATTTACACAACTTAATAGCGTCAACACAAGTATGCAAGGTAGATATGAAAACATTCTCACTTCGACGGATAAGCTGGTTTCATTTAAAAAGAAAGTTGTAGTTTGGAAAAATAGAGCTAAAGATGGTAATTTTGAACACGTAAAAGCTGCATAAAAGAAATGACTCCTATTATAGTTGAACATTTGACAACTCTGGAAGAAAAAATTAACTTTTATTTTCTGTCATTGAACACAGAAGAGTATGATTGAGTTCAAAATCCCTTCATAAAAATTCCATCTAATATTGGTCTAAAATTATGTGAAGAAGAGGAATTGGCATCTATATTCAGTGATCGTGGACTTAAAATCAAGTATGCTGAGTTACCTATTGATACATTTTGGATTGCTATTAAAGAAGAATACCCCTCAGTAGCTAAAAAGCTTTATCTGTTTTGATGCATCGAAGAAGAAATGAGGGTTTGTCTTTCTCAAATACGTCCCAACATTGAAAACATTGCCAAAAATCATCAAGCGCATGTTTCTCATTGATAACTTTGCTTCATTTATTGAATAAAGAAGTAAGTACTTGTACATACAATTTTTATGTACTTTTAATTATCTATATTTTTACGTTATGCTATGCTAATATGTATAAATACCTCTTGAATAAATTTTCGAATTTATGTACAAAGTGCACCAAAATATTTTTACTTGTTCTAAAGTGTGCCTTGGGTAAAAAAAGTTTGGGAACCACTGCCTTAGGATTAGAAATTCTAGCTTATTTCACATGAAGATTTGGGTGATTAATCTGAAGTTGAATTTACATGGCATCTGTTTAATGTTTCATGCCTCAAGACATATCCGAGGAATGCACTAATGCACCCTTTACTCCGCTCAGTGTCTTATGTCTATGGACAAGATTGTATCGCTGATGCTTGTGCTGCAAGTGTATTGAGACTGACCGAAGAACAGAAAATCCATAGGAAATTCTGGAACGATATCCCGTGACAATCATCGGCCGAAAGTGAAATGAAGTTGAAGGGGCATGGTTTGGGGCACACACCATGAGGCAACCTCTTGTTGCACAAAGAGGCAATGTGTAAATGCAGCTTAAAGGTGAACTAAGGTGGGTTGCTGATCATGTGATAATTTTTATCCTTTCTCACTAACTCCACAGCTAAATGCATCATAAAAAGACTGAAGATGGACAGTAAAGGAGTGTCCATAAATCCCCAACCACATACTGTACGCATACACATAAACAAAAATATATCACTCGTCTCTTCCCCGGCAACAGACATGTCTGTCACTTTAACACTCACTTCTTCCTTGGCAATAGTCATGTCGTCTGTCACATTGGAGAAGACCGTGGGCGAGACGAAGTATCCCTCAGAGCCGAGACGTGCGCCACCACATTCCAACTTTGCGCCCTCGCTCTTACCTTTCTCAATGTAGCCCAACACACGTTCCATTTGTGTCTGGCTCACCTGAAAAAGTTCATCATATAATTAAGAAGCTGTACCTGTTTTGAGAATACAGGTACAGTACAGCGATTATATTAAGACATTCACCATTTAGTAGTTTTGGGGATAACTACCAGTATATCATCAAGATTTACATCACTTTTGTTATTCTGAGGATCATTATACACTGTACCCTCATTAATTTGGATCATTTTAATTCAGATTTAGGCTTAATTCATGTTCATTTAAGTCTATTATTATTATTGAATTAAAGTATATCATGAAATAGATGCAGATGAAATGACTTACAGGGAGTCCCTGGGTTATGAAAGGGTTCTGTTCCTGAGGACGTTCTTAAGTCGGATTTATACACAAGTGGGAAAACATGCTATGTGCATACTGTACTTATGTAACAATGTTTAAAATTCCATTATATCATAGCCTAAGTCCTTATATACATCTAAAATCACTTAATTTAAGACGACAGAAGAAATAGAATGACAAAATACAGTAAATGAAAAAGTCCCCATTTCCTCTAATATGTCATGGAAGCCACACATCATCAACATTGCTAAAGCTACCTCCCGAAAGGTGGGAATGCAGTACAGATGCCGTAGCTACTTCACTCCTGAGCAGTTGCTTCAAGTATGTAAGTGATTAATTAATGCTCAACCCTTCATATTTTCCTCTAACAAAACCATTTCCTAAATATAGGTCTAGTTATCCCCTTTATTTAACATTTTAGATACTGTTCGGTACAGTATAAAAAACATCTGAACATCATGAATAAGATTCTATAATTTATGTAATCACCGAGGCAGAAATCCTCACTAGTCTTCCCTAATTTTTGTTTTATCCAAATGATCTAAATCATGTACTGTACCAGAGGCCCCAGCAGTGTCTTCTCATCAAATGGGTCACCAACCGGCCGTTCCTCTGCCAGCTTTACTGCTCGCTTTACAAATTCGTCATAGATGGATTCATGGACAAAAGTTCTGGACCCAGCACAGCAGTTCTGTCCGTGGTTACCGAACATTGCTGTGTGGCATAATTCTGCAGCCTCATCCACTGGGAAAAAATATAAAATTTATACAAAAATAAATACAACATGCAATCAACCCATTTTTTTTTTTCATAAGACAAGTCATAATGATCAGTAATATGAAAACAAGAGCTTATAATTCTATACACATGAAAGGATGAACTGTATCCATAAACGTGTTAATAATGATATTACTGTACATACTATTACAAGAGTTCACAAGCATGCAATCTGTACAAAGAAAGATTATACTGTACTCGAGCGAGAGGTCATTTCACATCAGGTTGTGTGTTTTTTAAAGTTGTAATCATAGCTGCATGGCCCTAAAAATTCAGTAGCTATGAGGTTGTCATGATTATTACTGTATACTGTACTAGTTTATGAAATATCAACACAGTATTTTCATGTTATGCTGTGGATATACAACAAGGCACCTCAAGGGGTTGTCATGGTAGTGAATATAATAATAATGAATGCCCCTCATATACGAGAAGGCCAGGCCTCGGGCCACCTAGGTGTGAATTTGTTTAAGGTGTAGAAACTGTCACCAACACAACAACAAGAGTTTAGGAGTTGCATGACCCTGTGTCAAGGAATAGTCTAAGGCAGTGGTTCCCAAACCGTGCGCCACAAGATGTAATTAGGTGCGCCGCAAGATTATATTTCAAAATGTGAAAAATACAACTGATATTCGTAATAAAGTTCATATACAATATAACTGTCAAAGTGGCAAACAACTAAACTAAGAATGAGAGGTGGTTTGTGTAATTCAATTCATTTAGGTTAATTATGGTACGACAGTGTTATTAAATTTTTAGTCTTAAATTTCATAAGGATAAGAACTAAATTCGCATCAATCTATCCTCGTAATTTACGTCTTATAGACACATTCAATGCATAACTATGTTTCAGTTGTAGCAGAAGTTTTCATTTCAATAATGGATTTTGAAAAAAACTATTGAGCGAAAATATACGGTGTTGAAATTTTTTTTTAACACGTCCTCACGTATTGCAGCGGATCAGGACCATAACTATACAGTATTTCAATTTGTTTCATTCATAGTAGTAGAAATTTTCATCTTTTCAATTGATTTTGAAAGGCTCTTGAGCTAAAATAAATGAAACTGAACAAAAGATTCTGAAAATATCTTCACGTTTGCGGACCGTTAAGTTATTAAATGTCACTTGTCTCAGTTTGATACTTGGCTTTGTTAGCAAGCTGTGCTCTTTGTGCGATTCAATTCATATTGACTAAATTACCCATAAAATGGATAAGTTTATTAAGAGGAAACAACAGTGACGATTGTGAATCTGAAAGAGAACGTTCAACAAAAGCAACTAAGCCTAGCGATAATAAGGCGAAAGCTCGACCCAATCGTCGATACTGGGATAGCTATTTAAAGTTCGGGTTTCATTGGACTGGTAACGAGGCTCAACCTCTCCCACTGTGTGTTGTTTGTGGTGAAAGGATGTTTAATGAAGGCATGGTACCCAGCAAGTTAGAGAGACATTTTATAACTAAACACTCACATCTTCAAGATAAAGATCTGAATTATTTCCAAAGACTGTTAGAACAGCAATCCGAGCAAAGAAAGTATTTTCAGAAAAAGTTTACAGTTTCTGAGAAGGCTCTAAGTCACTTCTATTGAGATAGCCGAAATGATTGCACTACAAACAAAATCACACACTTTAGCGGAGTCGGTTATCTTGCCCGCCCGTAGAAAGATGGTTAAAACCATGTTAGGTGATGAAGCCGAACAAGAAATAAGCAAAATTCTGCTCCCAATTAATACAAGCCATAGGAGAATAATGTATTTATCTGCTGATATAGAGGAAAATGTACAGAATGAACTCAGAATTTGCTTTAAAAGTTGATGAATCTACTGACATTAGCAATAAAGCACAATTACTTACATTTATTCACTTTATTGATGGAAACCAAATAATAAATCAGTTCTTTTGTTGCAAAGAAATGTCACTCACTACAAGAGGTCAAGATATCTTTGACATTTTATCTGCCTACCTCGAAAAATGGAATTGATTATGTGTTGGAATATGTACTGGTGGGGCACCATCTATGGTAGGCTGTATTTAAGGTTTTGTATCGCTCGTACAACAGCAAAATACTAATGTTATACGTACTCATTGTTTCCTACATAGGGAGGTACTAGTTTCAAAAACAATACAAGTTGAATTAAAGCAAGTATTAAACCAAGTTGTTGAAATGGTTAATTATATTAAAAGTAGACCATTGAAGTCTCACTTATTTGAACAAATTTGTGTTGATATGGATTCCCAGCACAAGCGCTTAATTTTACACACACAAGTCAGATGGCTCTCAAGAGGTAAAGTGCTATGTCGCATACATGAACTCCAGAAAAAATTACTTGTATTTTTTGAAGAAGAAAAACATGAATGCTTCTGTGAATATCTTCAATGCTAATTTTGGATTTCCAAGCTGGAACATTTAACAGAGATATTTACACAACTTAATAGCGTCAACACAAGTATGCAAGGTAGATATGAAAACATTCTCACTTCGACGGATAAGCTGGTTTCATTTAAAAAGAAAGTTGTAGTTTGGAAAAATAGAGCTAAAGATGGTAATTTTGAACACGTAAAAGCTGCATAAAAGAAATGACTCCTATTATAGTTGAACATTTGACAACTCTGGAAGAAAAAATTAACTTTTATTTTCTGTCATTGAACACAGAAGAGTATGATTGAGTTCAAAATCCCTTCATAAAAATTCCATCTAATATTGGTCTAAAATTATGTGAAGAAGAGGAATTGGCATCTATATTCAGTGATCGTGGACTTAAAATCAAGTATGCTGAGTTACCTATTGATACATTTTGGATTGCTATTAAAGAAGAATACCCCTCAGTAGCTAAAAAGCTTTATCTGTTTTGATGCATCGAAGAAGAAATGAGGGTTTGTCTTTCTCAAATACGTCCCAACATTGAAAACATTGCCAAAAATCATCAAGCGCATGTTTCTCATTGATAACTTTGCTTCATTTATTGAATAAAGAAGTAAGTACTTGTACATACAATTTTTATGTACTTTTAATTATCTATATTTTTACGTTATGCTATGCTAATATGTATAAATACCTCTTGAATAAATTTTCGAATTTATGTACAAAGTGCACCAAAATATTTTTACTTGTTCTAAAGTGTGCCTTGGGTAAAAAAAGTTTGGGAACCACTGGTCTAAGTAGACCGGACAACTTGCCAACTGCACTGGCTAACCATTACCCTGGAACATGACCTGCAAATCAATTAACATCCAGGTCCCTAATTACTGCTGGGTAGATAGAGGCAAATGGCATAAAGAAACTTACCCATAGTTTCACCCTGCCCTTAGCTTTGCAGCTACGTGCAGACTTGTGATATACGCAGGGGCATTGTGCAAGTTGGAAGGGGAATGATAATGTAGTAAAAATAACCCCAGACAGCATTCAGCTCAAAGGGGATGCAGTACTATTAAGGGTGAACAAAAAACAAGTGACATGAAAAGAAGGATTCATAGTATTGCACAGGATGTTATGTACTATAATATACAACAGATAAGAACAAGAAACTGACACCAAATCATAACGGAAACGGTCTATTGCTATAACTTACATAAAGGATGCAACTTTGGTGGGAAAATCTCTCTCTCTCTTAAAGAGTATGATATCAGATTCTTTCCTTGTAAGTAAGTAGGTTCTATCAGCTATTTTAAATGTTAAGAGACCTCTATCTCAGAGATTGCAAGGTGTTGAGATGGATCTGGTACAAGCTTTTAACAGTGTGAAGGACTGCATGGATGTGTTGCAAATGTACAGAAATGATGATACATTCACAAGATTATTTGAGAATGCAGAACAAAACTGTGGGAGAGAAATTAAAGCCCCAAGAAGTGCAAGACGACAACAGACCCGGTCTAATCCCCCAGTTGAGGACACACTCTTATTACTAAGGCGCTCGGTTTTTTTGCCTTTCATGAACACAGTTATGCTGCAACTGAAAGAGCATTTCACTTCTAAGCAAATTTCATGGCAGAAGTTCTTTGTGAACCGTAAGTAGAATGTTCTCAGAAGTAAGTGAGGAAGTTGTGATTTACAGTAAGTTCCTTGATGGTAGTATGGAGGAGGTACAAGATGGCAGAACACTTGGAAAAGACATGAATGGAAAGACAGACCAAAAACGGCTGTTCTCTAAAAGTTTGCAGGGAATTTGGCACATGCCAAAACATCCAAACTCTGATACATATTATTGCACCACTTCCTGTGACAACTGCTGCAAGTGAATGCTCATTCAGCTGCCTAAAGTACAGTGTATCTCTGTTCCTCTATGTCAGAACAAAGACTATGATTTAGCTTTACTGTTTGTCCACAAAGATATGCAACTAAATTGTGATGAAGTAATTAATGAATCTGATCATAAGAACAGATTACTTGACATTGGACTTTGTTTATCTGTCTGTAGCTCACAACCTAAACAACAAATTATTTTAATGGTTTAAGGTTTTTGGTTTAACCCTTTAAATACATGGTGGAAAATATGCCTAATGTAGTTGATATGATTTTGGGATGATATAAATACTCGACCAGTGACAAGGGAGGTACGCCAGACGAACGTTCGCTTGACCTGTGGTGTTAGTATTCACAAACACACACCTAACCAGTATAGCCCTAGAGTGCATCCCTTAATGTGAGAGGTGAATGAAAAAAGACACACGCACAACAGGTGATGGTACGAGCTTGTGTGTGTGTACCTGACAGCTGTTGTCATAGTAACCCCAAGTGAGGTGTGATGCGGCTCTCAAGGGGGGGAATGATACACCTGTAATTTAGACCATAAGGTACAGGTGTCTTAGTCTTAATTATGTGTCTGATCCACGTAACCTAACCTAACTTACCTGGCTAGTATGTATGTATCCAGTATACATTATGCATACCATACATGTATCATCAACTGATCTAATTATCATGATGCTTTACCGTGAATTTGTCCCACCATACACACAACACCCAACCTAGCCTAAGCCTCTCTTATTACCTATTTATTCATGGTATCTATGACCTATTCCTGTGTGTGTGTGATACTATGTTCTCTATCTCATCATAAGTAAGCTAGTACTGTTCTCTCTCTCTCTCTCTCATCATAAGTAAGCTGGTATTCTCTCTCTCTATTAACTTCATTACCAAGTACTTATTTTTGCAACAATCCTAGGAGAAAAATGTGTTTTCTTTTAACATGTATGTATATTTTTTGATAAGGAATTTTTGTGTATTTACTGTTGTGTAAATAAAATATACTTGCTAAAAAAAGTGATTGAAAAATAAAAAGGGTGTCTTTTTATATAGCCTTATCTTAAGACTACCCCCCCCCCCAAAAAAAAAAAAAAAATTCAAAGTCACACTAACTAAATGACACAAATGGTCACAAATCAAAGACCATTCAATTTTTCTGTCAAACTGCCATCCACCCTGGTGTTGGTCCACTGACTAAACCATTGATACCTGGTTTGACCGAACACAGATGCCATTGAACCAATATCTCGGCATAATTCTGGGGGTTTGAGACTATACACTGTGAACTTACGGTCTCCACAGTCGGAACAAACGACGAGTGGACTCTTGCCGCCCAACTCCATTGTGACACGCTTCAGGTTAGACTCGCTGGCAGCTCCCATAATCTTGCGCCCCACGGCAGTTGAACCAGTGAATGCCACCTTGGGGGAAACATTGTCCAGTTTAGTGTAAAGATTAAGAACAAACTCATACACAAACAAAATGACTACAGTACAGTATATATCCCCTGCAATCTTCACATGGCTAGGAAATAAACAAACACCTAATAGTGATTTTATAATAATATTTCAAGACATCATCCACTGATAGTAAGTCATTGATTGTGGTAATTACATCCCTGGTGACAACAACTTAAGTCACCTTTGCCGAATTAAAATAAAGGCTTAGAAGACTAAAATAAAATATGCAAAGTAAAAGAAAAATAAATAAAAAATAGAATAAAACTTTCCTAAAAAACATTTTAACGTTAATAGATAAAACTCAGAAGGCCAGCTTCCTCCACGAAGGAGAGGATGTCCCCTACCACACTACCCCCCAACATCAAATAGAGACGGTGAGTCCTGCCTCCCCCGGCACTGGGATGTGCTTACGACAAAGATCTCCGAGACTGGGGTACTCCACCAGGAGGTGTCGAAAAGGTGTCCTTCCCTGTGTTAAAATACTGACAAACTTGAACTTTAGGGACAATCCACAGAGCAGCAGTTGGAAACCACTTGGGGCATATCTGAACAGGAGGAAGACAAAGAAGACTCACAACTTACCTTACCCTGAAGCCGAAAGGTCGTGGGAGGCTTGGATACTTAAGTGTGGGGAATATCTCGTCAACTACACAAGTGTTGGTTACAGACTGTAGAGACAAAACCAACACTGGACCTGGAGATACTGATGTCCAAGATCAAGGGGTGGCTCACCAGCATCCACCAGGAGACTTGGGATTGGCCAGGCAATCCTGGCCAACCCCAGTGTATTGAGTCTAGCCTCAGTGGCTGAGGAGTACACCTCACACCCATAATCCAGTTTGGGTCTTACTAGCATGTGGTAAAGGTGTAGCAGAGTTCCTTGGTCAGCACCCCATGACGTGTGCCCCTAGACTCTCGGTAACTTGAGACCATGCTGGCAAGACTCTTTGAGACAACATATGTGGCTGCCATGTAAGCTGGTTGTTGAAGATAATGCTCAGGAAAGAAGTCTGACACATCACACACAGCAGAAATGAATGGCAACGATCTTCAAGGGAGAAAGTCTAAAACCATGCTCTGTGGTCTAATCTGAAACCCTGTCTAGTGCAAGTTGCATGTGACGTTAAGCAACTGACATGCGGGAAGCTACATACCAAATGGCCAAGTTGTCTACATGTAATGAGATTGATACACCACCAAGAACCAATGCTGCTATCAAAGACACTGCCCAAAAGAACCCCCCATTCTCCTGAATTTGTGGTGTTGACATTTCTGGGGCAATGTGGATCCTAAAAGTGCAAAGTCTCAAGAGCTGACCTATTATTGATGGTAAATTTCCCAGCAATCTATAACTGTGAAGCTCCTTAAGGATGCCGAATCTCCTAGCTGTGTCATATACTCGATAATAAAAGTTCCTTACAATTACTTGCCATTTAGGGACAGATGTGCATAAGCATTCAACAAGTATTTCAAACCTTCCAATAAATACAAACTTTTTAAAACATATTCCTGGATAACCTACACAACACCACCATTATCAGGCACTAAGCTACACAACCTCAACACAAACTATATACAGAAAGTGAAAACCTCATAAAGATAGAGATAAATGAAGAACTGACTCACCTTGTCTATATCCTGATGGTGGGCGATAGCATGGCCAGCGACTGGACCCATGCCAGGGATAATGTTGATCACACCAGGGGGAAAGCCAGCCTGGAAACAACCAATTACATTACTTATGATGTGGCAGTGAAATAGGTGTTGCTACTGAAGGTGTGTGTGAGAGAGAGTATGTGTGTGTGTGTGTTTGATGAAAATGACGCGGCACTCAAAGTACACATCGATGATAAACATGCTGCTTTTACCCTCAGTCTCGGACCAAAGCCGATACCTTCCGCAAGAAGAAAGCGGCAACTTCGCAATCTAAAGAACGACTGACTTAAAAATAAAGAGCGTGAAGCACAAAAACTTGCAGATCAGGACATCCTTGACCTAACCTAGTCTAACCTAACCTTTGTCTGGTGTTATGTGTCCATCAATAGAAAGGTAGTCATATATATACTGGGTCTTTTTTATACCATTACACATCACCTTAAAACATTAACACATTATATAACATCGAGCACAACATTTCAAGACATTAACACAACATTCTATAACTAACAACATCTCATATCACAACACACTATAACATTATCCAACACACCAAGCTAAAAAGTCGTGACTCAGCTAAGACGAGTTTTAACCAGTTTGGGTGACCAATATCTTTTGCTGCAGACATGTTACCTATACAGTGGAGAAGGGGGGGGATAAGAGCTGAGGAGGGGGGGGGGAGATGGAGGGGGGGGATAAGAGGAGGAGGGGGGAGATAAGAGCTGAGGAGGGGGAGATAAGAGCGAGGAGGGGAGGGGTAAGAGGGAGAGGGTTAGAAAGGAGGAGTAGGTAAGAGGAGAGGGGGAAGGAGGGGTGGGGAGGAGAGGGGAAGGAGGGGTGGGAGGAGAGGGGGGAAGGAGGGGGGGAGGAGAGGGGAAGGAGTGGGGCAAGAGGAGAGGGGAAGGAGTAGGGTAAGGAGAAGAGGGGGAAGGAAGAAGAGAGGCAAAAGAGAAGGAAGAAGAGGAAGAGAGGGAAGAAGAATAAGAGGAGGAAGAAGAGAGGGAAGAAGAATAAAAGGAGGAAGAAGAGAGGGAAGAAGAATAAGAGGAGGAGTAAGAGAGAGAGAGAGAAGAATAAAAGGAGGAAGAAGAGAGGGAAGAAGAAGGAAGAGAGGGAAGAAGAATAAGAGGAGAGGGAAGAAGAATAAAAGGAGGAAGAAGAGAGGGAAGAAGAAGGAAGAGAGGGAAGAAGAATAAGAGGAGAGGGAAGAAGAATAAAAAGGAAGAAGAGAGGGAAGAAGAAGGAAGAGAGGGAAGAAGAAGGAAGAGAGGGAAGAAGAATAAGAGGAGAGGGAAGAAGAATAAAAGGAGGAAGAAGAGAGGGAAGAAGAGAGGAGGAAGAAGAAGAAGAAGAATAAAAAGGAGGGAAGAAGAGAGGAAGAAGAATAGAGAGGAGGAGTAAGAGAGAGAGAGAGAAGAATAAAAGGAGGAAGAAGAGAGGAAGAAGAAGGAAGAGAGGGAAGAAGAATAAGAGGAGAGGGAAGAAGAATAAAAGGAGGAAGAAGAGAGGGAAGAAGAAGGAAGAGAGGGAAGAAGAATAAGAGGAGAGGGAAGAAGAATAAAAGGAGGAAGAAGAGAGGGAAGAAGGAAGAGAGGGAAGAAGAATAAGAGGAGAGGGAAGAAGAATAAAAGGAGGAATAGAGAGGGAAGAAGAATAAAAAGGAGGAGGAAGAGAGGGAAGAAGAATAAAAGGAGGAGGAGAGAGAGAAGAATAAGAGGAGGAAGAGAGGGAAGAAGAAACAAAAGGAGGAAGAGAGGGAAGAAGAATAAGAGGAGGAAGAGAGGGAAGAAGAATAAGAGAAGGAGGAAGAGAGGGAAGAAGAATAAAAGGAGGAAGAGAGGAAGAAGAATAAGAGGAGGAGGAAGAGAGGGAAGAAGAATAAGAGGAGGAGGAGAGAGAGGGAAGAAGAATAAGAGGAGGAGGAAGAGAGGGAAGAAGAATAAAAGGAGGAAGAGAGGGAAGAAGAATAAGAGGAGGAGGAAGAGAGGGAAGAAGAATAGAAGAAGAAGAGAGGAAGAGAGGGAAGAAGAATAAGAGGAGGAGGAAGAGAGGGAAGAAGAATAAGAGGAGGAGGAAGAGGGAAGAAGAATAAGAGAGAGGGAGGAAGAGAGGGAAGAAGAATAAGAGGAGGAGGAAGAGAGGGAAGAAGAATAAGAGGAGTAGGAGAGAGGAAGAGAGGGAAGAAGAATAAGAGGAGGAGGAGAAGAGAGGAAGAAGAATAAGAGAGGAGAAGAGAGAGAAGAATGAGGAAGAGGAAGAAGAATAAGAGAAGGAGGAAGAGAGGAAGAAGAATAGGAGGAAGGAAGAAGAACAAAGAGGAAGAGAGGAAGAGAGGGAAGAAGAATAAGAGAAGGAGGAAGAGAGGAAGAAGAATAAAAGGAGGAAGAGAGGGAAGAAGAATGAGAAGGAGGAGAGAGGAAGAAGAATAAAAGGAGGAAGAGAGGGAAGAAGAATAAGAGGAGGAGGAAGAGAGGGAAGAAGAATAAGAGGAGGAGGAAGAGAGGGAAGAAGAATAAGAGGAGGAGGAAGAGAGGGAAGAAGAATAAGAGGAGTAGTAAGGAAGAGAGGGAAGAAGAATAAGAGGAGGAGGAAGAGAGGGAAGAAGAATAAGAGGAGGAGTAAGAGAGGGAAGAAGAATAAGAGGAGGAGGAAGAGAGGAAGAAGAATAAGAGAAGGAGGAAGAGAGGGAAGAAGAATAGGAGGAAGAGAGGGAAGAGAATAAGAGAAGGAGGAAGAGAGGGAAGAAGAATAAGAGGAGGAAGAGAGGGAAGAAGAATAAGAGGAGGAGGAAGAGAGGGAAGAAGAATAAGAGAAGGAGGAAGAGAGGGAAGAAGAATAAGAGGAGGAAGAGAGGGAAGAAGAATAAGAGGAGGAGGAAGAGAGGGAAGAAGAATAAGAGAAGGAGGAAGAGAGGGAAGAAGAATAAAAGGAAGAGGAAGAGAGGGAAGAAGAATAAGAGAAGGAGGAAGAGAGGGAAGAAGAATAAGAGGAGGAGGAAGAGAGGGAAGAAGAATAAGAGGAGGAAGAAGAGAGAGAAGAATAATAAGAGGAGGAGGAAGAGAGGCAATAACTAGGAGCAGGAGTAAGAGTAACCAGTTAGCAACCACCACCCAAGGCCACAACAGTATTGCCAGAACAAAACTTCACCATTACCAACCCATCTATACTACCCAGCACTTTTTCCTTAACCAAACCATCTCCAAACCCATGAATTCAGATGAAATTATACACATACCCTAAGCTGTGTGTCCAAGAAATACATGAGGAATGAATGTAATCCAGGCGAGGTGTTGGGGGTGAGGAAATTTGGTGTCTGTAAGTTTATCTCTCGCTCTACTTGACCTTCACAATACCGTTACGTCAATAATCCTGTTTCCAAGAATACCGCATTAACTTAGTTTGGATCACCTGAGTTTTACCCCCCCCATCCCCCCACTCACTCATCTAAGCTTATTTCACCTGATGATTTAAGCATCCTAGTGATACCTTGGGGGTTAAGTTAGTATTAGGGTGTTTAAGCTTCAGGTGAAATAAGCTGGGGGTTATATCTTCAAGTGATCCATATTGTTTTTTTGTACGGTATCCACATTTGTGCTCGACCCTAAGCTAACATACACCAGCTTTACGTAAATAAGAAATCACCATTGTTTAATTATTTCTGAATGAATTATGTTGAATCTGTAGTTATAACTGTTGACATATAATCCTAATGTAGCTAACTGCTCTTGATCCATCTCAGAATATATCTTAATTCATACTTTCCCATTTATATGATTTTCCAATAATAATAAATCATGAATGACAAACACACACAATAACTGCTATAGCCCCTAAACCTAACCATTACACAGCAACATCGAGGAAAATAATCATATACGTATACGTCAATAACATACGACTGATACCACGAAGCATGAGATATACACCAGATGAGAGCACTGTCTAGGTACTAACATCACATGGACTCTACACTTGTACTTTACACTAAAACTTGGACTTTACTGACTTTAACCATACTCCCAGCATATGGAGACTACTGTAGTTTATCTATACCTTAAATTCATACTTATGAAGGTATATCAGACTTTACGGTTTAGTAGTAACTTATCAGACTTAGTTTATGGTACTGTACCGCTGTTATCGTGTATTAAAGAGACATAAAACTTCAACAAAACGATTTATGGGGGATTTTGCTTAATAAATATCTAAGTAATTTAATGTAACTCACCTCCTTGACCAGCGATCCCACATACAGGGAGCTGATGGGGGTGAGTTCAGCGGACTTAAGAACGATGGTACAACCAGTAGCAAGTGCGGGCCCCCATTTCCACGCCAGCATCATGACTGGGTAGTTCCATGGGATAATCTGTCCCACCACACCCAAGGGCTCCCGGCGGGTCAGGCACATGAACTCTCCATCTGCAAGGGAGACGTCTGGGTGATAAAACTTACCCATGAAAATATAACAAAATGTAAACCTCCTCGTGTTCCTCATATAAAACCATTTAAATGTTACTCTTAATGTATCACCATGGTACTCCTGTGTCTTGATCAACCTTGGTACAAATTAATATCACCCATACATTACACCACAGATATTTCACATGATGACTTACCACCCTAATGCTACTTGGGGGATTAAGTTAGGTTACATTATGTTTGCATTAGGGTTGAAATAAGATGGGAAGACTCACTATTAAGGTGTGTATAATGGGCACTACCTTATTAACAGAGATTATCTAATGGGACCCTCAAAGAGACTACAGCACAACACCTCCCCCATAACTTGAGAGATAGATAGATGGAGAGAATTTTTACTCACCACAAGGGATGGTGCTCCCCTGGATCTTGTCACACCAGCCAGCATAGTAGCGTAGAGTCTTGATGCTGTACTCCAGATCGCACAAAGATTCAGTGAATGGCTTGCCGTTATCGAGGGTGTCCAGGCTGGCTAGGTAACATAGATCCCGCTCCATCAGGTCACTCAACTACACAAACACCAGGTCAGGTGTTTTAAGGTCAAGTACAAAATTCATACAAATGAATTTATATTTTTACCATCAAAGACACTATATGAACAGGATTATATACTTTTTAGTTAAGAAATAAACCTATAATCAAACTATATTTCTGAATAACCATAAGAGAATGATGGTAATGATGACAGTCTCTGAACGTGATGGTAACCGACCTTAAGAATGAGTCTGGCCCTCTCGGAAGCGTCCATGGTGCGCCACGGGGCAGTGTTGGAGAACGCCTTTCTAGCTGCTGCCACCGCCTTGTTCACATCCTCCTACAGGCACCCAGGCAAACAGGTTAATATTAGTGTGTGTGTGTGAGGGGGGTGCAACATTATGGGTTCTAGAACATTTCATCACTGGACAATTCGCCACTAGTTCAGCATAAACCTAACCTAACCAAGACAACATCAGTTCCAAAATAAAGACATTATCTGAATATAATAAATATACCAAGATATTCAATAGATCAGTGACTACATAACCACCCCACAAGCATTAACTATGGTATATCTTTTCTTGCATATGGACAGGAGCAACAGGTATGTAGTGAAGTGCTTGAATAGTACATCATAAAAATATTAAGACTTTATTATGTTCATAAGAAGATTAGCCTCCACCTCCATCTTGTTTCACCTTAAGATTAACCACCCCTAGGTAACACCAGGGTATTTAATCATCAGGTGAAATATACTGGAGGCGGAGAGGGTTGGAGGGGGATTGGTCTTCAAGTGACCCTAGGAATTAAATCTTTACTGTATTGTTCAAGTAATATTAATAGTATCACAACCAACCTCTCCAACTGTACAAAACTCGCCTACCTAACTTATGGAACAAAATAACTGTGACCTGCCCTATCCCTCCACCCCACTAGCTCTGGATCTGACCGTGTACAGACAGTCATACAGTCACATCACTCACCGGGCCGGCCTCGGAAACCTCGCAAATAGCATCCCCTGTCGTCGGGTTGAAGACGGGGAAGGTCCGTCCGCTTTCCGCTTTGACGAACTCATTGTTGATAAAAAGCTGAAAAACAAATGAAGTTAGATATTTTACTTTTATCCTCTTCGCCACTGATCGGCTTGTTAGCCGCTTGGGCGATCGGTCACGTCTCTTTTCATTTATATTCTTCACCAAAAGATCGGCTCGCTAGCCGCCCGGGCGATCGGTCACGTCTCTGTCATGCACTGTTGGCAAATACTGGGCCTGCACCGGCTCCTGAATGTACCTGAACCCGCTCCAGTGTTGGTCAAGTCTTCTCTTGAGAGAGCTCACAGTCGGTGCCGTCACAACACTCTCTGGTAGATTGTTCCAAGAGTTTACAACCCTCACTCCGAAAAAGTTTGCCCTCACAGTTTTCTGGACTTGCGGCTTCTTCAATCTTGAGCTGTGACCCCTTGTGGGGCGAGCGTCCGCCAGCTCCAAGTAAGGACACTCAACTGAGTAGTGCCCCCTGGCTAAATAAACTGTTTAAATTAAATTCAATTCCAGGCTCGTGACAGCGTGCGAAAAGTGCTCTCTCCTTTATCTACATGTTATTCAGAGAGTTTATCGGAATAATAGTGAAGCAATCCAAATATTACAAGATCACGGTGTCCTACCAACATCAAGACTGTGTCCTACGCGTGGAAATTGTTTTCTTTTAAGAAATTACAAATTCTTTTGTCTGCAACCATAAGTGTACCAGATCACCCAGCTGTATCCTCCACCACAGTAGCAGGTAAGCTAAAAAAAATGGTTAGGTTAGGTTAAATGTTTTGTGTGCATGTTTTACTCAAACCTGACTGCCATTTTGGTGCAAATTAGCAGTTTGTTACAAATGAAAATACTAAGTTTTTGAAAAAAAAAAAAAAAAAACGCTAATTTACACAAGAAATGAAGGTCAGATCTGAGTAACACACCATAATACCTGTACACCCACAAACTATTTTTGTATCAAAGCCTGAGGACAGCCAATGGACAAATATTTACCAAGTATAATTAACCTGTCTGGGAATTTACATGTGAAGAATTGAGAGGCTAAAACACACACCAATAAAACCTTTGGCAATATGATCCAAACGTACCTATACAGCACCTCCCATGAATCAATAGACAACCTGACAATCTTACTGAATAATTATCTATCTCTTATGTGATGAAGAGGATAAAAGTAAAGTCAAGGTTGAAGAAGCCACAAGTCCAGAAAACTGTGAGGGGTAACTTTTTCGGAACGAGAATTGTAAACTCTTGGAACAACCTGCCAGTGTGTGTTGTGACGGCACCGAGTGTGAGCTGTTTCAAGACCAGACTTGACCAACACTGGAGCAGGTTCAGATACATTCAGGAGTCAGTACAGTACTTGCCAACAGTGTGTAAAAGATGTGACCAATCACCCAAGTGGCTAACAGGCCGATCATTGGTTAAGAGGATAAAATTATATTAAAACCAAATAGGTGTTGCTACAGACCTCCTTGTATTTTATCTCGGGGTTTCTGATGGCCATCTTGGTAGAGAAACAATCTGGGAAAGAGAGTCAACATTTATTTCATTTTACGAATTACCCCCACGAACCTCGACAAAACACCCGCAGGTTAGTATATAGTACTCACCCGCCAGGGCTGCATAGTGCCGATGCGGCCATATCATCTCACCCCAGAAAATGCCTCAAATTTCACCCTATCATAGTAAGTTCTTTCTGTTTAATATAACAGAGAAGTTAGGTAAGGTTAGGTAGGTTTGTTTGTTTGGTTTGGTGGTAATTACAGTAGGGTCGGGATGTATCGCGAGATAGGATCCAAGGATGTTCACTATATACTAAATCGCGATATAAAATTACATGTAATTGATGGGGAAAATAGGGTTAGGTTCTGGAGGCCAATAAAAGTGACTAAACTTGGAATAAAATGGCACAGTCTAAAGTTAGCAGAAATTACACTGCTAGAATCCTTGCAAGACAGCAAATAATTTGAACATAAGCGTCATATATTTTGCACAAGATATAAAAATTAATCATCTGTACCACATTACAGTAGTGATTTATGAGTTTTAGTGTACAGTATATGTACGAGGGTTACCTCATGTAAATTCAGAAACACTCCTAAATCGCCCTTAAATCACTATACAGTGTGTGTGTGTGTGTGTATGTATATATATATATATATATATATATATATATATATATATATATATATATATATATATATATATATATATATATATATATATATATATATATATACACACAGTATATATACAGTATATGCTGATAACCACAAGGAAAGAAGAAAACACGAAGTTCCCAAGCGCTTTCGTGTAATTCACATCTTCAGGGGTGAGTACAGACTAAGGAGAAGTACAAAACAAGGTGTATATGTACAGAGGAGGGTGAGATCAGGTCCACAATGGTCAGGTATTTGGTAATGACCCTATTAATCTTTAAAAAGCACTGCAACGGTTGGTAGTCAGGTCAGAGGGTAAGGTGACCCAACCTTCTCTGTATATATACACCTTGTTTTGTACTTCTCCTTAGTCTGTACTCACCCCTGAAGATGTGAATTACAGGAAAGTGCTTGGGAACTTCGTGTTTTCTTCTATCATCCTTGAATCTATCCAGCCACCTTTTGAAACTTTCCAGAGTTCCAGCACTTAAATCCGTTGCTCCGAGTCCTATCCTGCTCGGATATTATAAGAACTTTATCTATATCCCCTTTATTGATTCCTTTCACCCACTTAAATACTTCTATCATATCTCCCCGCACTCTTCGTCTTTCTAGGGAATGCAAGTTAAGTTTCTTTAACCTAGCCTGATATTGAAGGTTTCTAAGTCCCGGAATCATTTTCGTCATTCTTCGCTGCACCGACTCTAGTGAATTGATATCCATTCTATAATAAGGGCACCAGAACTGAACCGCATAATCGAGGTGCGGCCTGACTAGCGCAAGATATAATTGCAATAAGACCTCTGCACTCTTATTACTTACACTTCTAGATATAAAACCCAATACTCTGTTTGCCTTATTTCGAACATTAAAGCACTGTTTTCTAGGCCGTAGGTCCGGGCTTACAAGTACCCGTAGGTCTCTTTCACAAGTCGACTTCTCTAGGTTGATGTTGTTAAGGCTGTATACATTGTCAGTATTTGTTCTTCCAATATTAAGTACGCTGCACTTGCTGGTGTTGAATTTCATTTGCCATTTTTCAGACCACCCATGCAGTTTATTTACTTTTACTTTTATCCTCTTCGCCACTGATCGGCTTGTTAGCCGCTTGGGCGATCGGTCACGACTCTTTTCCTTTATATTCTTCACCAAAAGGTCGGCTCGCTAGCCGCCCGGGCGATCGGTCACGTCTCTGTCACGCACTGTTGGCAAATACTGGGCATGCACCGGCTCCTGAATGTACCTGAACCCGCTCCAGTGTTGGTCAAGTCTTCTCTTGAAAGAGCTCACACTCGGTGCCGTCACAACACTTTCTGGTAGATTGTTCCAAGAGTTTACAACCCTCACTCCGAAAAAGTTTGCCCTCACGGTTTTCCGGACTTGCGGCTTCTTCAATCTTGAGCTGTGACCCCTTGTGGGGCGAGCGTCCGCCAGCTCCAAGTAAGGACACTCAACTGAGTAGTGCCCCCTGAGATGCTTATAAACCTCAACTAGGTCCCCCCTTGCCCGTCTGTAGTATAAGCTAGGCAAGTTCAGGCGCTCCAATCTCGCAGGGTAGCTGAGATGCCGAAGTGCAGGCACCAGCTTGGTGGCCCTCCTTTGAACATTTTCAACCAACTGACAGTCCCTAGCATATCTCGGGGACCAGATGGGGTGACAGTACTCCAGATGGGGAAGCACTTCACTCCTGAAGATCGTCACGAGGGACGGACCGTCTAGATATCTGAACGACCTTCTTATAAGACCCAATAATTTATTTGCCTGATTTACCTTCTTCTCACAATGGCCCGAGAACTTCAGCTCATTGTCAACATACACACCTAGGTCCTTCTCACACACAGTCTCAACTAGTACATTTTCTTCATCCCGTTGGGACATATGGTACGCCTCCTTACCGTTGGTACGCCCCAGGTGCATCCTCTTACACTTCGTGACATTGAATCTCAGCAGCCATTCCTTCGACCATTCCTGGAGCCCACAGAGGTCCTTCTGCAGCTCTTCACAGTCCGCTTGGTTCTTAATTTCCCGAAATAACTTGCCATCATCGGCAAACATTTGTATGGAGGAGTGTACAACGTCAGGCATATCATTTATGAAACAAACAAACAACAGCGGGCCCAATACACTACCCTGCGGTACCCCACTTGTTACAGGTACAGATGACGATTTCGTGCCATTAATCACCACACATTGCTTGCGGTCATGTAGAAAGTCTTCTATCCACGCTAGGACATTTCCCCGAATTCCGTACCCTTCCAGTTTGATTTTCAGCCTTTCGTGGGGTACACTGTCGAAAGCCTTGGCAAAATCTAGGTAAATATTGTCGATATTACCACCCCGTTCTAGAATATGGGTCCAAATATCCAATACCTTGAGCAATTGTGTCAAGCAAGAGCGCCCCGGCATAAAACCGTGTTGGCAATCTTTTACAAGGTTGTTTCGTAGTAGATGTTCCATCGCTGCATCTCTGATAATACTCTCAAGTACTTTACATATTATGCTGGTCAGGCTCACCGGTCTATAGTTGTTCGTGGAGTGCCTATCGCCCTTCTTGAAGATAGGACTCACATAAGCCACTTTCCATTCACTGGGGACCATTTGTTCATCCAGGCATTTACAAAACAGAATCTTCAGGGGCTCTGCAAGCTCGTTGCACAGCTCCCTTAGCACTCTAGGATGCACCATGTCAGGTCCAGGACTCTTATGGACCTTTAGCCTGGACAGTTTATTTCTAATACCCTCTTCTGTGAACACAATGTGGGTCAGTGCTGTGTCGAACCGTCTGTCCTCAAACGCAGGAAGGTTAGTTGCATCCTCTCTTGTGAACACTGAGGAAAAGAAGCTGTTCAATGCCTCAGCTTTATCCTGGTCAGAATCTGCGTAACTACCATCTTCAAGCCTCAGGTCTGATACTCCTACTCGCGTTTTCAATTTCGACTTTGCATAGCGGTAAAACGCCTTTGGGTTTGACTTGACCTCGCGTGCAACCAGCCTTTGGAACTCCTTTTCAGCCCTCCTACACTCTATCTTTGCTTGGTTTCTGGCTCTTGCATACATCCTCCTGTCTTGCTCATCGTTTGACCCAACCCACGTCTTGAATTTCTGGGTTTTCTTCTTAATTTTGTCGACCGCCGCATGGTTCATGTGTAGGGATCCCCTCGTATTCCTAGAAGCACTGGGTTTGGTCTTGGGTATATATTTATCGATCAAATGGGTCATTTTACTAGTTATGATATTCAGCGTAGTGTCTGCGTTCTTGTACCTTAATAAGTCAGGCCAGTTGATACCCCTCATCTCTTCCCTCATCCCATTGTAATTTCCCTTGTAATATTTGCACCTTGGCCTGGCCTTATCTTGAACTAGGTAACAGTTAAATCTGAATGACAACACTGTATGGTGACTGGTGCCAACTGGGGCAAGGTGTTCCAGTTTGGCCACCATACCCTCCTCGTTTGTTATGATGAGGTCAAGTGGCTTGGGTGTTTGTTCCCCTCTGTAATGTGTCGGGTCTCTCACATGTTGGAACAGAAAATTATCTCAGAGTTTCTACAAAAAGAGTAGCAGGATTATTCAAGTCATTCGGGGTTGACTCGTTTCTCCAGTCGATGTCGCCATAGTTAAAGTCCCCCATGATAAGGAGGTGGCTGGGGTTGAGCATCGCCGCATTGTTTATTAAGGTTCTTAAGTTCCTTTGATTTAGTGGGCCACAGTTCGGGGATCTGTAGATACACCCGACGATAAGTAAGTCCCCTCCCTTTAATTTAATTTTACACCACTTGGACTCTTCAAAGACATCCTCTCCCTGTACCCTCGCCTGGCTGGCTCTAAGGTCTTGCCTAGCGTAGATAACCACACCCCTCCTGCAGGATTCTTGAGTTAGGTTCGTAAATGAGTCATATCCAGCAATACTGAACTCACATTTAGATCCTCCTGTAATGCATTTGCATCCTGCCCTGAATTAATCTTGTCGCCTATTTTGGTGTCATCCGCAAACTTGCTTATGTCACTGCTGATCCCAGTATCTAGATCGTTTATGTAGATTATGAACAAGAGTGGGCCTAGTACTGACCCCTGGGGAACCCCACTGGTTACACGGCCCCACTCAGATTTAACACCATCTACGCTGACCCTCTGCGTTCTATCGGTGAGCCATGATTTTATCCAATTTATAACTTTCCCCTCGATACCATGAGCCTTAATTTTTCTCAGAAGCCTCTGATGCGGTACTCTGTCAAATGCTTTTCGTCATTACCTACTACCTCGAAGAATTTCCTAAAAAACATCAGCAGATTTGTTAGACAAGATTTTCCCTTTGAAACCCATGTTGCGAGTCGTACATTAATTTGATTTTCTCTAGATGCGATCGGATGATATACATATATATATATATATATATATATATATATATATATATATATATATATATATATATATATATATATATATATATATATATATATATATATATATATATATATATATATATATATATAGATAGTGATTTAAGGGCGATTTAGGAGTGTTTCTGAATTTACATGAGGTAACCCTCGCTAAGTTGGGAGTCTACTGTATACAGTATTGGAAAATTTTGATCATTTTGATAGTAGTGATAAATTTGAAATATTTCCTGCACGATTTCCCCAGAGAAATAAAAAAAAAGATCATTATATATAGGAAAATGTACGTAACTTTGGTAGCCGCGAATTTTTTTTTTTATATAAAATTCTATATTTCCCGACCCTAAAAGACTAACCAACGAGCGAAATTGATTGGAAAAAATTATAAACGCCGGATTTTCACTGTTATATTACAGTGGACACTGTTGTAGTTTGTGGAAGTATGTTAAAAAAATTATTTTTTAAAATAAACGTTACTTAACATTTGTAGCTATGAAGAACAGACCAAACCAACCTACCTAACCTTACCCAACTTCATCCTGTGTACCGCCAGCAAGGACGTGGGCTCGTAACACGTATTTTTTTTTTTTTTACAGGGGTTAGCCCATCCGGGCATAGGTCACTAACCCACATCGGGGCCCACGGGGGCGGCGAAAACGTAAGAATAATAATTCATAGTAAAAATAATTTTAATACGTAAAAAAGTAATATATTAATGATAATAATAATAAATACAAAAAAATACATAAAATGAAAAAAAATCAAGTGAGAAACGCTATATGTATGTTGTGCTGTCATGTAAGAGAAACAACCAAGACCCTACAATTGTGTGTAAATGAGGCAGAAAGACAAGATCAGTAACCTGGGACTAGATCTCAATTTTCGTAATGCCATATGGCAGCAAGGGTCTACCATTATACAACATATCCAATATCTTCCCAAAGCGGTAGTAACTACCTGTTTGGTAGTTACCAACTACCAGTCTTGCCCACGGTGCCTGTGGCCACTACATGCCCACCGTTTCTCTGTGGCTGCCGGTCACACTAGAATAACCCGTTATATTACCTCCTTCTTTCCTCACACAGCCCGGGTGGGCTAATTCCCGTAAACAAAATGAAAAATAAAGAAGTTACACGGTGTAACTACCGGCCCAACAGGTCCTGAAATAACACTGAATATCTCTCTAACACACACGACAGCACGTAAGACAAATTTTAATATGACCTCTGATAGTAATATGATATAAATTGTAAGAAAATATTAAAAATACTTGAGGAAATTGAGTAAAACAACAGAAATTCAACTCACGTTGCTCCAACACCTCCTCTCACTACGGCGACTACGGAACCACTGAGCACAGGTAGGGGGGGGAGGGGGGGGTCAGTCACGTGTTCTTGTGCAGTGTTGCCGCTAGTTCATAACACGGCCTGTTGCCAAGCGTCACTTAAGAGAAAACGGGTACAATTATTGAGTAACTGAATTAAACAGGATATAAATAGAAAATATTCAAAGACGATATTGATTAATATTGAAATACTTTTTATTTCGGTATGGAATAAAGAAGAAGTAATAAGGTTTAGGAAAAAACAAAATTGGAACAAAATGTGCATGAATATTTCCCCATTTTGTAAAGAAAGACAAAGGTAATAAACAATATATATACTGTACATGGTATTTACAATTAATCATTATGATTTTTTACAAACCGAATAAAATTTTTCACTTGGCTCGTATGAAACACATCCTCCACATTTGTGAACCATTTCAGATGGAATGATTAGAGTTGTTAAAGTCTGCTTAGAAAGAATAATCTTTGCTTAGTTTTGGTCAGATTCACCTTGGAAAAGATTCTTTCTACATCAAAATTTGATGTGGGCAAAGACAATATCTTCAGAGCCTGCACTTCGGCACCTCAGCTACCCTGAGAGATTGGAGCGCCTGAACTTGCCTAGCTTATACTACGGACGGGCAAGGGGGGACCTAGTTGAGGTGTATAAGCATCTCAGGGGGCACTACTCAGTTGAGTGTCCTTACTTGGAGCTGGCGGACGCTCGCCCCACAAGGGGTCACAGCTAAAGATTGAAGAAGCCGCAAGTCCAGAAAACTGTGAGGGCAAACTTTTTCAGAGTGGGAGTTGTGAACTCTTGGAACAATCTGCCAGAAAGTGTTGTGACGGCACCAAGTGCGAGCTCTCTCAAGACAAGACTTGACCAACACTGGAACGGGTTCAGGTACAGTCAGGAGCCGGTGCATGCCCAGTATTTGCCAACAGTGCGTGACAGAGACGTGACCGATCGCCCGGGCGGCTAGCGAGCCGATCTTTTGTGAGCTACTCTTTTTGTAGAAACTCTGAGAGATAATTTTCTGTTCCAACATGTGAGAGACCCGACACATTACAGAGGGGAACAAACACCCAAGCCACTTGACCTCATCATAACAAACGAGGAGGGTATGGTGGCCAAACTGGAACACCTTGCCCCAGTTGGCACCAGTCACCATACAGTGTTGTCATTCAGATTTAACTGTTACCTAGTTCAAGATAAGGCCAGGCCAAGGTGCAAATATTACAAGGGAAATTACAATGGGATGAGGGAAGAGATGAGGGGTATCAACTGGCCTGACTTATTAAGGTACAAGAACGCAGACACTACGCTGAATATCATAACTAGTAAAATGACCCATTTGATCGATAAATATATACCCAAGACCAAACCCAGTGCTTCTAGGAATACGAGGGGATCCCTACACATGAACCATGCGGCGGTCGACAAAATTAAGAAGAAAACCCAGAAATTCAAGACGTGGGTTGGGTCAAACGATGAGCAAGACAGGAGGATGTATGCAAGAGCCAGAAACCAAGCAAAGATAGAGTGTAGGAGGGCTGAAAAGGAGTTCCAAAGGCTGGTTGCACGCGAGGTCAAGTCAAACCCAAAGGCGTTTTACCGCTATGCAAAGTCGAAATTGAAAACGCGAGTAAGAGTATCAGACCTGAGGCTTGAAGATGGTAGTTACGCAGATTCTGACCAGGATAAAGCTGAGGCATTGAACAGCTTCTTTTCCTCAGTGTTCACAAGAGAGGATGCAACTAACCTTCCCGCGTTTGAGGACAGACGGTTCGACACAGCACTGACCCACATTGTGTTCACAGAAGAGGGTATTAGAAATAAACTGTCCAGGCTAAAGGTCCATAAGAGTCCTGGACCTGACATGGTGCATCCTAGAGTGCTAAGGGAGCTGTGCAACGAGCTTGCAGAGCCCCTGAAGATTCTGTTTTGTAAATGCCTGGATGAACAAATGGTCCCCAGTGAATGGACAGTGGCTTATGTGAGTCCTATCTTCAAGAAGGGCGATAGGCACTCCACGAACAACTATAGACCGGTGAGCCTGACCAGCATAATATGTAAAGTACTTGAGAGTATTATCAGAGATGCAGCGATGGAACATCTACTACGAAACAACCCTGTAAAAGATTGCCAACACGGTTTTATGCCGGGGCGCTCTTGCTTGACACAATTGCTCAAGGTATTGGATATTTGGACCCATATTCTAGAACGGGGTGGTAATATCGACAATATTTACCTAGATTTTGCCAAGGCTTTCGACAGTGTACCCCACGAAAGGCTGAAAATCAAACTGGAAGGGTATGGAATTCGGGGAAATGTCCTAGCGTGGATAGAAGACTTTCTACATGACCGCAAGCAATGTGTGGTGATTAATGGCACGAAATCGTCATCTGTACCTGTAACAAGTGGGGTACCGCAGGGTAGTGTATTGGGCCCGCTGTTGTTTGTTTGTTTCATAAATGATATGCCTGACGTTGTACACTCCTCCATACAAATGTTTGCTGATGACGCCAAGTTATTTCGGGAAATTAAGAACCAAGCGGACTGTGAAGAGCTGCAGAAGGACCTCTGTGGGCTCCAGGAATGGCTGCTGAGATTCAATGTCACGAAGTGTAAGAGGATGCACCTGGGGCGTACCAACGGTAAGGAGGCGTACCATATGTCCCAACGGGATGAAGAAAATGTACTAGTTGAGACTGTGTGTGAGAAGGACCTAGGTGTGTATGTTGACAATGAGCTGAAGTTCTCGGGCCATTGTGAGAAGAAGGTAAATCAGGCAAATAAATTATTGGGTCTTATAAGAAGGTCGTTCAGATATCTAGACGGTCCGTCCCTCGTGACGATCTTCAGGAGTGAAGTGCTTCCCCATCTGGAGTACTGTCACCCCATCTGGTCCTCGAGATATGCTAGGGACTGTCAGTTGGGTTGAAAAATGAAAATACTCGTTGAATGCCTATAAGCATCTCAGGGGCACTACTCGTTGAGGTCCTTACTGAGCTGAGGACGTCATTCCACAAGGGGTCACAGCTCAAGATTGAAGAGCTGCAAGTCCGGAAACCGTGAGGGCAAACTTTTTCGGAGTGAGGGTTGTAAACTCTTGGAACAATCTACCAGAAAGTGTTGTGACGGCACCGAGTGTGAGCTCTTTCAAGAGAAGACTTGACCAACACTGGAGCGGGTTGAGGTACATTCAGGAGCCGGTGCATGCCCAGCATTTGCCAACAGTGCGTGACAGAGACGTGACCGATCGCCCGGGCGGCTAGCGAGCCGACCTTTTGGTGAAGAATATAAAGGAAAAGAGTCGTGACCGATCGCCCAAGCGGCTAACAAGCCGATCAGTGCGAAGAGGATAAAAGTAAAATGAAGAGATGCATCGCCCAAGCGGCTAACAAGCCGATCAGTGGCGAAGAGGATAAAAGTAAAAGTAAAATCGTCTTTCATACTTGACATTTCCTTGTAGAATAGCTTTGCATTTCTTTGATTTTTCATATAATCTGGAAATTTTATGCTGTTGTAGTGGATTTCTCCCCTACAAACGCTGTTTGTCGCTGAGTAGTATGCCTCGTGGTCTAGGTCAACCAGCGGCGCCATACATCACGGAGCGGGGGTCAACTACTAAGCCACGCCTACCCCCCGCTATTTAAGACCTGACCTCGTGGTGACCTGTCTCTTTCTACCTACACCAACCAGCCAGCAACACCTCCTCCGCCTGCCTGGCGGTCCTCGCTCCCGCCGGCGAGCATGGCGACCCACAGGCTGGTCCTCCTCTGAGCACCCTCACCAACCAGCTCTCTCTACATCACGCTTGTTACCATGCTGCCTTCCCAGCACCAAGCTGCATTGTACATCCAATACAACATGTATACAGAGAGCACATTGTGAGTTTCCTTTCTCCATCCCATCCTGAGTGTGAACCAAACAACTTGAACCCAACACTGTCAATGGCTCTCCACTCATTATTCAACTGCTGTTTCTTCGTGGGGAACTAAAGTTTAGACGCTCGAGAAGCAACTGTTGCGTCATACACGTTTATACTTCTATCCTCTGTGCCACTGATCGGCTCGTTAGCCGCCCGGGCGATCGGTCACGTCTCTGTCACGCACTTTTGGCAAATACTGGGCATGCACCGGCTCCTGAATGTACCTGAACCCGCTCCAGTGTTGGTCAAGTCTGGTCTTGAGAGAGCTCGCACTTGGTGCCGTCACAACACTCTCTGGCAGATTGTTCCAAGAGTTTACAACCCTCCGAAAAAGTTTGCCCTCACAATTTTTTGGACTTGCGGCTTCTTCAATATATAAACCCAGTTGCCCAGTGCAGGTATACTGTATGGCTGCTAATCACACCCCATACTTAGGTTCATCTAGCGATCCATCAAGCAATTTCTCCCAAGGTGGCCAAATCTTCCTACCTGGGATTTTATTCTTTTTATTGAATCATCAAGTGTTCAAACAATGGACAGATAATAGTGTTTTGATCAATGGTATTTTCAACTTTAAATATAAAACAAAATTAATCAAATGCGTCATCGTTGTTATTCGTATATTTATTAGTTATAATCGGGACCAACTGATTATTCTAAGATAAAACTAAGGCCTCTCTCTCTCTCTTCACCCTAAAGTTACCCCGTACCAAACAATGATGCCACTCCCCGTCAATGACGTCACATCACAACACAGGTGTTACGACACCTTCGTATAGTGACCAAAAAAGTCGTGCATTATTCCATTTAAACTTTTATCTATTAAACAAATCACAAAATGGACTGAAAACGAAGGATGTTATTCAGTGAAAGGTGATATTTATGTCTGTGTAATGTATGTCAATGAAATATATGGCTTGAATGAGTATCAATTTAAGTAATTCTCATTATTATAATGAGTGGTTATGTTATTAATTGATTTATATCCATATATTTATCGTTAATGGATAAGTTATCTTGCTAAAGGTCCATTAAGGGCTGCCCATTATCATCGTTAAGGTAAATTTACGAGAATTAATGGTGTATTTTGCCTGTTTTATGCCTTTTTCGCAATCGATTTCTGATCCTATGGTAAATACTGTAGGAGAAAAATGATTTAATTGTAAATATTGGCTATGGACGACAGATGTGTAGGACTACCTGAAGTTAGCCCCTAGTTTACCTCACGTGATGATTAAACACCATTATGTTACCTGGGGGTTAGGTTAGGATTAGTGTTGTAACGTTATGTTAAATTAGAGTTATGTAGATTAGGTTAGGTTAAATTAATGTTATGTAGGTTAGTTTATGTTAAATTAGGGTTATGTAGGTTAAGTGAAATTAATGTTATGTAGGTTAGATTATGTTAAATTAATGTCATGTAGGTTAGTTTAGGTTAAATTAGGGTTATGTAGGTTAGATTATGTTAAGTTATGTTCATCTTCATGTTAGGTTAGCATTGGTATAGTTAAACTTCAGGTGAAATGGGGAGCTAATCTTCAGGTGATCCAACGTGAACAAACTGACTCGAACACTATACCTTGACCTAACATTCAGATAAACCATCATTTAGTGTAGCATTTTGAGGAGATCATTTACCTGCGGCTTAACGTTCTTTGTTTTTAGTCTCAGACATAATGCCTCGTCACAGTAAGGTACAACTCGAGGTTCTTCGCTTATATAAACAATGTCTTCGAGCGGCCGAGAAGAAGCCTGGATTCTACGGCAACGTGCAGCATGAATTTCGCAAGAATGCAATGCTTCCCAAGACAGAAATCCTCCGCGTGGAACACCTAATTCGGCAAGGGTGGAGGAAGCTGAAGATGATGCAAGACCCTTATGTCACTAGTATGGGTCATTACCAAAAGTGAAAAAGTGATCTTGTTCATAAAAATTCATATCATACATTAACTTTTTAAGAATTGAGACATACTGTATATGTCTCAGTGGACTATACTTGTGATTTATGTTTAAGTCAGACATTTATACAGGGTCAAAACTATACAAGAAAGGTGCTCAAATGACTGTGACAAATTAATATATTTTTGACAAGTCTACCAAACTAGTCTTCAAAATGGCAAGCAGAATGGCAAGCAGAATTGTGTACGTAAGCAAACTGGGGCGTATGCGGTACTTGCCTGCGTGGGACTACCAGAAAAATGTTGCGGAAAAAGTGCGCAACAACATGAAAACCGGGAAGGAACCAGGACACACGCTTCTCCTTGTGGAACACCATCCGGGTAAGGACACTATGTGGTTTAAGTAATTAGTAAAATTGGGGACTTTTTATGAATCATTTAGTCAGCAATAAGTAAGCATTACGTTAAGTTTGGGTAGGTTTGAGTAGTATTAAGGTTAAGTTAGTAGAAAGTCAAATTTAGTTAAGTTGGGTTAATATTAAGTTAGTTAGGTTAGGATTAGGGTATTTAATAAAGTGAAATAAACTGAGGTTGCGAATCTACACACGATCCCCTTTTTCCACCCAGTGTACACAATCGGTATCCGCCAAACTGAATACACCGAGGAATTGGAAACCCAGTTGAGGTCAATGGGCGCAGACTTTCACCGTACAAACCGCGGGGGTCTCATAACCTTCCACGGACCAGGCCAGCTGATGGCATACCCAATCTTACACCTCAGGTCCTTCAGTTCGGGTATGAAGTGGTAAGGGAGTCTTGTACTGTACTTCCGTTAACTTATTATAGAAGTGTAATAATTTTTTTATATGAATTATGACATACTGGTAACTAATATTTTCATTGTTTATTTTATATTTATTGATTTTTCTTTACCTTTTCAATGTTTAGGAATTATTTAAAGTTATTTATTTTTTTAGTATTGGTTAAAGGAAGATTTTGTTCAGGAAATAACTGGGATCATGTCAAGATTATTAGACACTAGTTTATTTCACCTGATGATTAAACACTTTAACCTAACCTCCTAAAGTAGCTTAGGGTGTTTAATCTATGGTTTCGAATCTACAGTGGACTCGATATAAACTCGTCTAGATGATAGTTGAATCAGCCGATTATTTCTTATGTATTTTCCTAATTACTGTACTACTTTAATTCGTCAGGTACGTGTGTGCACTAGAGCGGACAGTCATACGCACCTTACGTTGGCTAGGCATCAACTCCCACACGTCCCCCCACACTGGAGTCTGGGTTGGTGACAATAAAATATGTGCTCTGGGTGAGTGACTTGTATTGTATTTTTTTTTGCTTTGGACTTTATGGAAAATAAATAGTGTGTATAGAACTTTCAGAATTGATTGGTACCCCTGTAATTTGTAGCGGTTTATTGGATTACCTGAAGATTAGACACCCCAGCTTAATTTAACTTAACCTAATCCCCAGGTAATGTTAGGGTGTTTAATCATTAGGTAAAATAAACTGAGGTAGCTAATCTTTATTGTCACTTTCAGGTATTCAGGGCCGTCACGTAACGACTCACGGTTTAGCGTTGAACTGCAACACAGACTTACGGTGGTATGAGCACATCGTACCTTGTGGGATTCCCGACAAAGGCATAACGAGCATCAGCAAGGAACTGAACCGGGACGTAACGATAGACGAAGTGGAGCCTCATTTTCTAAAAGCTTTCTCTGAAGTGTTCGAGTGTAAAGTTGTTCCCGCTGATGACAGAGACATTGGTGTAGGTTAACCAGAGTTGTTTGTTACCAAGATTTATTTCAATTATTCATGGGTTAGTTAATACAGTGTTTAGTTATTGTATTCTAAATATAGAGCATGGTGAATTTGATAAGTTAGTTATACAAGAACACAAACTACAGTGCTCTGGGCCAATTCATAGGTTCAAAGTGGGCACAAAGAGGTTTCTGAAGTGTCTATTTAAGTAAAGACGGTGTTTGTTGTCCCTTGCAATCTCTTGTCAGGTTCCCTTTCCTATGTCATTCTTGGCCTACCTCTGGCTCACCTCCTCTCTGTATTCAGACATGCACCTTTTGATCCAGTTGCTGTTGTCCATTCTCTCCACATGCCTAAACTGTCTGCATCTGTGCAGGACTAAACCAATACCCAGTCACCATCTTAGCTCTGAACAGTTACATTACACATCCACCTCACTCAAATCTATTCATTAACTTCTATCCATACACATATGAGCCAGTACACACATTCACCCACATACACACAAAATCACATTCACCCACTTATTCTAATACAGTGTTGTGCCTTCTTTGTACTGGGTCATTATCTCTGCACGTTAATATATAGATTGTACTAAGATTCTCCAGAGTGATTCTTCTGTATTTTTGTGAATTAATTTTTTTTATTTTGTTCTCAAATACTTTGATAAAGTATTGGGGTATTTTTTTGACAATTTCACAAGCCAGTTTTCAGTATACAGTCTCTCCTCGACTCATGACGGGGTTCCGTCCTGACGACCAGGTCGTAAGTCAAAAAGGCGAAAATAATGTAGAAATTCTAAAATGAAATACAGAACAGTAAAAGTAATCAATTATGAAAAATGTGTTACTGTGCACTTACCTTTAATGTAGTCAGCTGAATGCACACGGAGCCTCAATAATTTTTTCATCAAGAATGGAGACTACATTAATTGGATGAAGCAGAGGAGGAAACAGGGCCATTGTAAGTCAAATATGTGGTAAGTCAAGGAGAGACTGCATTTGGTAAACTGCATTAAAGCACACAGTACTATAGCCAGTACACATATCATAGCAGGAAACTTTATTTTGTTATGGTTTCTTTAATGTGAATGGTCGACTACCTAACGATGGCTGATGATGATTAAAATGTTTCAACTACCTAAAAAATGTCTAGTGACACCGAGCGACGTGAAAGGTTGCTCATTTGTGATTTAAGGTGATATGTAAGGATTGTAGTCTGTAAATATTGTTAGTTGTACAAGTTGTATATAATTTGAATAACTATTAAATAAATAGTTCTGTATATTTGACTGTTTCTAACCCTCTGGTATGAAGTGTAAACAATGTACACTACAGTTATATACAGGTCTACATACAGCAGATCTAAGACTTACCCTCATGTGATCCTCCACCATAATCTTCCTAACTTGTGACCTGATCCTATGTCAGTGATTGAGAGCCGAGGTAAGTAAACACTCTTAATATCTGCTGCTAAAATGGGTTAATGTAGGCAACTTTCCATGCAGTTTTTCCTATTCAACTTCCTAGGCAACATATCCGCTCCTGATTGAATGATAAAAGAGGAGAAATAAGTACAGGTTACAAAATGAGTTTATTTAAAAAATCGTATGTACAGAGTAGGCAAATCTTTCACTGTGAGACTGATGCCGTTAGCCGTACAGCTGTAGCTACTCGCACAACAAAGATCCTGCCTCTGTGAAAGAGTCGACCTTCACGAGGGGAGGGGAGAAGCCCCCTCTTAAAGAATATGGCAGCTCCAAAAGTAACGTCGAGAAGTCCGTCTGCCGGGACCAGAGTTCTATTGTCGGGCAATGTTTTCCTTCCGTCTAGCTATTTCCGACGCTTATGCGACCCGTCTGCATAAACTGTACGCCAGTCAAATTTATTTAGATTATGAAAACAATTATACTATATAACCAATGCAACAATGATAAATATATAAAAAATTTAAACAAAAATTGTGCTTACTGAAAGGCAGGACAATTGGCCTACTGACTGAGCTCTGTCCATTATATAAAGTCCTTGGTGATCATTACAGCTGATGGCAGTAGAATAGCTGTTGACTACTGATGGATTTTGGCCCAAAAAATTTTTTGGCAATAAATAACAATAATTAACACTGAAAAAAGAAAAGCCAATTTACCAACAGAACGATACAATTCTAAGAAACCAACGACCAATCAACACGTACGAACTGCGATGGTCGGCGAGGACGTCAAAAACAGGCCGAGCTCAGTGAATGGGCCAGTTTCTGTGTAGGCTTAGCCCTTAGTGAATCGCGGTAGATACTAAGTAAAGCTCTAACACACTACGTCCTGGGGAGGTCAACGTCAGCATCACGTCATCATGTAGACTCGTGTAAGCGCCGGCTTCAACGTACACGCTGAGGAAAGACATCTTGTACCCGACTCATTGGGAGAATTTGGGGAGGCTGTCTAGACTCAGTGGGAGAATTTTAGGAGGCTGTCTAGACTCAGTGGGAGAATTTTAGGAGGCTGTCTAGACTCAGTGGGAGAATTTTAGGAGGCTGTCTAGACTCTTTGGGAGGATTTGGGGGAGGCTGTCTACACTGTATTGCCCAGGAGTGATAAATGCATGTGTGAATAAAGAATAAATGCAGAAAAAGAGATGAAGTAAAATTTAGTTAGATATTCTTACAAAAAATATCGGGGCGAATGTGAGATTTAATTAGATATGTTTACAATGTTAGAATCAGAGGTCAAATGTTGAGGACTGTGTTGTGTTGTGTGTTTGGGTTGTGTTGAGTTAGGTTTGGTTGTGTTGGGTTGTTTTGTGTTTGGTTTGTGTTGTGTGTTTAGGTTTGGTTGTGTTGGGTTGAGTTGTGTGTTTAGGTTTGGTTGTGTTGGGTTGGTTAGTTTAGGTTGTGTTATGTTAGGTTAAGTTGGGTGAATATGATCAACACTATAATAATGTTTAAATGGAATTATATAGATTTATGAGAGGAATAAAATTATTTACTCCGTGTTTGTAATGTATGAAGTGTGATGGTGGTAGTAATGGTCAGCTGCAGTATGAAGTGTGGTGGTGGTGATAGTAACGGTCAGCTGCAGTATGAAGTGTGGTGGTGGTGGTAGCAATGGTCAGTATGAAATGTGGTGGAAGTAACGGTCAGCTGCAGTATGAAGTGTGTGGTGGTGGTGGTAGCAATGGTCCGCTGTAGTATGAAATGTGGTGAAGTAACGGTCAGCTGCAGTATGAAGTGTGGTGGTGGTAGTAATGGTCAGCTGCAATATGAAGTGTGGTGGTGGTGGTAGCAATGGTCAGCTGCAGTATGAAGTGTGGTGGTGGTGGTAGTAACGGTCAGCTGCAGTATGAAGTGTGTGGTGGTGGTAGTAATGGTCAGCTGCAGAATGAAGAGTGGTGGTGGTGGTAGCATGGTCAGCGCAGTATGAAGTGTGGTGGTGGTGGTAGTAATGGTCAGCTGCAGTGTATGGTGGTAGTAACGGTCAGCTGCAGTATGAAGTGTGGTGGTGATGGTAGTAACGGTCAGCTGCAGTATGAAGTGTGGTGGTAGTAATGGTCAGCTGCAGTATGAAGTGTGGTGGGTGGTAGTAATGGTCAGCTGCAGTATGAAGTGTGGTGGTGGTAGTAATGGTCAGCTGCAGTATGAAGTGTGGTGGTGGTGGTGGTAGTAATGGTCAGCTGCAGTATGAAGTGTGGTGGTGGTAGTAATGGTCAGCTGCATGTATGAAGTGTGAGATAATGGTCAGCTTCACTCATAAAGTAATGGTTCTCACAGCAGGCAGACGACTCCCCCCCCATACTACAACACCCAATACCCTAAAAAAAAACACCGTCTCGAAAATTTTGTTCAACCCAGAAGGACGCCCATGCAAGGGACAAAGACCGCCAGTCAAGCACGTGCACCCCGACCGTGGACGTCTACCTCTGGCCTGGAGAAAATGTCATCGCCCCTAGACCTCGAGTATTATACGTCCGCAGCTCAGAATGCACGTCCTCGACTTTTAAACACGCACATTCTTTAATCCAATGTTGTTATTATATTCCCTCGACCAAAGGCACGTCCCAGCGGCCATAATATTCATCCTTAAGGTAATGGGGTGAGAAGGTGAATAACGAGAGCATAACAAACGCCCTCGTCCCGGTAAACGGAACTTCGCCACAAACAAATAGTTTTAGACAACATCAAATTAATTTAATTACACTGAAAATATTAACATTATATGTAAATAGTCTAGAAAAGGAGAAGACAATACCTGAGACATCAACAAAATGGGTAAAAAATAAAAATAAAAAATAAAAAAAAGTAAAAAAAAATAATAAACATAACAAGAATTATTATATGTGAAGAGGCACCGCTCGGGCCAGGTGGTAACAAGATCCACGCCTCCTCAACTCCAGCGTCACCTGCCGCACACCACACTTTGTACATACTCAACAAATTCATGTACAGTACAGCTAATCATAAGAAAAAAAATACAACCCCACATGGCTGAGGTTGAATTAGCACATAACATTGGATATGATTAATTATACTCCCATTATAAGTGGATGGTGAGTAGAAGCTGTGGGGGTGTATATCGCTCTCTGTAAGCTTGTTTGTATACAGCCGTAAACTATGCGGGTACCGCAGGGGGCGTTTCGTGCTCTCCGTCGAACGCCGAGAGTAAACTGGCGAATCTCGACCGTGGAGCGCGTAAACTGCCGCGTAAACTATGTGGGTACCACCGGGGGCATATAATGCTCTCCGACCCAGAGTAAACCGGTGAGTCTTGGCTATTGAGCGTGTAAACTGCCGTGTGTGTGAGCTGCACTATACGACCCTCGCAGCCTCTACGCTAGTAGCACCAAAGATAAAAGAGTTGCCAATAAAGGCTTAGTGTGAGCGTATCACAGGTCCTGGCTACGGCGGTCCTCGCCCGCGTGCCTCCGCAAGTTCTTGCTACCAGCTGCTTCTTGACTAGTTTGACACTGGCATCTTACAATATGTACACCACTACATATTTCTACTTCAACTCAACTTGGCAGAAAATATAAATCCCTGAACTTTACTTAACTTGATTAATAATGTAACATCTCTCCCAGATTCTATATTATCAACCTTTCATAATTTTACACATTGTAATAATCATACAGTACTGTATAACATACTTCAACTAAATCAATATTAGGGTGTTAATATCAGTATTTAACAACATTCATAACTTAGGCCTTAAAAACACTTTCATTTATCCAATGGATTTTAGTTTTTAAAATTTATTAAATTAATATTAACAATGTTTGTGAACTTGATGTTGTGAATTTAGACACATGACTGACTGTCAGTTACCCCATAAGTCACACTCACTGTGAGCACTACACTATGGTATGTATACAACTGAGAGCCTGTAATAATAACATCAAATTCAACAAACATTATGTACTGTACTTGATACAAGACAACCTGCTAAAGCATCATGTATTACTTACCAACAAGTAAAATAACAAATTTCTTGCCATGAGTACTTGACGCTGCCACAGTCACTACTATGTTTTGGCTTTATTTTGTGAATAGCAGCAGTACAGTATAGCGTGTTACTTGACGGAGTAGTGGGCAGACGTGTAGCGAGTCAAGAGACGTGGTAGCAAGTTCTGACGACGACGAGCGTCCGCCGGCACGTGGATCCTGCGAGTGTCTCACACGGCTCCTGGCCACACCTTCACACGTTATACATCTCTCTCACTTTATTTCTAAATTGAGGTAAGAAATTAAGCCTATCTGCTCCAAGGCTCCATCACCGCCGGACCGCACGGCTCAAGATCCCGCGGTCCGGCGAGTCTCCCCGGCGGACTCGCTTCACTTCCGTCCGTCCTTCGGCCAGACCATTTTCTACTCCTCCACCGGGGATATCGATGCCAAAATTGTCCGTCACGCTTCGTCTCTGCCTCACTTCGCGTCACCAAGAGTCGGGCAGAGGAATTTTATTTAGAGGGAGGCATCCGAGTCACCGCCGCCGCCACAACAGATATCCTCTGCTAGATAAACCACTTGGTGACCATGTCCACACACACTATAGTCTCCTCAGTACAGTATATCAACACTCATTAGTCCGCCTTTCTTATCTGTGCAAATATTTTGCCATCAAAAAGTGGGAGGATCTCCGAGTCGTCGGTGATCTCCTCCTGGATCACTCCGAACTCTTCGCACTGCTTCTTGAAGAAGAATCTGAAATATTAATATGAAAGTTATCAAGGTTCTACATACACATCTCTCTAATATAAGGAGACAATAATTCAAATCATTACTTTAAGAAAACAAACAAGTAACTGTGAGCCCTTCCTCATAACCTAAAGTAGCACCTGTAACTAACCATCTTGTATCACAGGAAACTGTGGTTTATAACACAACCCTCACTAGAAGGTTGGGGATGTGGTAATGTTAAAAATATGTACAGTAATGGTATTTAAGCATCTTGTGGCTTTAAAACCACAAAAGAAATGATCTACTGTACACCAGAGCACATGTCTCAAAGTTGTAACAACTCTTAAGATATTTCAATTGATCAAAATGTCCTTTTACTTAGGGGAAAACACACTAATGGTTTAGCCATTATCAGTGTTGGCACGAGGAGTTACCACTAACAAGAAAAAATAACAAGTACTGTATAGAAAAATCCTATTGTAATAAAATGGGTTGTGACTTAACTCATTCTGTAAGACTATTTCTTCACAAAATAGAAAAATGACAATTTTATTCTAGCAATATTTCATAAAAGCCTAAATACTGAACAGAAATAAGGAAACATTGCATAAAATATTATAAAGGTTTGTTTCATTTCACCTTAAAGAACAAATTATATGAAGCACAGTACAGTATTGAGATATTTCAACAAGATCAAACTTTTGCTCCAAAGAGCCAGATGGCAGGGCTGTACCCACCTGTAGTTTCCTTTCTTAGGGAGATGCTGTTTGAAGCGCTTCAACGTGACCGGGCGAGTGGGGACCCGCGTAACAAACGGCACAGCATCGTCGTGAAAGCTATAAACAATAGTGGTACTCTCTCCCGCACTTGTTACCGAGGAGCCGCCCCCCGTGCTCCCGCTCAGACCCGAGCCCCCGCCACCAGCCGCCCCTCCAGCACCTGCATAGCTGCCGCCACCACCGCTGCCTCCGCTGCTGCTGCCGCCACTCTCACACAGCACCCCTGCGAGTGGTTGGTGCCATACATTAATAATGTGACCATACAGTACTCAAGTGCAAACAAACACACACAAGGAGGAGGCATCCCCCACACACACACATGCAAAGACAAACACATCTGCAGGTAGAAGAACACTGCAATATACATTTATGTAAAATAAAAGTGCATCCATCCAACCAAAACACACACACACACTTTTGAAAGCTCACATTCATTTAACACTTATACAATAAAAAGTACTGTACAATCAAACCTTTATCAACACACATACACATTGCAATAACCATGTACACATAAATATATCTACAAACACACACACATATACACAAAACCAGCATAAGCAAGGCAAAAAAAAATATATAAGCAAGTGATTCTTGATGAAGCAGAATACAAATGTCATGCAATAAGAGGCAGAAAGATTTTTTAAAGTCAGAATTAAAATGTGGGAAAGAGGGATTAACAAATTATTATAAAAACAGAAACTAACACAGATTAAGGTTTACACTTGTCTGGCCAGATAACCCTGGGACTATATCCATCAGGGCTCACACTACTATGGGGGGACAAACTCGGGTCAAGATTCAATAAGGTTCCCAAGTTAAAGTTTCCCCATAAATGTCCATAAAAATTACATCCAAACTACACTGGGACTTTAAACCCCAATTAGATGTATTGTTTTCTTATTCCTCAAGGGAGATTATTATCATAAGGACCTTTGAGAATCCCAACCTTGGCAAGTAATAGAAAGAAGCAGAAAAGAGGTTACACGAGAAGACCAGTAGTATTAAACAGAGGTAAATATTTATATTGGCATTATCTAATTCCTTCCTTGAGTGAAGGTATCAATTTGTGAAGTTACCTGGGATCTTGGTCAACACTCTCCATACATTTAAGACTGTTATAAAGGTTGTATATGTCAAGTAACTCCTCCTTAATACGGTACTTTTGGGGAATGCATTTATGGTATTAGAGGAATGACTTTACATTTACTGAGAGATCAATGTTACTTATATGCCAATTAAATCATGTGGTTTGGTTAGGTCGGGTGTAGAGATGCAATAGAGACGTAAGCTGGTAAAAAGCCGCTGGTGGTTGGTGCCGTACATGCACGCGGGACATGCAAAACAAAGGCTCGAGTGACTGCCGCTAACCTGGAGGCGTCGGCTGCGAGTGTCTGGAAGGTCTCTGTCTTCTGAGTGTAGAACCGTTTGAGCCGGAGCCGCCGGGAACCGAGGAGGACGCAGCGTCTCCGTGACCGGGGCCTCGTCCACTCCCGCCGTCCGAGTGTCCCCGACTGTGACCAGAACTGTGGCTTGAGCTGTGACCCGCTGACCGACTGGAGCCGTGACTTCCACCACCCCTGAGGACACACACAGACACACCACAAGTTGATTCAGTGCTGGTCATCCTCCCTTGTGGTATTACAGTTTACCACTAATATGTCATGGTGTATTTGTTCAATATAAGATGACATACAAGTATATAAATACTTAACATATTATGGTAGTGTTAAAGATAATCTGGTGAAGATGATGGATGCAGGAGTGGACATGTAGACCGTTGGATAGACAATTATTGATTACAAATTAATAACAAGAAGGAACAGGTCTACTGGTTCAATTAAAGCTGGGAGAGTGAATAAACTGATGGAGAGAGAGACCAAACTTACACATGTAAAATTTAAGTGTTATCAATAAGAGTGTCTACAACAGCTAACTCGAGAGAATGGATGATGATGGTGGTGGAGATGGTGGTGGTCAGGGTGGTGGTGAAAGGTTGAATGTTAATTAATAACTTCTTCCAGGTATGATAGAGCATCCTTACCTGCTCCTCCTCTTGCCATCATCAGGGTGGGAGGGATGTGGCTGATGCACCGCCTGGGACGCATGAGACGATGGGTGGGAGAGGTGAGCGACGTGGGCAGGGTGACCGCCTCCTAGCACCTCCCGTTCCATGCCTGATGAGCCCACCCACACTCCCCCTCCTCCTCCTCTCTCGAGCGACCCTGACCGCCCACCGGCCATGCTCCCGCTGCCCCCGATGCTCGTGTTACTGCCGCTGGTGCCCGTGCCGCCCACACTGACGCCACTACCGCTCCTCCGGCCACCGCTGCTATTACTGCGTCTATAAAATCAGAATGCTGTCTAACTAACTAACTCTAACCCACATTACTGCCTCCTTACCATAACTTTATCCCATATTATTCCACACCATATCTCTATCCCATACTTCCTACCATAACTTTAACCCACAGGATGGTAGAGCAGTTATCATGGTCCTTTACAGTACTAACCTATAATAAACTATGACTTCACACCACTGAGGTAAGCGAGCAGCTGATGGTTCCTGACCTAACATAACCTACCTATTTGGACCTTTTATGAACTATGGTTTATTAAAGACAATTTCTCTATATACTGGAGGTACAAATACATTAGTCTGATCACATGTTTGTTGATGGGGAAACTAATGTACTGTGGAAACAAATTGTAATATTAATAGTATTAAAAATTTGTTTCCACGTGAATTTAATAATAATAATAATTTTGTGTCAACGTGAATATTTTCAATACTGTACTTTGGTCACTAGAGAGGTCACACAAGGTCATAGTATTCCTATCTCAGATCTTACCTAAATGATGAAAAAATTCTTCCATGTTTTATCAAGATCAACTTTAAAACAGAGGACTTAACCTACTTACTACATGTACTGATAGACCTATAGTGCACAGATCTGGACAGTGCTGGATTCATTATCACAAAATCAGGTAACTTAAGAAACGAGACAAAAATATAGACATATCCAAGACAAGAACATAGAGGCTGTATTTACCTTGGAGTTGTGCAGCTTCCTGAGATTAACAATATTTTATGCTGTGTTAAATATCACCACTAGACTTACTTACCCACTACTGTACACTAGGGGACCATATTAGTATTACTAACTTGGCAATACTGTGGCAGCAGAGACATTAATTTGATAACTGTTAATAATAATGTGTTAGAGACATTTTGACATGAGGCAGTATGTTGCAACACAGAGGTACAGTACTGACATTACCAGCATTACTCACATTAACACTTGTTCAACACGGCAGTCTCTACTGACAAGACAATAAGCAAAATGAACCAATAGGGCAGTTCCTAAGTATTAAGAAAGCAGTGTGAAGTAAGAGGCCAATACTTCCTCCCAGAGACTAAATCTAAACCTTTCTGGAGTCACTTTGACCTGAATTTACCAGTGACTGAAGAATTTTAGCAGCACCCAAAGTAAATAGTGAATACCTATTTCTGAACCACAACCCCTTAGGGACTGCCCCGAATTAATAATAATAATATAAAAACCTGTTCTAATCTACACGAAAAATATATCTTTCACCGGTTAGTGTTAATGGAGAGAGGACCGAGGAGAGAGAGTGATATTACATAAGTACAGACAGATACAGATGTTCAGACAGATGTATAGAGATAAACAGAGAGACTACTATACAGTGTGGTGGAGGCGAGCAGTGAGGGAGGAGGGAGGGGGGTTAGTGTCGAGGTATTAGGGAGGAGTTAGTCACCTCAGGGTTCCGGGAGAGGTGGCCCCGGCAGCCGTGTGCGCCGAACGGTTCCCTGGCAGCCACGGGTCCCACTCGGGCTCGGGGTAAACACTAGACGAGCTCACACTCCCACAAAACTTATCACTCTCCAGGAGCCACGACGTTACTCTGAAAATGGACACACACCGAAGTGCCATTCACTCGGTGACTAACATGGCACTGGTGTCGGCGAGGGTGACGACAGAACAGCGGAGTGAAATACAGAGATAAAATCAAAAGAAGACAACAGAATAAAAGAAACATATAATGGAATAAGAAACAAACAATGGAATGTAGAAAAATGAAAATAATATGAAACAAGTGATACATAGGGAAATAAAACATTGAATGTTATCATGCCCATGCCAGCCTCACCCGACACTATCATACACCTCTAACTGCCCTGTGACAATAACCACCATCTTGTTTTAACAATTCTCCACCATTTCATTCCTCGAAATACCTAACCTGACGCAAAGTAACTGGCCTTACCATTATGTATCTGAACCCAACATCACCACCTTAAATAGCTTGTACGGTGCATTGCTTTAATTACTGTTACTGTTCCTTGCAGTAACTAACACAAGTAACTCGCCCTCCCCTTAAGTATTTCAACCCGGCACCACCTTAAGTAACTTGTACGGCGCCTTATGTTAAATATTATCATTACCCTATTAATCTGTTCCTCTCGGTAACTAACACGACGTAACCAACACACGCTGGAAACCAGAGAGAATTCCTGCCGTCTATAGTGTAAGGCATTTGTTTATTTTTTGGGGGCGTTTGAGCATGATAGATAATTCAACACAGGGATCATTCTAATACAGTACTGTACTATCTCTGCTATACTGATGATAATACTGCTACAAACACCCCCACCCCCTTCATTAGCCCACACCTCCCACCCCCTTCACTAGCCCACACCTCCCCACCCCTTCACTAGCCCACCTCCCACACCCCCCACACCTCCCCACCCCCTTCACTAGCCCACACCTCCCCACCCCCCTCACTGACCCACACCCATTGAGTATTATAGAGCGACGGTGTACGCAGACCTGACACGTAAAGCAACCCACATAAAGCAAACACCAGCGTAAATTAACCAAAAAAAAGGGAGGAACTAAAAAATAAATAACTCAGAAAGCATAAAAGTTCCTGTTATATCATTTTCTTCCCACAAGTATCCATAGCCTAAAGCATTAATTTCTAGCCATTAAATACACAGACTTAAACCAACATTAAATCCCTCTGCAAAACAACAAAATAATAACAGTAAAAAAAGCTATTTACATATTTACACACAGCGAACTCAGGGCCCGAAAGCGGTTACATGTTTACCATACCTGAGATCCATCGTACCAAAGACCTTTAATTATCTCTGGTGAAGACTTAGATGTAAATAATATCCCCCAAAATAAACTTATAAAAATTATCTTATATCACGAAAAGTGTCGGAAGAAATTATTAGGTAAAAATTAGGGTAAATTTTAAACACTGATCAATCTATTGCTGACAATTTAGAAAATAAGATCATAAATGGGACTGCCCAGTATGCGCCAATAGGTCCGCTGCAGTTTCCTCCAGTCCTATGTTACCTCACACTAACCTTACCTAATCTAACCTAACCTGTAACCATCATTTAGTTATACAAGAATGAAACAACATTCATTAGTATTGCATAATTCTTTTGGAGACGATTCATGCTGCATAAGTCATAAGCGTTGATGATGTGCCGTATTCAACACCTGAAAGTCCATCTATGCATCCAGTTAACTGTATAAGCAATAGGTACAGAACTTAAAGTATATAAAGCACATTGGTATGAGTTATATTTACAATTATACTGTATATAAATCAGTATCCAAAATAACACTGGTCCTGCAATAGATACTGTAGGAAGATTCACTGTAACTTTGTCAGGTTTTACTGTAGTCTGGTTCACTGTACTGTACAAAGTTTCACTGTACTGTATAAAGACTCCCTGTAATGTTTAAAGACTCACTGTAACTGTCATGTTTTACTGTAGTATGAATCACTGTACTGTTTAAAGACTCACTGTACTGTTTAAAGACTTACTGTACTGTATAAAGACTTACTGTACTGTATAAAGACTCCCTGGCAAGACACATCTCTCAAGGAGCATCAGCAGACACTCACCTGTCAGTGGACGTCGCAGAAGGAGTGAGCGAGGGACCCGAGTCAGACACCACCGACACGCCAGAGTCCGTCAGGTCCGCTGGGGCGCGCCGTGAGCTGCTCCGCCTCCCACTCTGCTGTCGCCGACCAGAGCTTCCACCGTCGCTGCTTGTGCCTGATCCAGAGAACATGACAATCATATACTGGTTCTAAGTCAACCTGAGGACCTGACATTATTACCTAAAGCTTGAGGTTGAATGAATCTATCTCTTCACACTACAAAAGTTAAAAACATATCCTAATATTACTGTTGTGTGAAGAGGGAAGACAGTAAACATTACAGAGCAAGATGGTGGATGTGGACATGTTAAAATAAGATGCATTATTGTCATATACATCGAGAAGTACCAGCGTAATTCTCCATATAGTCTGGCATGGAGCGAGACTTAGGGATGGGATGAAGCCCAGGTCTCTCGCTGCTCTCGTAGTAGTCTGCCACGTTACCAGAGTCCGACGAGAAGGTGGAGTACACATCCTGCAAGAATAACACCAACTTAATATATGTTAGTTGCCAACGGGACACCAATGATTTATCTAACGACCCCACATGAGCTAACTATGCCAAGAAATGTGATAATTACCAAATACAGAACACAATACACAGTTGGTCATCACGCAACATCCACACAGTTAAAACTGGCACTTACGCGATCTCTGCGTCGAACGTGGTGGAGGTTCTTGTTGGTCTGGTACGGGTGGGGCATGTGGCCAGGTGGAAGGTGCGCCGGGTGGCCCGGGGGGAGGTGTGCCGGGTGGCCGGGAGGAAGGTGGGCCAGGTGGTGGCCAGAAGGCAGATGAACCGGGTGCACCAGCTGCGCTGACGATGGCAGGTAGCCGGTGCCGGATACATACATGGACGGATGAGTGCCTCCAACTGTGACACTGCTCTGTAACACACACACACACACAACACTTTTACAATCACCATTAAAACATCTATTAAACCACATAAAACTTAGTTCTTTCTCACAGTAAAGGAACAATATTTGGTGAAGTCAAGGTTGGGTCACAGGCATTATTATTACCATCAGTGTTGGAGTACAATATAACCCTTAACACTCTGCATTACTTCACACACTCCTCCCTCACTTACCTATTATATTCTGCAACAAAACTTTTATTATAAGTCTTCTTGAAAACATGAAAACATTACATCAAATAAGATGCCTCGTCTCAGGCTAACGATCATCACATCCCAAAATAATAAACCACCTCGTCTGTAGGTCTAACAATCATTACATTACGATCAAACCGGCGGCCTCACCTTCGAAGCGTGTGGCATTGCAGCTAGGGGCCTGGTGGGCTGTGAGGAGCCACCTCTTCGACCGGAGGGGGATCTGGGACGCGGGGAGCCCGGAGAACGAGCTGGCGTGTCATTATTGCTGTCTTGCCAAACTCTGGACACATGGTCATCTGAAGAGACAAACACATTACTTTCTTTGGTTCAGTTTCAAGGATTTAACTGTGATTTATGATTAGGTGTGAGATTATACCTTCCCATAACTTACAGGCTTCTTTTTGACCTCCTCATAACTCAGAATTCCTCTTACTAACCTCACGACTCGGAATTCCTCTTGCTATCCTCACCTCACAACTCAGCCCTGTCATACACACACTCCTCATAAATCAGAATTCCTCTTGCTACCCTCCCCTCCTCACACACACACTCCACAGTCTTCTTCCTAACCTCCCACACACACTCTTCCTGATAACCTCCTCACACACTCACACACACACTCCACAGTCTTCTTCCTAACCTCCCACACACTCTCTTCCTGATAACCTCCTCACACACACACACACACACACTCCACAGTCTTCTTCCAAACCTCCCACACACACTCTTCCTGATAACCTCCTCACACACTCACACACTCCACAGTCTTCTTGCTAACTTTCATCATCATCATTTGGCCAATTTCCAGACCCCCCCAAATCTACCTACACACTAAAGACAACGTGACGTGTCCTGTAAGATAAAACACTACGGCGTACCCAGTATCGCCTGGCACGGGTCTGCATCGTCGAGGGGAATCTTCTGCGTCAGTTTGTCCAGCAGGAGCGACGGAGGAAGGCTGTTGAAGGCGTGTTCTCTCCGGCACTCGTCCGAAACGTTGTCCCCCTGTGAGGTGGTCGATGGTATACTGTATCTGATGGCTACACTGTTTTGTCTGTGATTAACTGAGTGATTGATTGGTTGAGTGACTGATTGGTTGAGTGACTGACCAATTGGTTGAGTGACTGATTGTGTGGTTGACTAACTGACTGGGTTGACTGACTGACTGACTGACCGATTGAATGACAGTCACAATGATGGCCTTTTCAAATGATCTTTACACAGTGTTCAAGATAAAAGAAATGAGCCAATGAAAGAAAGAAGGTGAGGTTAGGTTACAACTCACCTCCTGGATCTTCTTAAAGGACTGCTGCACCTTCTCTTGTGACTCTCTCTCCCTCTTGACTTTCTCCAGCCGCTCTATTAGTAACGCAGCAAACTCTCCGGGCTTCATGTTGGGTATGGAGTCGTGTCGGAGGCGGTGAGTGCGGGGCATGAACGGCACTCCTCCGTGGAGAATACCAGCACTTCCTCCGTGTCCGCCTAAGAAACCTGCTCCCCCGGCGGCACTGAAGCACAACTCCCGGTTCTGTCGTGCGTTCTCTCTCATCTTGTAGTATTGTCTTTTCAGGTATTTGGGGTTGATGGGGCGGCCTACAGACATACCATCTCTGTGGGGTAAAGACACTCGTACATAATTACTTGTAGGTGACGAACGACGTGCAATTTAACCCCTTATGTATCGGGTTGTTTCCGAGCTGAATAAAATCTTCTGGTGTTAGAGAAAATATTAAAAGTGGCATCCCCGCTGTGAAGGGGTTCATCAATGCTACAACACAATGGGTGAACTGAAAGCGAGTCTTGAGACAGCTGTGACCATTTACCCTCGAGGCTCCTGTATGAAGTGGTGTAAGCGAGGACCTCAGTGTATTGCTTCGGTTTACATCTTTCAAGTCACTTTTTACACTTGTCCTACATCACTAGTCCCCCAGCATGAATCCTACACCACTACACTTGTCCCTCAGCAATATCTAAGTGGGTGGCCATGATAGAACACCTTCCTGGCCATACTAGGTTTCCCAAATGGTTGCTAATCTAACCCATGACACAAGATGGTCACTTTACGCCTTGTTCTCGGATATTCCGCAGAAGTTTAACAGCCAAGACACAATCAACCACAATCTCTTACTCATCTACCGTTCATTACAAGACAAACACGAGATCCTCTTAACCGATCTCACAAACTACAACTTATTAATACACTTCCTTTACATCAACAACTACAACAACTACTTACTGTATCTTAGGTGTCATCCCTTATATCAATCCTTCATTGCAACTAATACTGTAACTTACAACACCTTTATAATACCTCTTCAACCTGCCTACCTGGGGGAGGCCTTCCACCTGTGTTCATTTTAGTACCTTTTCTTACCTCCACCTAACTTAACCTAAACTAAATTAACCAAATTTAACCTAAACTAACCTAACCCAGTATAATCTAACTGAATCTGAACTAACCTAAATTAATCAAACCTAATTTAACCTAACCTAAACCAACATATCTAAGACTAACTTTACTAAATATCTAACACAACCTAATCTAACCAAACATTATGTAACCTAATCTAATGTCAGTAAAAACCTTCAAAAATAAATGAAACAAACATATACAGGTTGACAATCCCTTATCCGAAATCCTTGGGGCCAGAGGCATTTCGGAATTTTTCGGAATGGTTAATATTTTTATTTATTATTATTTTTTTTTAATGTGTATTAGCCCACCCGGGCATTGATCACTGACCCACATCAGGGTCTGGGGGGCGAAAATATAATAAAAATTATTTTAATAATAATAATAATAATAATTCATAGGTCTAGGTCGTGTTTCTCACTTTTGATCTTTTTTTCATTCTTGTATTTCTTTATTATTATTATTATTATTTTATTATTACAGTACTCCTGTATTATTGTTAATTTTAATAATTTTATCATTATATTTAATATTATTATTAATGTTGTTATATTTTATTTTGGTGTATTTTTATTAAAATTTTTATTTACTATGAATAATTATTATTATTATAATTATTATTACTATTAAATTTTCGCACCCCAGGCCCTGATGTGGGTCAGTGATCTATGCCCGGGTGGGCTAATCCCTGTAAAAAAAAATTGCCCCACAAAAAAAACCTTTCGGTTTTCGGATAAAGGGTTCTCAACCTGTAATAAGATTTCTCGAACCCTTTCCTGCTATACTACAAGTGCACCAGGACCTGTAACAAACACCCTTGCCAATGTAACATAACTTAGACTATCTTAACCTACCAATATAACCTATCTTTTATCCTACTTTAATCCAATTCCAATTTGTCCATCCAGCCCAGGTAAATACAGTAACATCTATCTAACATAGGCAGTCAGTCTGAGATTAAATAGTGAAGACCACGCCCGAGGGAGGAAGACATGATTGGCGAGGCAGCTGGCGTGAGTGCGGTGCAGCAGAGGGGTGAAGCGTCAGTGGGTGCGGACAAGTGTACTCACACAGAGGAATCAGTGCAGGAGAGCGTGTCGTCGGTGAGTGCGTCAGAACTCAGACTCTGCAGTTCTGAGTCCTGTCTGCTGGACACGTGCGCTGACGAGTACATTGCGTGGTAGGGGTTCACTCCCCCGCCACCACAGCTGCTGCTGCCATGCAAATATTGCCTAGAACATAAACACAATAAAATGGTAACTGAATAAAAGAAAAATGTCAATAAAATAATAAATAAATGAACACAAACACGTGAGCAACTTAAGCTAGAAATTAAAATAAACTTGACCAAAAAAGTGTTGTGCAGAAGGAAAGTTATTAAATAGCTGAACACAGAAATAAATGTTGAAAAAAAATGGCAAACTACAGAAAAACTGACTCCTGCCTTCAAGCCACCACAACAACACCTTACCCATCAGTCATGTCTCAACATACCTGAGTCGTCACTGGTGATAACATCTATGTTTTTACTCCAATTCATTTATGACTCAAATGGGGGAAGAGGAGGAGGGGGAAGAGGTGGAAGGGGAGAGTGAGAGTGAGCTCAAGGATAACCACCACACCTGGGAAATACAAGGTGATAATAAAGTCCCTATTCACCTGTACTAACTAACACTACAATCACAGTTCCCAATTATACCTTGTTCTACTTTAAAAATATTTACTGTAAGGCAGAGACAATATATAACAATGTAGGTATAACAACTAAATCACTAATTATTACAGGTGTACAGAGTTTATAACCACCTCCATAACTTCTCCAGGTAGGTTGTGTGAAGTGAGAGAGGATAAACAACACAAACATCATAGGGTCTGACAATGGAAGACACACACTAAGGAGTCCCACAGATATGGTCAACCCTTGAATCATAGAAGGGTCTTTAAGTTCTTATAAAAAGTTGTCCATTAACTCAAAACTCTGTATCTTGAGTGAATGGAAAATAGTAGGAGGAAAGAGCATGTATGTTGCTTGCTCTTGCTTGTGGTGACCATGCAACACACTAGGATAAGACTCACAAGGATGAAAGGAGGTAAAAGGATGAGCATTCAGAAACACAGTTGCAAATATTGATCATAGATGAAAAACCACAAGCATGATATCCCAGTTTAATGTAGAGTCTGACCAATTAGCAACCACCAACAGCATCACACTCTCTTCCTCAATCACTCATCATTACCACCACCACCATAATCATCACCACCGTCATCATTTCACAGGCATTTTCCACCCTTATGAGTGAGCCACGAGTATCCAATGGTATGGTGTCCTAATTGAGGCAGGTTTTACATGTCTCTTCCCCTCCCACATGATTTCCATACAGTTTACTGGGATTAAAATCAGCCTTAAATCATACTTTCCCCCCACAGTCATTGGGTTTCCTGCCACACACACACGACCACATGCTGAGAAAGCTATCTATACATACCTCCTGGTGATTAGGTATACATATCAACAAAAACTATGAATACAAACTCAGCTCTAATAAGTTTGTTGATGATCATTCCTTTCCCTTGAATGTTGTTGGCGACTGATTTAACATGATGATGGTTAGTTGTGAGTACAGTACCACGATGGATGAACTGACCATATCTAAGGAATCGTCTACTGCACACTGGATGTATTTATATTATTGATTGCAGTTGTAGATGTATCAATAAACATTCAACAAAGGTTCTATAAGTTAGTGGGTTAGTTTGACAATACTAGTCCCTCAAGGAACAACATACCCAGACCACTACAAGACCTAAAACACACACCCAGACCACTACAACACACTCAGACCACCACTATCACCAAACAGCTAAGAATAATATACAAAACATCACACTACACTATCTATCATCTGCCCCAAGACCATGACAGAGTGATAATAAAGTCCTCACATCTTCACCACCTGAGTTCATTTCATCAGACAAAATTTCGGTTTCGGTCAAATCTTTCCAGTTTAAAGACGACGAGAGATGCATCAACAACCTGAACTAATACAACTCTAAACTTTTTTATATGTGAATTAGAAAAGAAGGTTAAGATTAAATAATGTAAACTACTTAATGCACACAAGTACTCTAGGTTACATGAGGGAGAACAGTAAAATAAAATGGTCGGCGTGCATGGCGTGCGATACATGCGTGTTGTGTAGCATGCCAGTGTCTCCTGCTGGTGGGCCGAGAGGATCAACACAACTGTTGAGGTGCTGTACTGTACGACCTGATACTGTATACCGGTCGATAAATAGGTCGAGACTCACCCGGCGAAAGCTTCTGGTTTTCGTCTTTCTACCGAGGCGCGCTGTATGACCGTGGCTGCCAGGGCACCCTGAGTTAAGCGCAGCTGTGTGGCTGCTGCACTGCTGTCGTACTCGCAGTCTTCGTGTAACGTGGGTAGCACTCCTCCGCCGGTGATTGCCCCAGGGCTGCCGGGAGACGGGGTGTGCGGAGAGTCCGTGCCGATCCCACCAACGTGGTGAGTGGCGGATGCCAGGAAATTAAGGTAGCTATCACTCTTCAGGAAGCTCGGGTACGTGCTGCGTTCTATCTCTTCCTCGACCTGAAAAAAACACACACACAGTTTTAATGTTCTGTGGGCAGGTTCAGCACACTGCACTGTACATCTCAGCCTGGAATATATTACCAATTGATTATCTGATACACCTAGCAGCTCACTCACCTCTAAGGAAGATACAGTTGAACACATTCCCAACCACTTACAACCAACACCCCCGACCCTTTTGTGGCCCATCCATTCACACACACAGCTATTCTTTCTGACAATACAGCTCTCCCATCAGTCTTTTCCCCCCTACCTTTACTCAATAACCTGTAGATAAAACTCTAAATCCCTTACAACACTTAATTAACCAAATACATTGAATCTATCACGAGTCATTCCTAAAGAGTTCCCCCTCACAGGATATGACCATGATACAATAGCCTCCAGGCCACCTTATCCACGTGTTTCATAACATGTTCAGGAATAAGAGGAGTCTGTAATCATGTCCCAGATGTTGGATTCTCACACAGACATCTCAACCTGTGTCTAAAGTTATGTCTTAATATCTCACTGGATCTCTTATAACATCTATACTTCACCATCCTCAAATATCCATCCCTAATAATGATGCAGATTTAATATACAGTACATCAACATCATCAAACAGAGACCTATGAACACTGAGGTATAAATCTGTCAGTGGAAGAGCTCTCTGTCTTAAAGGGTTATGTTATTAATAGGGTCATTGATCAACGTGTAGGACGGCAACGTCAAACAATAATATCAAGGTACCACGGTATTTACTGTAACACATTTATACAGAAGAATGGTATGATTACCTCTCTCTGTGCGGCATCAAAAATGTTACGGTCAATATTCCGTGCGTTAATGCGATCGTTGACCAATTTGTACGTCTTTTCCGTGACCCGCACGGCATAGTTCCTGATGAAACGCTTCCAGATGATGGTGACGAGCTGCGACGGGTCCTGGTGGTCGCACTTCCTGAGTCCGTTACAGGCGAACCAGAAGTTGAGGGACTCGCAGGTGCCGCACTCCTCCTTCAGGTACTCCTGGAAGAGATGTATACCCTGGGGGTCGTCCAGCAGGTAAAGAAGAGACTGGGACCAGCGAATGGCGGGCGGAGTCGAGCCGCCCTCGCCGCCACCACAGCAGGGAGAGCCCGCCTCCACCGACCCCGTGCTCACCACTAGACTGTCACCTCCGCCCTCACCTGACATAAAACAAGAGAAATATTAGTAACTCATCTTATTTTTAAAACAAGTCCACAACACCTGTCAAAATCATGTCTCCAGCTACTGAACATTTCCCAAGATATCTGCAGGAGGATGACCTAAGTTAAACAAGGTTATTTTAAGTTTATATTTGAGGCAGAAAATGTGAATAAATACCAGCTGTGTGATCCTCAGCAAATGCAAGATACCCCAACAAGAAAGTACAGTATTTCCCTAATGAAATTTTCCCATTTTAAACTACTAGAGCAGGAGCTACAGTACATCTTTGTTCTGGTAGTGAAGCACAACAGTAGAACACAACTGTTACAGCAGTGAGTTAAGAAATTAGAGGGCCATGAAACACAAGTTACAAACAGCACTAGTACAGTATAAGAACATGAACATTTACTGTTACATCTCACCTTGAAAAGGTGTGTAAGGGTGCTGTGAAACGTAAGGCAAGAGGCAGTGGGGAGGCTTTCCCCAGTCTCCTGGGGGGTCCTTTCCCCACTCCCCAAATTGTGGGTGGTGGTGGTGAGCTCGCGGGATGTCTTCCCCACCCAGAACGGGCGGCCGTGGGTTTGGCCTCCCGCAGCTTTCGTCTCCGCCCGCGTCGTCCCCATCGCTGTTGACAAATATGGCATTAATACTGTACATCTTAATCTCGGGATGCATCACACGTTACATTTATACAAACACAAGTAAATCTAACCTTCCTATACAGTACTATATTATTTCAACTACCAAACAATTAATTTAAAATTCACAGCCTTACACAGCACACAAAATATTCATCACATTACATCTACAGCTTAATAATCCATTTTCAAAGCCCCAAACATATTTCCAGTGTATAGAAAGTTGGAGAGTAACCATCCATCACCTAAATAACTCTCACTTTACAGACCCACCCACAACTCTGGTACCTGACCATCAAAAAGTGTCACTGACGAAATAAATTTAACCTAACCTATCCTATACTAACAACCTAATCTAATCTAACCCAACCTAACCTAATCTTTAACCAAATCTAATCTTTAATCTAACCCAATCTAAGCAAGTGGTTGAGATAGTTGACCCTGGCACGATACCTATGTTGTGTTTGTGGGGTTTGGTGAGAGGAAGAGGCCGATGTTTGGGGGGCGGTGTTAGGGTCCCCTGCCTGCCCCCCAGGGTGAGGTCCTGGGGGGGTTTCGGCCGCGGTGCTGCTCATCTGGCCAACACCTTGGTGCTTGTGCCGCTGCTGCCGCTGCTGCTGCTGCCGCTGCACTGTGTCGCTTCACACCGCCAACACACCATCCCGACGCCTCACACCTGACGAAAGTGATGAGGATAACAAAAACAATAAAAATAATAACAACAATAATAACAACTAACAACAATAATAACAACTAACAGCAATAATAACACTAACAACAATAACAATCATAATAATAAATAAATAATATCATCATATTTTAATATATTGGACTGTGTACAGTATTACATCGATGTTATGATTCACTTTGTACCGTGTGTGTGTAAAGCGAGGATACTGTACTAGCAACCATATGTGGAGACTTTCTACTTGCATTTTCCTGTCACTTTCTATACCTACTGCCCTTGATGTCTTGGTACTTTCTTGTCACTATCTGCATAATTATATCCTGTCAAAATCTAACCACAAAGACCACCACCCACATTACCACACCCACAGAGCCACAAAAAGGATATAATTGTGCAGAAAGTGACAAGAAAGTACCTAGAAGAAAATTTTACCAGCAAGTACTATTATTATCTCATTCACAGGTGGAAGGAAAGTAGGTGTAGGAGGCAGTGTGTGTGTGTGTGTGTGTGTGTGTGTGTGTGTGTGTGTGTGTGTGTGTAATATGATGTTGTCCAAGTAAGATTTTAAAGGAAATTCCTATAGTGAAGAGGTTATTCATTGTGTAGATGAATTAATGAATAAAATTGTACAGCACACTTAGGGGTATTTGTACATGGATGAATTAATATAACATACAGTAGACTTAGAGGTAATTGTACAGTGTTATAAGATTGGTTAGTTGTGATTGGTTAGTGTATATTATCAGCTAGGATTGGTTTAAAGACTAATCATACAACTAAAAACTGCATATTGAGATTTTTTGTTCTATGCATTTTATAATCCCTGAGAATGCATGTACTGAACTTACTGAGCATGGTTAGGTTAGGTTAAGTAACATTAGTGTGTAAGATATGGTTAAGGTAGGTAGGTTACAAATATTAGGTCAACAATGGTAATGTAAGGTTAAGTAAGGTAGGGTAAGGTACGGTTAAGGTAGGTTATAAGCATTAGGTCAACACAGGTGATGTAAGGTTAAGTAAGGTAGGGTAAGGTACGGTTAAGGTAGGTTATAAGCATTAGGTCAACACAGGTGATGTAAGGTTAAGTAAGGTAGGGTAAGGTACGGTTGAGGTAGGTTATAAGCATTAGGTCAACACAGGTAACTTAAGGTAGGGTTAGGTTGGATCCGTACTGTACTCACAACACTGATTCGTACGACGTTTAATAATTAATTTCTTGCAGGTAGTCCACGAACGAATAAAAATTAAAATATCACCATTATACCTACTGTAGGTTCCCTGTTACTCGAGCGTTCTATTATTCTACTCGTCGTTATTGCACGTCATCACGAGCTGGGCTGTTGGTTCCTGTCTATTTTCGGGCTCACAATCGGGATATGTCCGTATGGCATGTTTGGGCATCAAAGGGTTGAGAATATTCCGCTGACCACAATGCTTGATTTTTTTTCCCTCCATCACGACCGGTCATTTTATTTTAACCGGTTCTTTTCAGCTCGTCCTTTTAAAAAATAATGCGACAATCGTTGGAAATCGCGTGACAAAGGCGCGATCGGCCATTCCGCAACAACACGGCGATCGATGGCCGACGCTAAGCAGTTTGAGCAGAAAGGGACGACAATGCGTAACCCATCCTCTTACCCATTATACAGCAGCTGTGGTGATCGGGCGTGGCTGGGCCTACACAATAACAATGTATAACCCAGGAGGCAGGAAGGGTAGTGTGGTCAGCCTGGATGGTCACGGGCACAACTCCTCCCGGTTCCTCTTGTTTACCTCACTCCCACGGGATGTGATCGCGTCTGGTCTGGGGACACCTTATGTGCGTCACTTGTGTGCGTCACCCTAGCACTGTGGACGCCCAGCCGAGGGGAGCAGCGGCCCGGCCCTCTCCCCCCCATCCCCTCCTCCTCCTAACAACAACAAACGCTTTTTCCTTGCCCCTCCTCCCAATCCCCCCCAACTCTAAGTGCGCATGTAAACCCCCGATCGATGCGGACCGTATCAGTGGTGGTCAGAGCGCGTCTCCCCCCAGCTTCCTCGCAGCAGCTTCCTCCCAGCCATCGCCGGACATATGGCATATCGATCCCAGGATTGCCAACTATACGGCAATATAAATCTGACAGTAGTTAAGAAGTTACACCCATATACAATGATAATTAATCAGATATTGACAAATCATAAAAATTTAAATCAATTTTGATTATTCCAAAATTCCATCTCCCAAAAATATTAAAAGGCAGCCAAGGAAGGTACGGCAGTATGGGCACAGTAATAGGGGGAGCACTACGCCACAATGGGCCAATGAATGGTAAGAGTGAGAGTGAACCTGCCATAGCCCATACATTGTCAGGTTGTCACACACCAGGCCATGGCCAGCACACAAAATCAAACAGATTATCTCCCTCCTCCATAAACCAGAGACAAGTCCATCATATACACCGGCCTAAAAACGTAAAATCTTAAATTTAAAATACCGAGCTTAAAAAGTAATTAGAATAAGCAGGGTGTACCTCCCGGCCCAGCAACAGGTAACAAAACTAAACACCGCTCAAGTACACGTTACACATGGCCGGCACGCATGACCTAACTATTTTTCTACTTCATTAATCTTAAAATCTTTACAGGAGGTAATGATGTTACCCGACAGTGACAATAAGGGGAAAAGGAGTGTGCCCATACCAATACTGCACCTGTGCCCACCTCTACCCCCCCCCCTCCCCCACAGCCAGACCGCCGCCTCAACCCCTAATTGGGACGGGAGGGAAGGCACGACGCCCCACAATAGGACCGTGATAGCCAATAAGCCCAGCATGAACCCAAGAGTGATCCAGTCAGGAGGTTGTCATAAAAGATCCACAAAATATGTAAACATTGTGAGGAAGGCAGGAGAGGCTACCTGTTATTACCTGTGACAATGGCCTCATCTGTTGCCTACCTGGCCAGTCCTACCCCCCCCAACTCACCTCCCTCCCTACTACTCCCTCTACCACCCTGTCTCCTTCCCTCCCAGCCACACCCTCTACTGCCCTGTTTCCCTCCCTTCCTCCCTTTACTTCCTTCCCCCTATACCACCCACCTCCTCCCTACTACTCCCTCTACCACCCTGTCTCCTTCCCTCCCAGCCACACCCTCTCTGCCCTGTTTCCTCCTTTCTCCCTTTACTTCCTCCCCACCTCCTCCCTCCCTACCCCCCCACCTCCCTCCCTACTACTACTCCCTACCACCCTGTCTCCTTCCCTCCCAGCCACACCCTCTACTGCCGTTTCCCTCCCTTCCTCCTTTACTTCCTTCCCCCTATACCACCCACCTCCCTCCCTCCCTACCCCCCCCCACCTCCTCCCTACTACCCCCTACCACCCTGTCTCCTTCCCTCCCAGCCACACCCCTACTGCCCTGTTTCCCTCCCTTTCTCCCTTTACTTCCTCCCCCACCTCCCTCCCTCCCTACCCCCCACCTCCCTCCCTACTACTCCCTACCACCCTGTCTCCTTCCCTCCCAGCCACACCCTCTACTGCCCTGTTTCCCTTCCTTCCTCCCTTCACTCACCCCCCACCTCCCCATACCACCCACTTCCCTCCCTGCCACTCCCTCTACCACCCTGAATCCCTCCCTACCCCACTCTACTTCCTTCCTACCTATCTACCACCTTGTTTCCCTCCTTCCCCTCTACTTCCCTCCCTACTTACCACCCTCTTCCCTACCCCTTCCTCCTCCCTCCCTACCCACCACTCTCCTCCCTACTTCATCCTTCCCATAAGCACCATAGGAAAATTAGTACAGGGTGGTTCATAAGTCACACACCACAGAAAAATTAGTACAGGGTGTTTCATAAGTCACACACCACAGAACATTAGTACAGGTGTTTCATAAGTCACACACCACAGAAAAATTAGTACAGGTGTTTCATAAGTCACACACCACAGAAAATTAGTACAGGGTGTTTCATAAGTCACACACCACAGAAAAATTAGTACAGGGTGTTTCATAAGTCACACACCACAGAAAATTAGTACACAGGAACAGGGTGTTCCATAAGACACACACCACAGAAGGGTGTTTCATAAGTCACACCCTAGAAAATTAGAACAGGGTGTTCCATAAGACACACACCACAGAAAAATTAGTACAGGGTGTTTCATAAGTCACACACCCTAGTAAAATTAGTACAGGGTGTTTCATAAGTCACACACCCTAGAAAAATTAGTACAGGGTGTTTCATAAGTCACACCCTAGAAAAATTAGTACAGGGTGTTTCATGAGTCACACACCACAGAAAAATTAGTACAGGGTGTTTCATAAGTCACACCCTAGAAAAATTAGTACAGGGTGTTTCATAAGTCACACACCACAGAAAATTAGTACAGGGTGTTTCATAAGTCACACACCCTAGAAAATTAGTACAGGGTGTTTCATAAGTCACACACCACAGAAAAAGTAACATTCTTCCCTTTTTTTATTCAGGTGAAGGGGGAGGGAGGGAGGGAGGGTGATAGAAGGATTAATCAAATACTACATGAAGATTAGACACCCCAACTTATTTTACCTGATGATTAAACACCCTGACATTACCTGAAGGGGTTGAGTTACGTTAGGGCAGGTAAGGGTAACAATAGGGTGTTTCATCTGTTGAATAAAGCTTGGGTGTCTAATCTTCATGTGATCCTTTTCTTATGTTTATCTTTGTGAAATCTGGTTATAGAGGTGTTAATAGACTCAAAAACACTTGGTCTAACATTATACACTGTGTTACCAAGCTTGATAATGTTTTAAACACACACACATACTGACTAGGTATATGTATTCTTATATTACAAACCAATCCTTAAAAATTGTGCATATTAGCCACTACTACATTCATACATAATCATAACAGCAGCTTACTAAATGTGTGAGAAAGTTACTGCTTAATGAAACTGGAATTAAATACAGTGTTAAAAAGAATGACAATGTGTGTGTGTGTGGGTGTGTGTGGGTGTCTTTGTGTGTGGGCGTGTCTTTGTGTGGTGGTGGGTGTGGGTGGGTGGTGATGAGGGGGAGATGGGGATGTGAGGGGGTGTTTGAGTGTAATGACAGATGAAGGTGTTGGGGGCACAGATGGTGGACTAGTGTTGGGGTGTTGTATATGTACACGAGTAGGGGGAGGGGGGGGACATGTTGAAGGGGGTGAAGAGTGGTTGTTGAGGGGGTGTGGGAGGGATGTGAAAGGGAAGGGGGAGTGTGTGTTTAGGCGGGTGGGTGTGTCTCGAGGGAGGGAAGGAGGAAGGGGTCTGTGCGTGTCTGGATGGAGGGAAGGAGTGTGTGTGTATGTGTAACTCTGGCCACAAAGTCAGAGGACACACACAGAGAGGCGTCAAAACTCACAAGGCTCCGCAGGATGTCCAGTTGACCAATCACAATATGATCGAGGCAAGCACGGGTCTGGCCTCCGTTATATCCATTGTTCCAGGAAGTGCACACAATGACGGGTAGCAGCTGACCCACGCCCCCTCGGAGGCCCAGAGCGCAGTAGTTAGTGACGCGTGTACTCGATCAATCAGAGATGCTGTGGTGGGCAGGACCCCTCTTGTAGCTCTCCCTCCATTTACATCTGGAAAGTAATAAACCATTAGTAATATCCTGTACCAGAGAGACTGTCGTAAAGGGAGGTTCAGGATGAGCCTCGATAACATCATCACCAGACTACTGCACTGTACTGTACCCAAAGAAATAAGTCTGTCCCGGCACCCATGTCCCCCAATAACTACCCAGGCCTTTAGGTTCAATATTCTGGTCGGCAGCACGGGACGCCGAGCCCCAATGGTCGGCAGAAGGTCGAGCGTGGCTCCACCCTTAGTGAGTTTTGTCGTACCATTCAGACTCCGCCTTTCACGACGGCTCCCCACTCGACGTGCCTATTATGGCCCTAAAAGCCCAACACAAACTCCTGCATTACTAGTGGGCGGGCGACATAATACACCCTCGACCACCTATGCCCAACCTGCCTCAGAAACAAGTGTGATATCAACAATAACAACATGTGACCACCCTCCCAACACCATATAATCCATTAACACTAACCTTTCACACCCATCCTGATAAAATTCCTTCCTCAAATTAATAAAATAATATTCAGAACTCATTTATGCAGAGGAGACCCTTGAAGCCAACGCCAAATGAGACCAAATGCTCGAGTTAAAACGTCCGCATAATTAAAACCTTAACTAAAAAAATACTTCATAATATCCCACCTACGAGAGAAAACTGTACCCCATTTTCAAGGTAAACGATCATTACACTTTACTAACCCACCACTATATGTGCTAGACTGGTGAAATATTAACACACAATAATTACTCCCCAGTCAATAAAGTCCGTGGAATGTTGGTTATTAAAAAGGTTGTCGTAAGATGGCCATTGTTATTTTTATAAGCCGGCCATGGGAACAGTGTGGGGCCGCTGGTTCACTCGTCTCTCTCGTGGGTAAAGTACTTGGCCACAATACGAACCCTCACTATTTGTATTAAGGCCTGACTACTACTACTACTACCACCACCACTACTACTACTACTACCACCACCATCACCACTACTACCACCATCACCACTACTACCACCACCACCACCATTTTTTTTAATGGCCTCCAGCCTCCCCCAATAGCCACACCTCCGCCGCCATTTTATTACCCTTAATATTAAATATCCTAATACATAAGTAGCTACCCTATCTGTGCTGAATTAGTTGCTACTACTACTACCACCACTGCTACCACCACCACCACTGCTACCACCACCACTACTACTACCATGGACAAAGCTACTCCATAAATCTCCCTGCCTCCATTTCTAGAGATAATACACATCACATGAAGATTATCCCCTCAACCCCATTCACTTAAAAGATTAACCACCCTAACACTTACCTAATCTAACCACACCAAGTATCTTAACCATCAGGTGAAATAAACTTAGGTTAACTAATCTTCAGGTGATCCAACACTTCACCTTACATCAACACTAAACCCATTCTACTTAAACAAAATCACAAAATCAACCTCCAGCTTAAAAAAAAAAAATCAATTAAAATTATTCCCCAATAGATTAAAAAGACAACATTTTTTTTACATCATCTGAGGAAATTTTTCTTTAGTTATCCCTAGAGGCTAATTTTTAAAGGCCAGATGTGGAGTGTTTGTGTAGGATGCGACCAGGAGGAAAATGCCCAGGTAGATTTTTGGGTATGACGAGGATGACAGGTATCCCATCATCAACCTACTGGGGCGTGTGATGTTCATCCCGCTGTCCCTCCCTGGGGTACCTATTCTCTATCCCAATCTAGCCTTTAACAACATCACTATCCTACCCTAGCCTTTAACAAGATCACTATCCCAGCCTAGCCTTTAACACCACCACTGTCCCATCCTAGCCTTTAACACCACCACTATCCCAGCCTAGCCTTTAACACCACCACTATCCCAGCCTAGCCTTTAACACCACCGCTATCCCAGCCTAGCCTTTAACACCACCACTATCCCAGCCTAGCCTTTAACACCACCACTATCCCAGCCTAGCCTTTAACACCACCACTATCCCAGCCTAGCCTTTAACACCACCACTATCCCAGCCCAGCCTTTAACACCACCACTGTCCCAGCCTAGCCTTTAACACCCCACTATCCCAGCCTAGCCTTCAACACCACCACTATCCCAGCCTAGCCTTCAACACCACCACTATCCCAGCCTAGCCTTTAACACCACCACTATCCCAGCCTAGCCTTTAACACCACCACTATCCCAGCCTAGCCTTTAACACCACCACTATCTCAGCCTAGCCTTTAACACCACTATCCCAGCCTAGACTTCAACACACATCAGGTAACAGATCAAGTAACACATCAGGTAACACACACCAGGTAACACACACCAGGTAAAACACACCAGGTAAAACAGATCAATTCTGTGTGTAGGTCTACAGGAACTTAGAATAATTTTGAACTTCTGCTGATGATGATGATGGTGGTGGTGATGGTAGCGGTGGTGGTGATGGTGGCGTTGGTGGTGATGTTGATGGTGGTGGTGGTGATGATGGTAGTGGTGGTGGTAGCGGTGGTGAAGATGGTAGTGGTGGTGGTGATGGTAGTCGCGATGGTGGTGGTAGTGAAGGTGACGGTGGTGATGATGATGGTGCTGGGATGATGGTGATGATTATGATGGTGGTGATGACAATGATAACTGATGGTGATGACAACAATGATGATGATTATGACAATGATAGTGACAATGATGACAGCAAAAAATTTAATCTAACCTAACCAAAAAAACTAAATAAATCGTAACCTAATCAAATGTTACATAACATGACGAAACGCAAAGTGAAGTGAAGTGACCTGACCTGATGAAATACGACCTAACCTGACCTGATAAAATACGACCTAACCTGACCTGATGAAATACGACCTAACCTGACCTGATGAAACACGACCTCACCTAACCTGATGAAACGTGACCTAACCTGATGAAACGTGACCTAACCTGATGAAACGTGACCTAACCTGATGAAACGTGACCTAACCTAACTCCCTCAGGTAGGATTAGGGTGTTTAATTATCAACCTAACCTAACCTCAGGCAAGGCTAATTTTCAGGTGATCCAAAATTTGCAAAATACAACTTAATGACCCAATTACAGGTCCTCTAACTACAGGTATAGGTACGAACCCTCGTTTAACACTATGGTACACATGCCAAGTAGCATAATAATGGGATCACCTGAAGAATCTCCACCCCAGCTTATTTCACCTGAAGATTAACCACCCCAATGCTATTTAGGGGATGAGGTGAGGCGAGGTTAGGTTAGTGTTAGGATAGGTTGGGTTAGCGTTAGGTTAGATTAGTGTTAGGATGGGCTGAGTTAGCGTCAGGGTAGGTTAGATTAGTGTCAGGATAGGTGGAGTTAACGTTAGGGTGGTTAATCTTTAGGTGAAATAAACTCGAGTGGAGATTTTTCACGTGATCCAAAAAATAAATAAAAATAATAATTACACAAAAAATGAATGACAGGTAGAGAATACAATGGTCACCAATTATACAATCTTATACATGATTAAATTATATACCTCAATGTAAACATCTGATTACAGGTATTCCCCAGTACCCTGATGTTTACTACACAATGATAATGGTTACGATGAGTAAATGATGAATAAATAAGACTCATTACTTGATGCGCAGTGAAATTCCATTATATCGAGGGTCTATCCAATACGAAACCTCCAATTAAAGATATATAGATGAAAGTCCATTATATCGAGGTTCCATTACATGCCCCCCCTCCCCCCCAACTAATGGATTATATGGAGTAAGAAGTTCATTATATTGAGGTTTCACTGTAATTAAATGGCCCCTTTATTACAACTCTTGTTAATGGCATGACATCACAGCTTAATAGATAAAACGTAACAATATGAAAATGAATAATAAGGGTAAAAAATGGTGAATAATGTAGAATGTCACCACCAAATACTATTAATAACTGGTGTAAAATAAATTAACCTCAAATCAACTACCTCTAGTAAATACATTGATAAAATACCAGGGAAAAAAAAAAGGAATAATGAAAAAAAAAAAAAAATAATGGCGATTATTGTAGAATTTCCTCACTATACACCAATAATTTGCATAACATGACTATCAATTACACCTCTTGTAAATCTAATAGTTTAATATCCTGAAAAAAATAAAATAAAATGAATCAATATAGCAAAAATTAGTATAAATAAATACTGTAAATAAATAAATAAAAATAATGTATAATTGAATAATACTGGAGCAGACAGTTAACACAATAAGGAGTGGTCGATTTTGTTCATATTTTCCACAGATTTTCTTTGGATGGTAAGACATAAAAACGATACAGCTTTTTATTTTGATTATATTTATTATTATTAGCTTTTCTCTTCCTAGGATCATAAATCAGCTGTAAAGAGCAGGGTATGAAGGATGAGAGAAATTGTGGGGTAAAACACAGTGAAAAACTCATCATAGGACACATGCTCTTTACGAGAAGTAATTATTTACCATAAATATTCCTCTGAAAAACATGTCGCATTAGCACGTATTGTCGTCTGTTTACAACCGACCTGTTCAATCCGAGCGTATTCTCACGTCCACAAAAAAACATAAATTACACCATGCAGCTTCAAGAAAGTTGCTCTCATTGGTACCAGATTTAAGTACTTTCTGTTTAATATGGCGGGGAAAGGGGGGGGGGTCCAGCGGGCGGCGTTAGGGAAGGTCCAGCGGGCGGCGTTAGGTAAGGTCCAGCGGGCGGCGTTAGGTAAGGTCCAGCGGGCGGCGTTAGGCAAGTTAGGTAAGATTTTTATTTTTGTTTTTTTAGGTCAGGTTCTATTAGGTTCTGTGTATTGTCATATAATTTTTATTACTTACAATCATCCAAATAACATGTGAAAAAATAATAATAATTAAACAATGTGTCAGCCATCTGCTCCAAGATTACCCAGAAATTTCTCACCAAACAAAAGTAATTTATATTATTACACCCAACTTAATAACCACAATCACACATCTAATTACTCTACCAATTTAAAATCAATACAAAAATGAACAAACAAACAAAATGAATAATGCATAACTGGTTAAAGGCTTAAATATACAGAAAGAAATATAACATGATGAGAATAGCCACAATTTGATCTCCTCTGATTACAATAACAGTTCAATATTACCATAAACAAGTGTGAATAATGAATAAACAAGTGTGAAAAATGAATAAACAAGTGTGAAAAATGAAAAAATAAATGTATAACTAATTAATATCCTCATGACTCCTACATCCTCAAAGTATATTACCAATTAAATATTACCAACAAATAAAAAAATGGGTAAATATTAAGTGAATAATAATGAATAATAATGAATAATGCAAAATAATAATAATAATAAGATATCAATACTCGTAAGAAAATTTACTATTTGATTTAATAACCTAAATTATTACCTCCTCAAAGGACTTAATCGATTTAAATATTACAAAAAAGAAAAAAATTAGTAAAAAAATTAAATGAATAAAGTGAAAAACAATGAATAATGTATAATAATAATAGACATCAATACACGTTAAGAAAATTTCCTATATGATTTAATACTTAATTACACCTTCTGTATTTACTTTACCAGTTAAATATTACCAAATAATACAAAAATAAGTAAAAAATTAATGAATAACGAGTAACAAATAATGAATAATATATAATAATAATACAGGTCTTCAATACACGTAAGAAAATTTGTTACGTGAATTAAGAACATCAATTACACTATCATTAATTACTCTACCAGTCTAATACTCTAAAAAACGATAAAAAATTATGAAAAATGAATAAATACCGAGTGAAAAACAGTGAATAATGGTAAGTAATGGTAAAGGTGGTGTCTAGGCCCAGCTGAGTATCATTGTAAACAAACTGTAAAATGACCTACCTGAACCACTCTTACACCCTTCTAACGTCCTTATCTTCACCCCTTACAAGTTCCTATCACACCTACAGCCATTTTATCCTTCCTGTGGTAGTAACTCGAGACGTTAGTGCAATTAAATCCAGGTAGAAATGAGGATAAATAAGGGGCCGCCTCTCCAACTCGTCTTCCTTAACTAGCACTCTTCAACAACTACTTCCAATACATCTTTGTTAATCTTTCATTATTATCACCAATACCGACATTAAAACCCATCATTTAACCTATCAAATATCACTATCTTAATTTTTAGGAGATTTTGAGAATTTTTTTAAGGGAGTTACGGTATTTTATTAGGGAGTATTTAAGGATTTTAAGAATTTTTAGAAAGATGTTTAACCCAAGTTGTGATTGCGAACATTCCGAAGTTGTTCTCAAGATGGCCGCCAGATGACTCTCATGTCCTCCCCGCCAATTTTTAAATCATTATTTTTCTTCTCATATACACGTTAATACACATCTATACACACCAATATACACTTAAAATTATTCAAAATCTATTAAATATATAAGAAAATATAATAAATGTGCTTAAATACATATTATCGCCCTAAAAACATACACGCACGTATATACTTTACATTTTTTATCATATAATTACATTAATACACATATATACACATTAATATATACATAAAATCACTCACAAACTATTACATTTATAAGGGAATATAACACAAGTACACTAATACACATTAATACATATACATACACGTAAATACATAAAACACACAATATACATACATGCACGTAAATACAGTACACATATATATACACACACAGGAGGATAGTGGTAATTGTGGTAGAGGATAGTGGTAGTTGTGGTAGAGGATAGTGGTAGTGATAGTTGTGGTAGAGGATAGTGGTAGTGATAGTTGTGGTTGAGGATAGTGATAGTTGTGGGGAGAGGATAGTGGTAGTTGTGGTAGAGGATAGTGGTAGTGATAGTTATGGTAGAGGATAGTGGTAGTGATAGTTGTGGTTGAGGATAGTGGTAGTTGTGGTAGAGGATAGTGGTAGTTGTGAGTGAAGGGATAGTGATGGTTGTGGTGGGGATAGTGTGGTAGTTGTGGTAGAGGGATAGTGGTGAGAGTGATGATGGTTATTGGTGGGGATAATTAATTGAAGTTGTGGTGAGGATAGTGGTAGTTGTGGTGGGGGATAGTGGTAGTAGTGGTGAGAGGATAGTGGTGGTAGTGATGGTTGGTAGAGGATAGTGGTAGTGATAGTTGTGGTCGAGGGATAGTGGTAGTTGTGTGGTAGAGGATAGTGGTAATTGTGGTAGAGGATAGTGGTAGTTGTGGTAGAGGATAGTGGTAGTTGTGGTAGAGGATAGTGATAGTTGTAGTAGATGATAGTGGTAATTGTGGTAGAGGATAGTGGTAGTTGTGGTAGAGGATAGTGATAGTTGTGGTAGAGGATAGTGGTAGTTGTGGTAGAGGATAGTGGTAGTTGTGGTAGAGGATAGTGGTAGTTGTGGTAGAGGATAGTGGTAGTTGTGGTAGAGGATAGTGGTAGTTGTGGTAGAGGATAGTGGTAGAGGATAGTGATAGTTGTGGTAGAGGATAGTGGTAGTTGTGGTAGAGGATAGTGGTAGTAGTGGTAGAGGATAGTGGTAGTTGTGGTAGAGGATAGTGGTAGTTGTGGTAGAGGGTAGTGGTAGTAGTGGTAGAGGATAGTGGTAGTTGTGGTAGAGGATAGTGGTAGTAGTGGTAGAGGATAGTGGTAGTTGTGGCAGAGGATAGTGATAGTTGTGGTAGAGGATAGTGGTAGTAGTGGTAGAGGATAGTGGTAGTTGTGGTAGAGGATAGTGGTAGTAGTGGTAGAGGATAGTGGTAGTTGTGGCAGAGGATAGTGATAGTTGTGGTAGAGGATAGTGGAAATTGTGGTAGAGGATAGTGATAGTTGTAGTAGATGATAGTGATAGTTGTGGTAGAGGATAGTGGTAGTTGTGGTAGAGGATAGTGGTAGTAGTGGTGGTGGGGACGGTTAGTGGCGGCACATCAAAGTCAGTCGGTAACATTCCACCCTCTCCATCTCTTAAGTTTGGCGCGCCATGCACTTACCACGCCTCCCACGCCTCTTACTACTACCTCTACCTCACCCCCACCCAACACACGCCCTAACCCACGCCCACGACACACTACGCCCATATATTCAGTCCCCCCTGACCACGCCCGCACCCTCCGCCAATATTACATGCTCGCCAATATCACCTCAACCAAATTTTACTCCCGCTAAACTGGCCATTTAGCGGCCACATCAAAGTGTACACCAGCGTGTTTACTACCCGTGTACACTAGTCATGTGCACCAGTCATGTACACCGTTTATTGGCATCAGTATATACACTAGTTATGTACACCATTTGTGTATATCAATTATGTACACACAGTTTGTACACTAGGATATACACCAATTATGTAGCCCAGAATACACACACACACGAGTCATGTGTACACCCGTCATAGGAGTACACACGAGCGCACAGTACACAGGGGACCATTACTTCCTCCAGTATTTGAGACACTCTACACCCGCTGTACAGATACACCCATACATGACCCGCTGTGTACTGTCACCTCCTGTGTTTTCCTCGGTGAAAATAACCCGGACACAGACGGTCATTCTCTGGGTGTTGTGTAAACCTCAAGTCTTGTCTGTCGATCTAATTTTTTTTATTCGCCCGAGATCTGGGGTGAATCTTGCTTCCCTGTTGCCAATTGTTGCGGGTCTAGTTACAATCGGTTTCTCAAGGCAACTGCTTCTGTAATGGAGAGGTAACTAACTTACTACCTTCAGGAGTTGTTTGCCATCAGTCAGAGTAATCCAAGTTGTCTAGTTAGATGGCGTAGAAGTTGCTGGTAGGTGGCACTGGATCGGTCGTTAATCAAGACCGATCGTTAGTACAGACCGAGTAGCCATTGTACACACACCTCTCTCCAATAAGCGTTGACCAAGCATTATTTATCTTTACCAGCAACACTAGACGTTAGGTCAATGAACGACACAACGGGGGTACGCGCAGACTGGCCAGGAAGGATTAAGTATTGTAGTAGGTGTCAAAAAGTTCAATTATTTCCTGTGTGTTCGGACATTTTCATCAAAACTGAACAAAGTCTTTGTTGGGACTGTTTGGTAAGGGTTTACTTGTTCCTGGCTTCTCCACGAGTACAGCGTTGGGCGTTGCTACTATCTACTTCCAAGTACAAGCGTGTGTATTCACCAGCCAAATTATATCCTCACTGTGGTGCTTTAAGCCGTCTGCCCCTTCAAGGTATGCCAAAGACGGTGCCAGTTGCTGCAGACTCTTCACTTGACGGGGATGGTGAACAACAGGACACAGGGGCAGGTTAGAAAGTGGACCGCCCGAGAGCTGGTGATGTCAGCAGTGCTTAGCGTTGTCCGTGATGGTTGGCCTCAGGAATTGTCTGACTACCCTCCTGACATTAAGCCTGTCAATAACAGGAAGCAGCGGGGTGGTAGGCGGGATACCCGGGTCTCCAAGTTTTTATTCAATCAAAGGCCCTCACCACACTGTGACGGGCACCAGTCCTGCAGAGCTGCTGTTTGGTCCGCCAACAAGGACTCCCTTACAATCTGTTGCAAAGGGACGAGATGGAGCACTACCAGTGGGGACAGAAGTCGCGGTACGACCGATATGGTCGTACATGGTCGTTCAAGGTGGGATATCCTGCATATATTGCAGCCCTGTTTCGGGTTAAGGGAGGAACACAGTGGTTGCCAGGTGTTGTCTGATATCCAAGCTTCATCATGTACGGTGATGCTGCTATAGACGGCAGGGAATTTAGGAGACACATTGATCCTGTAAGACTTACAGTAGATCTGAGGCGATTTGAGAGCCTCCAGAAGCAGCAGTTGAGAGTGAACACCCGAGATCACCGCAGCCTGTTGTGCATCCAAACACCCGCCAGGGTCGTCCAACCATCCATCAGTGGTGGAATAAAGTGATCCAGTAGCTGGGTGACGGTCTCCTCTGGCCTTCTCGGAACCACCTGGGTCAGCTATGGCGTGTTGCCTACAGAGCAGACTACGGTGCCACCCTCTACAAGTTCTTTAGCGTCGCCGGAGCCGTCTGCCACCGTTGAGGCGCTCGTCAAAGATCTCCGTCAAGGCTGATCGCAATGGATATGATTAGCTAAGATGGAGGAAGGTTGTAGTCAGTACTGGTACCTGCACACAGTGTAAGGTTGAATACATCGACTTGAGAAACTGGTGGAATATACGCTGGTTTGGGTTTGGTATGTCAGGGTACGGCTCCCGGGTCAGGCCATAGGATGCACCAGTCTTGAACCAACATTATTCATCTGGGTCGTTATAACAAGTCCATCCACTCTCCTTATGGTAACCTGATTAATGACCACAAGTGTTTTTTTGGTATTAATGAAGGATAGACAAAACATAATCCCTCTTTAATATTCCTTCCGTTAATTTCCTTGTCTCCACCCATTCATTTACCTCCTACCTCCCTCCTCTCTTTCTCTCCCTCATTCCTCCTTTTTCTCTCCATCCATCTAGCTATCTATATCTCTAATCAACTCTACCTACCGTTCAATTAGTCTCCCTTTATCTACCATTTCCTGATTTATCACTATCTCTCACATCTACTTCGTAAATTCTCTCTCTGCTGCGTCGTCACACCTGGTCGTACGATAAACAACAAAGGTAAATTAAGGTAAAGGTAATTAGCTATAACTTACTGTATACAGAGCAGAAGCTGACAGAGAAGGCGTCAGCTCCACCCATGACCTCCTGACTCCTCCTGGCTGATGTCATATCCTTCCTGTCACTGTCAGATGCTTTTGTGAGCTGACATTTTCTCCTGTCACTTGTCATTGTCACCTGCACTTGTCAATGCCAGCTCTACCTGTCACTATCAGCCGGTCCTGTCACCTTCACTTCAACACTGTCAATTCCTTCTGTCAGCACCACACACGACCTGCTTCGATAGATAGGTGGGTGAGTAGATATACAGATATATAATTACATAGATATTCAGTAAAAGAACAGCTGTCTCATTATTCATAAACTTTTATATGAATTTATTGACCTCTCTCTCTATCTACGTATCTAAATATCTATACACACGACAACTTATGTGTATTATGTCCGTATCTAATTATCTGTATATTTATCTGTCTATCAGGATAAGAATTACGACCTAAAAAAAAAAAAAATTTCTCAACATCTGGAGCTCCACAACACCGACTCCTCTGAACCCGAGTCGATAAATATGAACCCAATACCGAACCCTTGACTCGACAAACTGGGTCATGTTTCTTGATAATTAAACATAATTTGTCTAATAATGTATAGTCATTATATTAGCTATGAGTATATTTATACACTTGTAAGAAAGTGTATAATATTTCAGCTGGACTTGGGCAGAAATTACTGTGCTTGTAATTTTTGAAGGAATTTACGAACAATATCTGCCAAGTCCAGGCCAATTGTTTAATATATTTTATAATAATTATAAATCATATGATTGTAATGAATAATGACCATTAGTAAGTTTTATATCTTAATAACATAGCTGTATTATCTCCGTTAAGGATTCAAGGATCCGGTTTTCAGGTGTTAAAAATGAAAATTAGCAGTAAAAATTATTATCTTTCTAAAGCCAACATTTGAGCATTTAAGATGCCGCCCACTTATACAACTTGGAGTTTAAAAAGAAGTAATTTTTTTAGGTATGTCACGTTTTGTGTAACAAAATTTTGTTAATTCTGTCTTCCAGAGAAAATAGTATGAACTCCTACTTTGTCGTCAATTGTACTTTAAATAACCTCAAATTAATACATATAATTTTAATTATAAATTTACATAAACGTTGAAATTTTCTACAAATGACTAAGTATAAAAAAATTTTAGTTCTGAGAAAATCCGCAAATGTCAGCACAAGTCGAGTAAAATTGACGACATGAAAGTGAAAGTGAGCCACCCAAACCTCAGGTAATGTTATAAGTATACCACGAACATCACCAACCAACCATTAATTACAACTGAGAATCGAAAATTTAAAATAAAAACAAACTTAAGTTAACTTTATAACAACTCCTATAAGATAACTACGTTAAATTAAGTTTAGAATCTTTATTTTATCTTATAAACGACTATTGATTGTGTCCGTGGTACTTAAACAACATATAAGCTACGTAGGTAAAAGAAAACGGTATTTATTTGGGTAACTAAACGCTTGACAAACTTGACCAGACAGAATCGCACCACTTGAGAAATTAATTTTACTTTCTCCTCATCGTCAGTTAAATAATTATTGAAGAAACTATCATAAACAGAGAATTTTGATGGCAGCAATATTTCCATCAACAAATTGTGATGTATTAGTCAATGGTAATGAGTAAGGCATGGTAGCCAAAGTTCACCAGATCATAGTTGACCATCACTCAACCTCCTCAACTGTCAATAGGTTTACTCCAAACGTCAATGAAAAATATTACAAACTTAAAGATGATAATATTGTGTAAGTAGGTAATGTATAATAAAATAACTGAAACAAGATTTACCTTATTTAACCCTAATATTTATTATTTTAATCTTATTTTTAAAGAATACCGAACTAATGATTAATTATATTGGCAACATTATATTATTAGTAACGTTATTTACTAATATTATAGAGGAAGAGACGCTTATTTAACGTCACATAATGTAGTATAATTAAACATATTCATCATTTCACTGATTTCTTTTATAACTTTCCTAACATTAACCTGATATAACCTAACTTGGTCATTTTTACTTGTATCCTCTTAACCACTGATCGACTTAACATTAACCACTGTACTAGCCTGTCCCAAGATTAACCATCCTAATGTTAACCTAGCCTAACCCCTCCCCCAAGTAGTGTAGTTAGGGTGGTAAAGGTGAAATAAGCAGGAGGGGGGTTAATCTTCAGGTGATCTACACTAAGGAATAAATATGCAAACTACCTTGACTAGAATCATTGTCTTACCTCAAAACAAGCGGGAAAATTAACGCCAGAATCCGTAAATCCGATCTCTCACTTATTTTCACCTCCATCATTTGAAATCGTATCTGTCGGTGTTGGTGACGAAATTCTTCACACAAAACTTTGATTAAAATATGATTTATTAGCAACACAAAATATATATATTTATAACAATCACAAGAGTAGCAGTTGGACAGAATCACACATAAACACATTATTTGGCAAACTTAAAAAATAATTCAATGAGCACCGTGAATATGAACAGTAAGTACAGCTTAGGCTTACAAATATTGACGAAATTTACACTATTATTAACTTCCTTCTTGTAGTGATGTAGTGCAACTCTCAGACTCTCTTCAAACATTATACATTACCGGACTAAATTACCATGACAAGGGTTTACATAATACAGCTTCACTAAAGTACTGACGCAGTACAACTCTCAGTAACTCGAAATAGATTATACATTACCGGACTAAATTACCATGATATAAGTTTGTATACAAGTAATACAGTAATACAGTATTCAGCTGTATTATAGTTTTTTCAACAATATTTTCTACACATGTGGTCGGAATCACAGAAACTCTTATGAATAATTTTCCTAATTAATGAAAATGTAGAAAGAACTTAATTCAGACTTAATATAAACAAGATATTTATTTTGTGTTTTATAAAGCTCATCAACAGTCCATTTAAAGTTTCCTGGTGAAGATGCCCCGCCCCCCTTGTAGCTGATTGGTTGATACATAATGGCAGAAGGGATTATTACAGCTCTTCCTCAATGATGTTTCTCCATATTTGGCTATTTATCTCACTGTCATTCCCTCGTTAACCACAGGGGACAAGAAAATTGGATTACTGTACTGATTATGTCGATGGTAAATAACTCAATCGAAAAAGAAGGGTAATAAATTTATCCGTAACATGATTGGTTAATTCCACCCGTGGCTCCGCGAGATTCACCCAATCACGACACAGCATTCAAATTGGAGACCTGGCCTTCTTTCACTTCGAGGTTCACCCAATTACAACAAAGTACTGTATTCAAATTGGGGACCTGGCCTTCTTTCACTTCGAGGTTCACCCAATTACAACAAAGTATTCAAATTGGGGACCTGACCAAATTTCACCAAGTTAAAAAAGAAATGGACTATAGTTAAAGTAGATTTTCATTGTTATGTTATACACCAGTTTGGATATTTTTGTGTTCTATATGAGTTAAATAGATTCACTCTCACACACCCCCAGTTATGAAGGAACTGGGGATATAATCTTTAAAAATATGAACCCATTACAAAGTCAAAAAATACAGTTACCATAAACACTTAATTAACACAGAAACAGTAAAATACATCTAAAATTATTCCACAAACTACAGTACCTACTTTAGTTACACTCCAATATACTTAAAACAACTACAATATGATTTCCTACAAGGGTTCACATTCTCAAAGGTTGGTATAGTCAGTATCGAACAACTTGATATGTAAATTATTGTACGAATCTAAATTATTTCACAAGATACAACAATAATGTCAAAAATGGCATAACTTAACTTGATTCTCTCTCTCTCTCATTCTTAGTTATGGTAAAGAAAATTAATGTTTGAATCTTCGTGACTTTCGAGTTCGGATATTTAGCATTGTACCTTATGACGATGGTTGTTAGAATATTGGTTGTTTACACTATCTCAATATCTCTCTTACAAACACACACACATACATGTACACAAACACAACACCCACACACACACACATGTACACAAACACAAACTCTTTTTTCTCGTATTAACTCACATTTCACCTTCATTAACCCTCATTCATTCATCCTTATTCATCTCTCATTGTCTTTCATCTTCATTCATATTCTAACTCATTCACTCCCTCACTAATTCACCCCCATTCTTTCATTCCCTGCTGCTGAATCCGACGTGTTTCGTGTTTAAAATAAGGCCCAGGTATTCTTGCAGTGTATCCGTTCCTAGACACACCCGGACACACATCACAAATACGACACACCTGGACACACATCACAAATACGACACGCGGACACACATCACAAATACGACACACCCGGACACACATCACAAATACGACACACCCGGACACACATCACAAATACGACACACCCGGACACACATCACAAATACCACACTACACACTGTACCTACACCCACACGTCAAAATATACACTTAACTCAATATGTACAGGTATACGCAACACAAGATTTTGCACTTTTAAGAAAACGCAAACACCCAAGAACAACATCAAGATAATGAAGATAGCAATAAGCGATATAAACTGTACTTTGAAGTTATTTATACAAGATATTGGTAATTTTTAACATATTTGGTACAATTTGTTTGATAAGTTTGCAATTAAAAAGATGTGACTTTAAGATTATATTTTCTTGATAGGTTGTGGTAAAGCGACTGTATTTTTTTGTCTATTGTGGTAAAGCGACTGTATTTTTTTGTCTATTGTGGTAAAGCGACTGTATTTTTTTGTCTATTGTGGTAAAGCGACTGTATTTTTTTGTCTAAGTCGAGGATACAGTCAAGCATAATTACGGGTTATGTTATTGAAGTGTTATAAGCCTCAACAGAATCAATGTATTAAGCAATAGCAGTTTATATAGAGATACATTGTGTTTCTTCACCCACAATATGTACTTAATGTAAGGAGTAAATACTAAAGTAAATGTCTACTTGCTCGTACTAGATGACACATAGCCCTCAGACCACCTACCCTAGCTGACAGTGTGTTGATGGACTATACTTATCCACTAACAACAATCACACCTCCAAGTTACTAAGCTGTGTAAGCCAATACTGAGGACTATACCAAGTGGGGTAAATAATTCCCCAACTGAATAAACAAATTAAACTATAATCCAATAATTCTGGGTCATTATGGCTGTTTACTTATTACTTCAATTATTAATATAAAATAGTACAATAGTTAAGACCACTGACTAGTTTTTTATTTAAGCTGTGGGTCCTATTCTTGGTGATAGATAATTGCCTAGTGGTGTCATTATTCACTGTAACGGCCAATTTCTGAAGCCGTGTGAAGTATTATAGACGGTAGATTGGCCTTTATACCATGGCGGTCCGACTTCAATTACAACGCAGAGTACGGCAGGCTGTGGTATGATGTCGCGTACGTTGATATGTTACTCGACGGCGGGGAAAGTTTAAGTTTTTATACCATGGGGTCTTGTACATAATTGCTGTTAAAAGGTCCAATGGAGTGTTTTAATACTATGGTACACTGCCCACTACTGTTGTTAGGGTACAGGGGACAGTTACAACTTCCATTCTAATACAATGATAAGTTACAATAGCATTAATACTATGGTACACTTCCCACTATATTACAGGGTACAGTTGACAGCCATGACACCTTCCACACTACTATAGTACACTGTCCACTATGTTACAAGTTACAGTTAATAGCCATGACACTTTACTATGGTACACTTATGTTACAAGGTACACTGAACACAAGGAGAGTCGTAATACTATGGTACACCGTCAACCAGCGTAGTAGAACACAGGGTATTGCAAACAGATGGTATTTTGATTATTACAGTAAGGTAGACAGTAACCAAATTGGCTACCTGTTAATTGTGACTCTGTATACCTCAACCGAACACATGGGAACACATATCACCCTTAGTATGTGGGTCCGTATATCTCAACCGAACACATGGGAACACATTGTATCACTCTTAGTATGTGGGTCCGTATACCTCAACCGAACACACGGGAACACATTGTATCACTCTTAGTATATGGGTCCGTATACCTCAACCGAACACACGGGAACACATTGTATCACTCTTAGTATGTGGGTCCGTATACCTCAACCGAACACATGGGAACACATTGTATCACTCTTAGTATATGGGTCCGTATACCTCAACCGAACACACGGGAACACATCGTATGAATCACTGACTAGGTACTGTATGGTATATTTACAAACATACGCTAAGATGGGGAGGGAGGGGAGATATGTTGGGCAATATATCCACCTATAGCACCTCTGGGACATACCAGGACCTATATGATATCTGAGACCTCACATCCATACAGCAGCTACACCAAACAGTTTAAATCGTCGTCAAATATAAACTCAAACTGTATTTCCCTATAACTAAAATTCTCCTAATATATGAAAAACTCAACACATATAACTTATATCACCGAGTAGTCAAGAATATCGAATAGGTAGACTCAATAATAATTTCCACAAAGCACGATGATTATTAATATGGAATTAGTTGATTAGTTAGCCTGACAGTGTAAATATTCAGTATAGCATAAGGAGTAGGATGGAATATTAGCAAAAGAGCAGCCATTAATGATTACCACCATTCAGATTAGTTGCTATATTTCTGAGCAATAAAAATTAATACTGTATCGGCTATGAGATGGTTCATAACCGTACAATGACAAATACAGTGAAATACTCATAACAAAACTCATAATACAGTACAATACTTATGTTCGTATCCAAGCATTTTGATGACTTCGATTACAAATTTACACCCAGAGTTCAAATTCATAATACTGTATTGAGTGTTATTGCTGTTATTAATACAGTACAGCAGTTATAGGTATTACAGCATCATTAACTGTTAGATATCTTGAAGTTAACAGTCTTATATACAGAAGAGTTAAGTCAGTCTAAAAGAGAGGAAAGGTCTGCTAGTTTATGACTGATTCTTGGGATGTCTTGTTTCATCCTGACTTACTACTTTCTTTAGCTGTCCCATGCCTATTTGTACTTTCTCTAGCTGTACCATGTTCCTTTCCCCTACTTTCTCTAGCTGTCCCATACCTGTTTGTACTTTCTCTAGCTGTACCATGTTCCTTTCCCCTACTTTCTCTAGCTGTCCCATACCTGTTTGTACTTTCTTTAGCTGTACCATGTTCCTTTCCCCTACTTTCTCTAGCTGTTCCATGTCCCTTTCCCCTACTTTCTCTAGCTGTCACTGTCTCTACTTTCTCTAGGTGTACCATGTCCCTTTCTCCTACATTCCCTAGGAGTCCTATGTCTCTCTCTCTACTTACTTTCTCAAGGTGTTCCATGTCCTTACTTTCTCTAGCTATCCCCATATACTTTCCCCTACTTTCTCTCACACATATTGAAACAAAATGGCTTACCAAGGTTTCATATGGAACAAAAAAGAAACAATTGATTCCCACATAATTATTGGCTCCCTTATGTTATTCCTATGAACAAAAATAAGTTGTGGTCAGGTAATTCATAGTTCTCACAGCCCTTAACTGAACCTAACCCATTGTTTTGAGTCTAAGTGAACCTAATCTAACCATCAAAACTATGGCCGGTATTAAACATATCCTGTCAATATTGTTGGATTGGGGGATAGGATAGGATGGGATGGGATGGGATGGGATTGGATGGGTTAGGTTAGGGACATTAGGACACGTGACTGCTATTTCCTGTATGTAATTATCAAGACAACATACACCAGTCCTTCCACAGTGAAAGAATCTGTGAGAATGAGGTCGAGTTATCCTCACCAGACGATGATAATGACATTGACACTGTCCATACACGATCATCAGCATCATAATGACAATACGATGATAATAATGATCTTGGTAATCATAATGAATAGTATTATCTGAAAAAAATAATGACTCGTGGAAGCGATATGAGCGAATTCTAATGCTTTCAACCAATACGTTCCAATACTTTGTCAAATTATACAAAATAGATACATGTACAGTAGCTAAAACAACTATCTGTGCAGGTGGGGGTCGAAATGCTCCAAAATTTTATATGTGACTGGTGACAGCCCTGTGTGTGACTGGTGACAGCCCTCCGTGTGACTGGTGACAGCTCTCATATACCAAAATTTATCGTCCAAGGTCTCATATTGTTCCCACAAAGTATGCACAGATAGTTGTTTTAGCTACTGTACACACGACCAAAATAAGTATTTGTGCACATAGGGTCCGATGATTTCCTAAATGACCAATAAAGTCCATCTTTGCAGCAACGTAACTACCAACATGAACGATCGCAAGAATAACCTATTTTCTTCTTAACGTGCCTATAATAACACTATTTACTATGGATAAAACAGGAAATATCGCTTGAAAGTTATGGCATTTTGCAATATCTCTTGTCTGTGATGTCATGCAAAATATACACAGACACTTTTATGATTGTGTGTACTTGTGTCATACAACCAGAATAAAATCGAATTTGTTTCATAAAATACAGTAAAAGGTTATATACCGTACAAGACTAATTTAAAATATGAACAGCCATGGCAATGATACACTAATCCTGAAATTGTGTATCCTATCCACATCTTTTGACTGCCTAACCTAACTAACCTAACCTAATTGTACCTCTACTCTAACCTATTGATCCCTTCGACTACCTATTCTAGCCTGTGTCTACCTTTTCTAACCTAACTGTGTCTACCTACTCTAGCCTAACTTGACCTGCCCTAATCATAAAAATTAAGAATATGTTTGACAACACAAATTCCTCATTTCAAAATAAAGTGAAATCCCAAGTCCCAACTACATAATGTTAAGAAACCCTAAATTCATGGACAGTTTAAGGAGTTAATTTAGTGATGATGAATAATTTGATGATTAACTGTGACCCTGGACAGTCTGATGAGCATACATGGTTAGTAATTTAGTGATGACGAATAATTGTGATGAATAAATGTGACCCTGGACAGTCTGATGAATGAACATGTGTGATATCAGACTGCTGATGATCCAAGGTATAAGACATCAGTCTAGTAATGAGTTTGGAAAATCTGTCGATGGTGAATTAGGTCAATATGGTGACTGTGGACATCTCGACGAGGATAAAACCGCGTATTACTCGTCCATTTGGCGGTGGCGACGAGACCTCCGTATAAGACCGGGTGCGTCGAGAACCGGGAGGTCCGAGTCAACAACAAGGCACCTGGGTGATGATCCAGGGAAGTTTGCCGTGTCTGCGGTACTGGTGAAAATTGTGGAGGAAGTTGATGATGAGCAGCAACAAGAAAATCCCCATACAGATGTTGAGTATGTCCAGGGGCTCAAGGAGAGGCGGGTCCGGGGCACACAGGCTCTTTACGTCGAGTTTGATCACCTGGCGGCCAGCATTGGAAGTCCATTCGGCGCATCGGATGTTGATGAGAGCTCTTTCCTTGTTGATCTGTGTGCGCTGGTAGTACACAAGATTCTGTCAGGGAGAGACACATCATTAGGTTCCATGCACACATGAATAAACTCTATCCATCTTGAACTGAGTGAAGATCCCCCCGCCCCTCCCCCTACTTGATTAAATACCCTGATGATACCTGGGGGTTAGGTTAAGTTTGCATATGGGTGTTTAATCATCTGGTGAAATAAACTAGAGTATCTAAACATTTTAATGCTAACCTAACCTAACCTAACCTTCCACTGATGATGGCTGCCGTCCCTATAGCTATCTTCCACTGATGATGACAGCTGTTTAAGGGTCAAACAAGGAGCCCTCAAGACCCACCTGGAACTCCTGAATAAATTGGCAGTCGTCACAGTTCCAGGGGTTGTTGCCCAGAGAGAAGGTGGGGAAGTAGCTCTTGCCCTGCTTCAGCCCCTCGTCGTACACTCTCTTCATCTCCTTCACGGGCATCTATGACAACGTTGATGCAATATTAATCTCGTGAAGAAAAAATGACAATGTAAATTCCACACCGGTAATGGCATGATGACACATCTTTTGCAACTATACTCATGTGAAGATTAATAATAGTACTGTATGTCAATGGGGTTTTAATGTTGCTCAATGTTGTAATGTTGTACCATGTATGTGTGTGTGTGTGTGGGTGTTGTGTATGTATGTGTGTGTGTGTTGTGTATGTATGTGTGTGTGTTATATAAGTGTGCAGTTGGCGAGTTGTCTGACCTTCTCGGACCTTTTCTCAACACTGAATCATGCAGCTTGTTCACTCAGGGTGTTGTTAATATGATGGCGTCAGCTTCTACACCTTAAACAAATTCACCCCAAGTGACCCTAAATAAACATACACGTTGACTAACCGTTGTGAACTCGTTGTGCTCCAGGGAGATGCCGAGATCTAACGAGCGGTTCATCACGTAATTATAGAAGAGCTGACCGTCCATGTAGGAGATGTGGTTGTGGTCCAGAAGGATGGAGTCTATACGATGGTAGCGCTCGTTGGTGAAGAGGGCGGTCATGTTGGTGATCTGTGACACAACAACAACACTCAAATACCATAAACTACCATGAGAGATACCATAAAGCACCACCATACCTGTACAGTGCTTAAGTTATCCCCCTGAACTACCTACCATGAAAAATATACCATATACTACTATCACACTTAGACATGATCATGGTCTTAAGTACCTACCATGAGAAATACCATACCATACTTGCACAAGGTTACATTAACTACCTACCATACTTACACAAGATCTAGCTACTTTACCTACCATGAGAAATCCCATAAACTACCATTAAACAAGATTATGGTCCTAGCTACTGTACCTACCATGAAAAAATTTTCATAAGTTAGCTAAATAAAATAATAAAAATGACATCCCCAAGTACAGGCATTTAAAGATGTATCCCCATAGCAGTACATGGGGTTAACTCTCCTCACCGCTCGCTTGACGGAACGTAAACGATACTCACGTTGTTACGCTCCAGGTAGGCCCGCGTTGTGTAGCGTGGGATCTGCGGCAGTTCCGTCAGGCCTACGTTCCGACACATGATATGAACCATGGGTAGTTTATTCTCCTTCATCCCAGTCACTGAACAGTTACAAGGCGCGGGGCACTCTCGCTGCGTCTCCTGCCAATCGAGGTCGTTGTAATTACCACAGCACAAACGAGGTTATTTGTTTACAGGGTAGTACAGTACTTAGATCCCTACAGGTGACATAGCAGCTTCAGACATGTTATTTATACCACTACAATCATCACATTTCCAAATCAAACTTTTACCTGCGTTTTCTCATCGTTTACATTTGTCACTAGTTTGTTTACTTTTCATCCAGAGCCCCATAAAAGGGGATTAATTTACCTCTGTCCTCACTCAACCAGTCTGATAAGCAACATCAAAGTAACGAGGCTGTCATGCTGGATTAAATGAATGAGAGAGAGAGAGAGACCTTCCTACACCCTATAATAGTAAGCAACTCTTTTTAATTTAAGGTATGAAAGCTAATGGGTTAAACAAAGAAAGATGGAAATAGAGAAACAAAGAAAAAAAGAAAGGAAAAGGAATAGAGAAAGAAAAAGGAATAGAGAAAGAAAGAGAATAAAGACACACTCACCTTCCTGTATTCCATGATAGTGAGGAACTCGTTTTCGTTCAAGCTATACGAAGTCTTCATGAAATCCAGACTAGGGCTAAAGCAGGTGGTGTTATCCGCGATAGCTATCCTGCCTGCGTCTATCCAGTCCAAGATCCACAGTTTGTCCTCCTCGCATGTCAGTCCGCCACCTGCATTGGTAACACTGGTTGGAACCTCGTGAAGATTAGGTATTATTTCACCCGATGCTAAGTGAACCATATAGAACTCAACCTACCCTACCTTCCTACCCTAAACTAACCTACCCTATCCTTCTACCCTAAACTAACCTACCCTACCTTTCTACCCGCCTACCCTAACCCTAATCAAACTTAACAACCTAATCAAAGCAAACACAACTTAACCTAACCCAATCTAACCTATCCTAATCTAACCTAACCCAACTTCCACCTCCTCCCATTAGGGTGTTTAATAATCAAATGAAATAATCTGTGATGTTCAATCTGTAGGTGATCCCCAAAACTAAGCCGTCTGGGAAAACAAACTTATCCCAATGGTCTTATTATCTACCAGCATACAAATACACTACCATGCACTACCACTATTAGTTGTCCAAAACCATAGTTAGAGGGGTTAGTTCATGGGGAGGAAAGTGCCTGGGGTGGAAATATGCGTAACAAATATAGTGTGCAGTGTAAGGTAAAGTTAGTGTATATTGTACAGTGTTTCCTTACCAATGATGTTAAGTTTCTGAAGACTTGAAGAGTTGTACAGTTGGGAGAGATGGATTATGTAACAGTCATAAATGTAGAGCTCTTCCAGGCCCGGCAATACACTCAAAAACTGCATCTGTAACACAAAACAGATCTATTCAAAATCTGCAACATATAAAGGAGTTACATTCAACATCTGCAACATATAAAGGAGCTATATTCAACTTCTGCAACATACAAAGATGTTATATTCAAGATCTGCAACATGCAAAAAAGAAATTATTAATTAATACAGTTACACCAACAAAATACAGTTTATACAGTCCACAGTTAAACAGACAACTTTAATTATTCACAGTTACAGCAATACAGTCCACAGTATAATAGACGAGACTTTGATAATTATTAAACAGTTAACACCAGCAAAAATCTCCGCTCGTCGACCATTCAACCAAGATGGACGACAACGGAACGCTAAGCTGCGGGGCTACGATGACGTACCTGAGTGATGTTGAGGGTGAGTGTCTTTACGTTGGTCTCGAGTGTTTCGTTGTCCCAGCTCTTGTCTAGAACGAGGGTCCTCACCTTAGGTATGGAGGTGAGGGACGGTGGCTGCCAGTTTGACACAAAGCTGCATTAAGAATACAGTTCAGTACACAGCTTGGTGAGACATTTCTGTATGATATGAGAGATGCAGTTAAATAAGACACTTCTGTATGATATGAGAGATGCAGTTTATTGAGACACTTCTGTATGATATGAGAGAGGCAGTTTATTGAGACACTTCTGTATGATATGAGAGATGCAGTTTATTGAGACACTTCTGTATGATATGAGAGATGCAGTTTATTGAGACACTTCTGTATGATATGAGAGATGCAGTTTATTGAGACACTTCTGTATGATATGAGAGATGCAGTTTATTGAGACACTTCTGTATGATATGAGAGATGCAGTTTATTGAGACACTTCTGTATGATATGAAATAAACAATGTATTAAGGGATTTCTGTACGATAAAGATTACAAAATGACAGTATAAAATTATTGTCTGAATTGAGTTAAAAAATGAGAGGAAGAGGAAGAAAGTAAGAGGAAGATAAAGAAGAAGAGTGAGAGCAAAAAGGGAGAAGGTAGGAGTGAGAAAAAGAGGGAGAAAGCAAGCGATTGAGTATAAGAAAAAGAAAAGACAGCAAGAGGAAGAAAGGAATGAGAACAAAGGGAAGAAAGAGCAAGAACAAGAGAGTAAGAGCAAGAACTAAGAGTGAGAGCCAAGAGACCCCCCACACACACACCTAGAGTTGAACATGAGCGTGTGGAGTGACTCGAAATCCACCAGGTCGTCGAGGGTGAAGGAGGAGAAGTTGGCTCGCCTCACTGTCAGCTGAGTTACCCGAGGCACCTGGTCACTGCTGAGGTACGTCCTTACCTCCTGTAGGGCGTGGAGACCTTCACATAGCACCTGGTGGATAGATAGATGGATAGATAGATAGACAAGAGAGAGACACAGATTTATTAAGGAAAATTGGCCTTTATATAGCACCTGATGAATGGATAGATAGATAAGATAGATAGATGAAGAGATATATATAGAAAGATAGATAGGTTAGGGTGGGTTAGGTTAGGTTAGGTTAGATTAAGTTGGGTCAGGTAAGGTAAGGTAAGGTAAGGTAAGGTAAGGTTAAGTAAGGTAAGGTAAAGTAAGGTAAGGTAAGGTAAGGCAAGGTAAGGTAAGGTAAGGTAAGGTAAGGGAAGGTAAGGTAAGTAAGGGAAGGTAAAGTAAGGTAAGGTAAGGTAAAGTAAGGTAAGGTAAGGTAAGGTAAGGTAAGGTAAGGTAAGGTAAGGTAAGGTAAGGTAAGTGTATCTTACCTCAGTCTCGTTCTTATCCTGATAGGTCAAGATGGTGCATGGCTTTGGACTTATGGTCTTAGGCCTCTGGATGTTGATGGTCTGTGAGATCCTGGTGTTAACCTGAGAAGAACAAGAATTTGATTAGATTATTGTTAGATTAGCTGAGGTTAGGTTAGATTAGTTTAGATTAGATTAACATTAAGTTAGTTTAGGTTAGGTTAGGTTAGCATAAGGGTTCTTAATCATCAGATGAAATAAACTAGCGTATCTAAATCTTAAAGTAATTCCAAATAAAAATCATCCAAATTATTAGTTAACACAGAGGAATTAAAGTTTGTTATAATACTCACCTGGGAGACAGCCAATGTTGCCACCACCACCAGCCACCGCCCCATAGCTGCACTCCACCACATTACTCCTCTGTAACCAAAAACATTTATAAAAAGGACAATAACAATAAGAACTTCATCATGTGGTCATTAATTTAGCGGTTACAGTGAAACCTTCATATAATGGACTTTCATCATAGGTCATTAGGTGGAGGTGTCATATTGAACGGACCCTCGATATAATGGACTTTCATCTCTATATAGGTCATTAGATGGAGGTGTCATATTTAACGGACCCTCGATATAATGGACTTTCATCTCAATATAGGTCATTAGATGGAGGTGTCATATTTAACGGACCCTCGATATAATGGACTTTCATCTCTATATAGTTCATTAGATGGAGGTTTCACTATATAAGGACATCCTACAAGAGTGTGTGGGGGCCCAGGGGGGGGGGGTGTATTTAGTGAGTTATTCATGTGGGATGGGAAGATACCTATAGCTAGGGTAGTTAACAGGTAAATGTGTATCTGTATGACTATTTTAATGAATCTATCTATCTATCTGTCCATCAATCTATCTATCTATCCATGAACTCAGACTGTGTACTAGTCTAGACGAACTACGCGGATAAATAGCTAAGTTTGTATAGTTAGGTTAGTATATATAGCTGGGTATATATAGTAACTTTAATATAGAACGTTCCGTATAGTTGGGTTTGCATAGTGAATCTTAGTATAGAGATTTGTGAAGGATTCCTAAAACGCGCAAAAAATTCCCAGATGAGCAATATAGTTAACGAAGATGGTCATGGGTATACACATCTATACACATTAAAGGACGTTATATACATCTACCACTCATGAAAACTATATAAATAAGCTACATTAACCTTCCTTGTGGATATATTAATGATATAGTGGTTATATAGGAGTTATAGAATATATTATAGGAGGTTCATCTCTAACCTTGTATCTAAGCAGCCTCGGAGGTCACTGTTGCCAATACCCCATCACCTCCAACCTTAAAATTATAAATATTAATTATTCTTTAAATAAATATAAAAAAGTATATTGAAAAGAAATAATATATATTATTTTAAAAAGTCAATTATAAAAAGTTAAAAAAATAATAATTCACCATCATAAATAAATCTGAAAGTTATATATTTATTTTTATCTGGTAGTGATGATTGATTTTTGTTGACAAACTTTGCATTCGTTCATGACATAAAACTTTTATCAATGGCATAAAAAACAAAAAATATATCGTCAATAATTATAAAAATATCTGATATATATTGTAATAAATTCATTTAGATTTAATAAACAAATTTGAGGTTTTATTACTGTATCTATATATGGTTAATAAAATAACTAAAATTTCACGCATTTGGGGTAAAATTTAACCTTCCATTTAAGATGTATTTTACCATAACACATCATAACATCAATTAACACGTCATAACATCAATTAACACGTCATTACATCATAAACACGTCATTACATCAACAAACACGTCCGTACTACATCATAAAGTCACCTGTACACTCATTAAGTCCCTCTCAACTCGTCATTAAGTCACATGTACACGTCATTAAGTCCCTCTCAACTCGTCATTAAGTCACCTGTACACGTCATTAAGTCACTTGTACACGTCATTAACTGACCTGTGCACGTCATTAGTTACCTGTACACGTCATTAAGTCACCTGTACACGTCATTAGTCATCTGTCACATGTACACGTCATTAAGTCACATGTACACGTCATTAAGTCACATGTACACGTCATTAAGTCCCCTGTACATATCATTAAGTCACCTGTACACGTCATTAAGTCCCCTGTACATATCATTAAGTCACCTGTACACGTCATTAACTGACCTGTGCACATCATTAATTACCTGCACGTCATTGATTACCTGTACACGTCATTAAGTCACCTGTACACTCATTAATTACCTGTACACGTCATTAGTCACCTGTACACGTCATTAGTCACCTGTACACGTCATCTTGAAAATATTGGAAATCTGGCTCAGGTGATTGAAATATTTACACCTGCCGCGTCTCTCTCTTAAGTGATCTATTATTTACTGTGATAAGTGAGGTAACGTGTACTGCTTGATGACTCACTTAACACTTATAAATACTTAATTAGCATGGGGTAATTATGTAGATTTTTTTAAGTAGATACATTTGTTTGGTCACTTATAAATAATTAATTAGCAACGGATTATGTTGATTTTATAAGTAGATGCATTAAGATAGTACTATAGTTTGTTCATGTTGGCTCACTTAACACTTAAAAATACTTATTTACTACATTTTCACCATTGAGAGAGAGAGAGAGTCAGCTGGGTGGTGGTGGAGGAGGAGGAGGAGGAGGAGGAGGAGGTGAGTGGTGTAGGACAGGACAGGAGGAGGCTGGCTGGCTCTGGCTGGCTCAGTGTGTGTCAAGGTGTGATGGTGTGCACAAGTGAGTGTCCTACAGATCAGCTGACTACACACGACACTCTATCACCCTGTGTAGACGACCCCTGGGTGTAGTAGGGTGTAGTTGGTGGCTACTGGGGGTGTTGGGATGTATTCTCAAGATATCTAAGGGAGATTACACCCTCTCTACACTGTGTAAAAGATAATTCAACTCTTTGGCAGTGAAAAAAGTCGTGTAGTGTAGAAGTGTAAAAGTGTAAGTCTGTGTAGGTGTTTCTGGGTATAGGAGGGTGTATTTGCTGGTTCTTAGGGTGTTGGAGTGTATTCTCAAGACACCTAGGGGAGAATACACCCTCTATATAGATTGGATTGTGTATAAGTGTAACTGTGTAAGGAATGTGTGTTTTCTTCTGGGTGTAGTGAGGTGTAGATAATGGTTCCAGAAAGTGTTGGGGGTGTATTCTTAAGACACCTATGAGATACACCTTTTTTGTAGCAAAAAAAGTATCAGTGTAAATCTTTGTCAGTGTGAGGTGGGTGTTTATGACCTCCCTGGGTGTAGGAAAAGTGTATTAGGGTGTATTATTTAACTAAAACACACTACACCTTCCAATCAACACACAAAACACCAATATCCACCCTGCATATCTGGGTGTAGCGACAATAAGTGTATTTAAATTCCATAGACCTTTGGGTGTAGGGGGTGTACTCAAGACGCAATACACATGATCTTATCTATATTAAGGTGTAGTTGTGTTTCCTGGAGGCTACACAATACACAATACACTGAAGGTTATAACAAAGGACTGACCGAAAAGGCTATTAATCTTATAAATTGTAAAATAATAAATACAAATTGAATAAAAGATAAAATATATACACAATCTACACCTACACAGCATTGACCTGATTTATGTGTATCCTAGGGTGTATTAGGGTGTGTATAGGTGTAGGAGTGTATTTTAAGATCATCACTATACACTACAGTTTACTACACTTGGTACACAGAGAGTAATACTTTTTTTTTTTGGATTTATTAAAGGTGTAGGTAGAGGAAGTAGTGTTATACCTCCAGTCATTCACATCGTCCCCCACCTCTCACCCAGCCCCCACCCACACCCCCCTCAACCCCTCACTCACCCAGCCCCCCCACCACCCCACCCCCTCAAGCCCTCACCTCTCACCCAGCCCCCTCACCTCTCACCCAGCCCCACCCACACCCCCAACCCTCACCTCTCACCCAGCCCCACCTCACCCAGCCCCACCCACCTCACACAGCCCTCACCCACAACCCCCCCCCCACCCAGCCCCACACCCCACCCAGCCCCCACCCACCCACATCTCCCCCATCACATTCCCCAAGATACTAATAGTGTATTTGAGTGTAACTGACTTACCTATTTGGGTGTAGATGTATACCTGAGGTCCCAGCAGTGTATTTTGTATCTTACACCCACAGTACACTTACCTACACTCTACACAGGATCACCTTCTATTAATTTTGGGTTAACAAAGAAAACGGGATCCTGGGTGTAGGGGTGACTAATACAAACGTCTATTACACCCACACAAAACACTCCTTAGTGTAGCCATCAAACACTACCCATGGCTCTACACCACTAAACACCCCCTTTGGTGCCAGCCAACCACTACACCATGGCTCTACACCCACTAAAACACCCACCTAGTGTAGCCAGTCAACCACTACACCCATGGCTCTTACACCCACTTAAAACACCCACCTTAGCGTAGCCAGTCAACCACTACACCCATGGCTCTACACCCACTTAAAACACCCACCCTTAGTGTAGCCAGCCAACCACTACACCCATGGCTCTACACCCACTTAAAACACCCTTAGTGTAGCCAGTCAACCACTACACCCATGGCTCTTACACCACTTAAAACACCCCACCCTTAGTGTAGCCAGCCAACCACTACACCCATGGCTCTTACACCCACTTAAAACACCCCACCCTTAGTGTAGCCAGCCAACCACTACACCCATGGCTCTACACCCACTTAAACACCCCACCCTTAGTGGGCCAGTCAACCACTACACCCATGGCTCTACACCCACTTAAACACCCCACCCTTATGTAGCCAGCCAACCACTACACCCATGGCTCTACACCCACTTAAACACCACCCGTAGTGTAGCCAGCCAACCACTACACCCATGGCTCTACACCCACTTAAAACACCCCACCCTAGTGTAGCCAGCCACCACTACACCCATGGCTTTACACCCACTTAAACACCCCACCCTTAGTGTAGCCAGCCAACCACTACACCCATGGCTCTACCCACTTAAAACACCCAACCTTAGTGTAGCCAGCCAACCACTACACCCATGGCTCTACACCCACTTAAACACCCCACCCTTAGCCAGCCAACCACTACACCCATGGTTTTACACCCCTAAAACACCCCACCCTTAGTGTAGCCAGCCAACCACTACACCCATGGCTCTACACCCACTTAAAACACCCCACCCTTAGTGTAGCCAGCCAACCACTACACCCATGGCTCTACACCAACTTAAAACACCCCCCTTAGTGTAGCCAGTCAACCACTACACCCATGGCTTTCACCCACTTAAACACCCACCCTTAGTAGCCAGCCAACCACTACACCCATGGCTCTACACCCCTTAAACACCCACCGTGTGTAGCCAGCCACCACACCCATGGCTCTTACACCACTTAAAACACCCACCTTAGTGTAGCCAGCCAACCACTACACCCATGGCTCTACACCCATAAAACACCCACCCCTTAGTGTAGCCAGCCAACCACTACACCCATGGCTCTTACACCCCTTAAAACACCCCACCCTTAGTGTAGCCAGCCAACCACTACACCCATGGCTCTACACCCATTAAAACCCCACCCTTAGTGTGCCAGCCAACCACTACACCCATGGCTCTACACCCACTTAAACACCCCACCCTTAGTGTAGCCAGCCAACCACTACACCATGGCTCTACACCAACTTAAACACCCCACCCTTAGTGTAGCCAGCCAACCACTACACACCCATGGCTCTTACACCCACTTAAACACCCCCACCCTTAGTGTAGCCAGTCAACCACCATGGCTCTACACCACTTAAACACCCCACCCTTAGTGTAGCCAGCCAACCACTACACCCATGGTTTTACACCAACTAAAACACCACCCTAGGTGCCAGCCAACCACTACACCCATGCTCACCCCTTAAACACCCACCCTAGTGTAGCCAGCCAACCACTACACCCATGGCTCTTACACCCACTTAAAACACCCCACCTTAGTGTAGCCACCAACCACACACCCATGGCTCTACACCCACTTACCCCCACCCTTAGTGTAGCAGCCAACCACTACACCCATGGCTCTACACCCACTTAAACACCAACCCTTAGTGTAGCCAGCCAACCACTACACCCATGGTCTTACACACTAAAACACCCCCTTAGTGTAGCCAGCCACCACTACACCATGGCTCTTACACCCACTTAAAACACCCCACCCTTAGTGTAGCCAACCAACCACTACACCCATGGCTCTACACCCACTTAAAACACCCCTTAGTGTAGCCAGCCAACCACTACACCATGCTCTACACCCACACAAACACTCCCTTAGTGTAGCCAGCCAACCACTACACCCATGGCTCTTACACCCACTTAAAACACCCCTTAGTGTAGCCAGCCAACCACTACACCCAATAACCACAAACCCAACTGTTTTACGACCCGGAACGACCTCCCCTAAACGCGACCCTGATCTAGAATGACAAGACAAGACGCTTTATAACACAACCCGGAACTTAGACCTACTAGAATGACTCTCTAATGTGACCCGGCAATTGGAATCCACCAGAACGATGCACTATAACACGACCCGAAGTTAAGAGGACATGAAACGACTCTCTACAACACAACCCTGAAATAAGACTCAATAGGTGACGCTCTATAATGCAACCCAGAGCTATGATGACCCAAAATGACTATCCACAATATAACCTTGATTTAGGACACTAGAATAATCCTTATTAACACAACCTTGATTTAAATCCCCTAGAACGCCTAACCATAACACAATCCTGATCTATACCATCATCAACACAACCTTGACTTAAGACTCCGTAGAATGACCTCCCTGTAACACAACCTTGATTTAAGACCCCATTATACTATACAACGTTAATCTAAGACCCCGATAAAGACCTCCAGAACACAACCTTGATCTAAGACCCCCGAGAAAGACTTCCATACCACAACCTTGATTTAAACCCTCCAAGAACGCCTGACCACAACACAACCCTGAAGAAATGACCGGACAGAAGGTAAGTGTCTCATGAGCGAAAGTTTGAGGTGATCAAGACTTAATTTGGCGATTATTTGGTTAATTTGGAGTTCTAATTACAGGTATAAAATGCGTTGTTAATTTGGCGATTTTCTTCCTAAGTGAAATAATGTGTCGACTTTTGCTATTTTTGCGATTTTTTAGGTGTTAAGTATAAGTAATTTTGCGAAGTTTATAAGTATTAATTTGGCGAGTTTGGAAAATAAAATATCCTGTTAATTTGACGAGTTTGTGAAAGGCTTAAAAGTACATCGTGTTAATTTAGTGAAACTTGTTAAAGGTATAGAATATTTTGGCGAATTAAAACACGTTAAATCCTCTTAATTTTTCGCGAATTTTTAACCCCTTGTGTACGAAGTCGCCTCTGAGCTGAATAAAATCGTCTTAACTACAGAGATCAACATTAGCGCCCCTGTAGTGAAGATGTTTAACATTAATTACTGGTCTAAATGATATAATTTGGCGAATAATCGAAAGTAATTAAATATAAAAACACTTAATTGAGGTTTTATGTAATTATATCATCTTTATAATTAATTAATGAGGGGATTTATAGTATCTAGGTCTTAGTCTCTCATCTCCCAGCCCTCACCCCCAGCACCTCTCACCTAGCCCCCTCACCCCCAGTCCTCACCTAGCCCCTCACCCCAGTCCCCCCACCTAGCCCCTCACCCCAGTCCCTCAACCCCCAAGATATTAAGGGGGATCATGAAGACGTAACTTGGGTAATTAATTTCGTTAATGATCCGTCACGATGATTCACCCGCCCGTTAATTGGTCGGCGATTCGATGATACCCGAACCCGAAAGAAGGGAGGGAGGGAGGAGGGTGGGGAGGAAGGAGGGAGGAGGGAAGGAGGAGCAAAGGAGGAGGGAGAGAGTCGATATCAGGTTGGCTACACTGGTCTTGTTATATATGAAATAATAATAATAATAGTAATAGCAAACAATACACCACCACCTACCACCACCATCAACCACCACCACCACCAACCACCAACCACCAACCAACCAACCAACCACCCACCACCACACCACCACCAACCACCACCACCACCATCACACCACCACCACCACCATCACCACTACCACCACCATCACCACCACCACCACCACCATCACCACTACCACCACCACCACCACCACCACCACCACCACCACCATCACTACTACCACCACCACCACCACTACCATCACCACCACCACCACCACCACCACCACCACCATCACCACTACCACCACCACCACCAACTACTACTACCACCACCACCACCACCATCACCACCATCACCATCACCACCACACCACCACCACCACCAACTACTACCACCACCATCACCACCAACTACTACCACCACCATCACCACCACCACCACCACCAACTACTACCACCACCACCATCACCACCATCACCACCATCACCATCACCACCACCACCACCACCAACTACTACCACCACCATCACCATCACCACCACCACCACCACCAACTACTACCACCACCACCACCACCATCACCACCATCACCATCACCACCACCACCACCACCAACTACTACCACCACCACCACCACCATCACCACCATCCACCACCACCACCACCAACTACTACCACCACCATCACCACCACCACCACCACCAACTACTACCACCACCACCACCACCATCACCACCACCACACCACCAACTACTACCACCACCATCACCACCACCACCACACTACCACACCACCACCACCACCATCACCACCATCACCATCACCACCACCACCATCACCACCACCACCACCACCACTACCACCCACCACCACCAACTACCACCACCACCATCACCACCCTACCACCACTACCCACCACCACCACCACTACCACCACCACCACTACCACTACCACCCACACCACCACCACCACTACCACCACCACCACCACCACCACCACCACTACCCACCACCAACTACCACCACCACCACCACCACACACCACCACCACCCACACCCACCACCACCACCAACTACTACCACCGTCCCCTCATACCCAACACAAAGTCTCTATACATTTACCTTCCATCAGTTTTCTCTACAGTCAGCTCTCACCCCTCGTGTGGGCCATCGACACTGTGTAGACCAGCCAACACCTATTACAAGTTGCAAATTGACTGTGTGTGTGTGTGTGTGTGTGTGTGTGTTCTGTGTATGTGTCTGTGTGTGTGTGTGTGTGTGTGTGTGTGTGTGTGTGTGTGTGTAGTATATCAGACACGTTTATCTGCAACTATGGTAGCAAACTAGTTTAACCATAGTCTCTCTCTCTCTCTCTCTCTTTTCTCCCTCTCACACCTCTCTCTTTCTCACACTCCCCACTCTCTCTCTCTCTCCCTCAATTTAAACTATTTTATCAAAGACTTGGCAAACATTTCCTCCCAACTGTGTGTGAGAGAGAGGGTTAATACAGACGATCTAGCCAAGGGTTACTCGTGTCATTTCCCCC